AGGGTAATAAGTCTGTCTCTGAAAGACATCTCGCTAATCCTGGTTTGTAAGATCCATTTGGTAGCGCGCCGCTGCACTCGCTCGACTTGTGCCTTCAGGGAAACCTGAGCGGGCGACCAGACTTGAGTAGCGCAGCAGAGTTGTGACTTGACTAGCAATAAGTATGGCGCGCGCCGGGTAGACACGTCAGTTAGTAATGGACATGTCCGCTTTAGGAGCCCAAGGAGCCTGTTGTCTCTGGCGGCGATGGTGTATATATGAGAGTACCAAGACAACGTACCAAAAATTGTAACTCCTAGATCGTTTTCCGCGGACACTCGCACAAGTTGTGTTTTTTTAGGATGTATTCGTAAATCAAGGGAGTTTTCATCCGCGTCACAGTAAGCGTTGTGCATTTCTAGGTGTCGAAGTTGATGTTATTTCCCTATGACCAGTCATTCACGTTTGCTCGGAGTGGTCTGCAGAGACAGATAATCGCTGACGGAGCTGACGTTTTTATGAAGCTTGGTGTCATCAGCGCATAACGCTGCCCTCATCCCGGCTACAGTTTCACCCGGGAGATCGTTAATAAAGATCGTCCAAAACTACCCTTTGAGCTCGACCCTTTCGCAAAATCCAAGTAACATTAGTCTGAATGTTCTTATCCTTCTAAGTAGTGGATAACATTTTTCATTTAGCTCTGCAGGTTTTCCACGATCGCTTGAGCACTTAAATGGTATCTACGGCCTATTTCGGAGTAAGAATTTAAAAGCAAATTAAGAAAATCCATTTTGCAGCAATTTTATACTTATTAGGTGACAAACTGATCCTTAATTTCATTTTTGATGTGCCTAATCCTTCGCCTTTCAGTAACAAATAAATCTGATGCAAATTGAATCGTTACAGCAATTAAAACACGATTTCGATCACAAACGTTCAATAAAATAACAACGGGAACTCAAAATTTCTTCCATCCATTTTTACACATCTCGGTATAGCTGTGTATAGCTCTGTTAGGCAGTGTATGGCTCTGTATAGCTGTGCATAGCCCTGTATAGCCCTGTATTAGTGTGTATAGCTCTGTTTAGCTGCGTATTGTGTGTATAGCTGTGTATAGCCCTGTATAGTTATGTATAGCCCTGTATAGCTGTGTATAGCCCTGTATAGCTGTGTATAGCTGTGTGTAGCCCTGTATAGCTGTGTATAGCTCTGTATAGCTGTGTTTAGCCCTGTATAGCCGTGTTTAGCCCTGTATAGCTGTGTATAGCCCTGTATAGCTGAGTATAGCTCTGTATAGCTGTGTATAGCCCTGTATAGCTTTGTATAGCCCTGTATAGCTGTGTTTAGCTCTGTATAGCTGTGTAAAGCCTGGTATAGCTGTGTATAGCCCTGAATAGCTGTGTATTGCCCTGTACAGCTGTGTATAGCCCTGTATAGCTGTGTATAGCTCTGTATAGCTGCGTCTAGCCCTGGATAGCTGTGTATAGCTGTATAGCTGTGTATAACCCTGTATAGCCCTGTATAGCTGTGTATTGCCCTGTACAGCTGTGTATAGCCCTGTATAGCTGTTTATAGCTCTATATAGCTGTGTATAGCTGTGTATAACCCTGTATAGCCGTGTATAGCTCTGTATAGCTGTGTTTAGCCCTGTATAGCCGTATTTAGCCCTGTATAGCTGTGTATAGCCCTGTATAGCTGAGTATAGCTCTGTATAGCTGTGTATAGCCCTGTATAGCTTTGTATAGCCCTGTATAGCTGTGTATAGCTCTGTATAGCTGTGTATAGCCTGGTATAGCTGTGTATAGCCCTGTATAGCTGTGTATTGCCCTGTACAGCTGTGTATAGCCCTGTATAGCTGTGTATAGCTCTGTATAGCTGCGTCTAGCCCTGTATAGCTGTGTATAGCCCTGTATAGCTTTGTATAGCTGTGTATAACCCTGTATAGCTGTGTATAGCTCCGTTTAGCTGTGTTTAGCCCTGTATAGCTGTGTATAGTCCTGTATAGCTGTGTATAGCCCTGTATAGCTATGTATAGCCCTCTATAGCTGTGTATAGCTCTGTATAGCTGTGTATAGCCCTGTATAGCTGTTTATAGCTGTGTATAGCCCTGTATAGCCCTGTATAGCTGTGTATTGCCCTGTACAGCTGTGTATAGCCCTGTATAGCTGTGTATAGCCGTGTATAGCTCTGTCTAGCTGTGTATAGCCGTGTATAGTTGTGTATAGCAGTGTACAGCTGTGTATAGCTGTGTATAGCTGTGTATAGCCTTGTTTAGCCCTGTATGTTTGTGTAGGGTATTGTATGTAAAATATAGGACATAATATGTATTAAGGACATAATATGTGCCCATACATGACGTACCTACCGAAACCTGAGTTTGCTACCGCTGACTTGTCGTTACAACAGGCTCGCTTAATTGCTCACTTTTGTCACTCAAACTAAGTGAATGAACATTCACGGCGTGAACGTTTTGTGTTTTAAAGACCTCAATCCGATTTTTGCTTTTGATCTCATCTGCTTCTTCCAGCTGAATTTTATTAAAACTTGCAGAATTTTAATCTGACAAAAGCAAAGTCTTATCGAATTACCAGCCGCTAGATAAGTGATAGCGGGGCTAATGAAGGACGGTGTGAATGACAGAAAGGAAAGGATAGTTTAACGATGAAATTCACACGGTCTCTTTACTGCTACCGTCTCTCTCTTCAAGTGTACCCATTTTCAACCAGCACCAAACCTTGAATTGACGTCCAGAATGTAAATGTTGTGATAACGATCCGTCAGCTTTAGAAACTCTCAGTACGGTGGCTAATTTACATAATAAACTCAGTTGGTAAAACCAAATTTTCTTTATAATACCCCGCTTCCCACCCACCATTTTGATCGACTTTGACGGTACTGCGAGGAGCTTCCTGGAGGAGCGTAACTTTACTCAAACTCGCCTCGTGCGTCAGAGGGTGGAATGGACACTAATCGCATAGAACCTTGTCAGTAAGTTGCATTTACATAAACGGACTTGAGACAAAGTGAAGGTAAAGTAAAATAAAACTTTAAAAGCTCCTTAGCTTCCATGGGCCATTACACAATGCCACGAGAAATTCATCATTGACTCACGACTATTGGTTAGAATTGTTGCTGTGAAATACCACTCTGAGACAAAAATTTCGTTTGGTTTAGAGTCCAAGAAAGGAAGAAACAAGATTTGCTACACTTGTAAATTAGATTTTTTTAAGAGAGACGACTTGTTAAAATTGTGGGGTTCGGAGCTTTGAGTGAGAAATTAGTACAATTAAAGCTTATAAACAACCAATAAGTCTTGGAGTGTTGATTAAAGGACAAGTAAGCTTTCACTTTCAAAAACAAAGAGGATTTGCGGATTAACAGCACTTATAAATAAGTAAGAAAATCAAACTGAGTTTATTCCTTAGAAAAAAGATCTCACCTTCAACAAAAAAGTACTCATACATAAATTACTGACGACGGACAAATCATCAAAACAGCTGCCATTGGAAACACGAAAATCGCATTTCCAGCAAACATGTTATACCATCATTGAAGAGGACCTGTCGGCCTAAATAAATCCATTTTCTTAAAAATTGGCTGCCACTTATTCGGCGATGAATTCCAAAATTGTTTGCCTTTTCATCTTGCTTCAAGAAAAAGTAAACGTTTCGGTTTGCACCGCCATCGGAAATAGTCCAATCTTTTTTTCTTCTTATTTTATGGTAAAAGAAAACTTGTGGCTTGAAGACAAAATCATTGAACAGCTCGAGTCTCCTGATATAGTCTCATGCAACCGGTTATGTATGAAAACGGCCTGGTGCACTTCAACAAATTACAAAATGCCAACGTCGCAAGAGGGCATGGGAACCTGTGAACTGAATAGGCACGGCGCCATCGATATGAACACACGAAATCTTCGAAAGCAACAAGGAGCCACTTTTTCTTTGCTTTTGAAGGTAAAGTGCTTTTAAAAACTGGGATTGGTTTGGAGAGAAGAGATAAGCACTTTAAAAGAGTCACAGCCGCAGATCAGCGTTGTAAAATTCTTTGTCTCAAACTTTTTTAATTTTCAGGGTTGTTTGCGGACTGGGTGTCTCAATGGTGGCTCATGTATTTATTGCGAAAACTCATATGCATGTTCGTGCAAAGAACCACAGACTGAAGAAAAGAAAGGAAGGACATTAGGTAAGGGAAATTTTATTGTTTGTTTACTGAAATACCCGTTTTCCAGAATAGCCGTCGTTAAAGTTTTGGCAGTCCTCCGACGTGCCAAAATCCGACAGCGAATATCTCAGCCAAAAGTGTTTAATTTAATCAAGTATTTACGTATTGTGGTGCTTTACTGAGTGAGGATCTTAATCGTTAAGCGTAAACTTGACAAAATTGAACCGTTAATTGTAAAAAAAAGTTGATTTTCAAAATTTTGCATTAAGTTAGAATGGACAGAATTTAAACGTTAGCCTAAAACGGCCAAATTTCTAGCCGTTAGCCGTAAAAGCCATCACTCCATCGAGACTCACTTTAAACTACTGACATGAAAATGACAATTTTTTGTAAAATGTGGAATTCTATTTATAACAATTAGGTGGAATTAGCGTTTTGATGCTGACCCTCTCGCCTTAATTATACGACCACCATTAAGGTGTCAGAAAATTTTTAAGCGTTAGACTGTTTTATTAAAGCGCTTGAAAGAGGATAAGAGTGGGAACAGATTCAATAGGTATTGAATTTTTAATCTCGGTGCTGTTCATGTTTTTCAATGCAGTCATATGGTAAAGTTTTAAGTATCGCCTTTCGAGGATTTTGGGTTAAAAATAATTCACACCATTTAAGCAGTCTAATAACTGTTGTAATCATAAAAATTTCCTCGATTGTGATTAGTTAAAAAAAACTCCTATTTTCCACTTATTTACTTGCCAAGTTGTTATCAGAAAGTTTGTCAACAGACAGTTCAATAAGCCAATCACATTCAAAAGTTTTAGTTTAAAGAAACCAATCACAACTTTGGTTTCAATCACCATAGAAACAGTGTCCAGATTCCGAAATTGAGGCTTTCTTCAAATTGGATAATTTTTTCTTTTTTCAGTCTCTCAATGTAAATTTTCCTTTTCTTTCATAACTTAGCTACTCTTCTTTTCTCAAAATTTATAATTTTTTTATAATTAATTTTTTGTCTTCCAATTCGGTCCGTAATCATACCCGTTAACGCTGCGCGGTCGTCCGATTTTGAGTATCACTCATATGACTACACACCGTATTGGACTACACTCAATCCTATTACCATTACTAACTGTGCTATGCACCTAGTCCCTTATACCATTACATACACTGAGCCTGCTGATGTGAAAGTGCGCTGGGAAACATGCGCGCCGGCTCAGTCAAGTCACTGAAGGAACTGCATGGATAGAGAGCGTGAATTTTAGTCTTTCATAGTCCTAAATGCAACGCAAAAAATTCAGGATAACATTACAACTTACTATCGTTACTATCGCTGTCGGATGGCAAAGCTTTCTCAACTCGAGGTGTATCTTCCATACTAACTTGCTTGAGGCCTTTTTTTTTTTTAACACTCGAGGAATAGGTTGGGAGTCAAATAGGCCTGCTAATTCCTGCAAGCACATCCGGGACGCTGGAGACTCCAGAGGAGACGGGGAATACTGGATTGACCCTGAGAACAAAGGAAGCCCTTTGAAGGTCTATTGCGACATGACAACCGATGGAGGTGAGCGACAGGTGTATTTTGAGGCACTTTTTAGCTCGTGTTGAACGGGTGAGAGATATGAAATAAACCCCTCTTTTGGCGTGCCTTGACATCAACGATTAATTGGAATTCTATTGTTTGAGCATCTTAAACAAAACGACATGGTCCTCAGACTAACGATATGTAGTAAGCGCCAGGGAAAAGAAATGTACCGGCTTCCGCTCGCCTCTCAAATACCTCTCAAATACCTCTGTGCAGTAAGCGAATCGATCGGAAAAAAAAATCGTACTTAATTTTTCCGGTTTACATCTAATCATAAAAGTTGTTTTCCTCACATGCTTTTTCAAAACTCTTTTCCTTACTAGCTATGAGCATAAAAGATATCCGATTAAAGGCAGCGGGGTCGAGAATACCCAGCACTTGCCCAACGTATGGCAAATCTAGCGTCTTTTTCCCCACCGATGCCATCTTCAAACATTTACATACTACAAACTTATTCGAATTTTTTCACAAACTTAGCATATCTTCGCTCGATTAAAATATATCTCAATTGTTCAAGACCGGAGGCGTACACGATCTTTTGATAAGCTAAGTTGTATTTCTTTGCTGTTTCAGGAGGCTGGCTTCTCGTTTCCAACCTTGTGATGGCCAACTCAAGTCGGTCCGTTCCGCTGTTGGTTGAGTGGTCGTACCATGCTATCAGCCAATATCACAGGAACAACATGTTTCTGGCAAAAACGGCCATGAATGAGCTCAGAACATACTTGAATTTTACTCAGCTGAGATTCCATTGCAGCAAACGATCGAAGCGTACGTTCCACGTGACCACAGCCACCAATAGCATCGGAGAAGCTGTGGTCCAGTACTTTAGCGGTCAGACAGATGCGCGACCATACTCGTGTAAATCTTTTGTCAGAATGGAAGACGACAACTCAAAATTAGCCAAGGTCTGCCGACAGTGGGGGTCTGGGGACTTTAGAAAGCGCTACGTTGGTAAATGGAGCTCATCTAATCGCGATGACAACAGATTGTATGATCATACTGTGATCGTCTGGTGGACCTATCACTGGACTATTCGGCCACCACAACGACGATTTGACTGCGACGATCTTGCACATACAGTATCTGCCGGTGATTTCTGGAAAGTTTTTGTACGTTAGAAATTTTGGGTATATTAGAAGTATTATTATTATTATTCAGAAGTCTTGTTTCAAAGAATATAATCTTACTTAACATCGCTGTAGAGCAGTGTTCAATTGAGTATTGCTTTAGTTTTACTTTACTTCGCTCTATGATTGGTCCAAAAAACTGGCGCCTCCATCTCAACCAATCAAATACAAAACTAAAACCAACCTCAACTAGGTAACTCGCGTTTTCGCGCGCGTCCAGCAGGTTGCCTGCTTTTACTTCGAGTTCTCATCGGTTAATGATAATGTTGGCCTTTGTTCTGATTGATAGTTGTGATTACGTTGGTTTTGGTTTTTTTGGCTGCTCTGTTAGTCATAAGAATTTACTTTAACCTCACTGAGTTTTTAAAGTTTCCCCTGTCTCAGTTCCTCAACGCCAGGCTACAAAGTCACTGAATATTAATCTCGTAGTCCGGCTGATCGTCAGGCAAATAATCATCTGTGAGCTATGATTTTACATGTCTTGTATTACCTAAGTGGTGATTTCTAACATAACATAAAACATTAGAACTTTTAGCTCTATAACATATACAGCAGTGCAAATAAAGTTCCCATACAAGAGGGAACGTATGACACCTTGTGAGAAGTGGACTCTACCCAGAGTGCTTTCTGAGATCATCTTCTGTAAAAATCGTATTAAACGGACACTGAGATTAAATTGAGCTTGCGTTTTAACACAAAACCCGTCCAGCTTAAATGGAAACTTTACGGACTTGCTATATATATAGTTTTTGAATTGTGGGAATTCTGCACACTCTTAAAACCTTCATAATTTCACGATACTAACTGTTGATAAGATGTGAAGACAAGGTCCCCCAGTGATCCTAACAAAACACACCTACTTCGCCTCCAGCGACACCTACCGATTATAATTCTCCAAAAAGAGTCGTAATTGTTTCTTGCTTGCGGGGTTTCGCCATACGTAATGTGTTTTTGGCGGAACTGTACGTCCAGACTGAAAGGTGTTGTCAAAGCTACGTTGTTTGGGTTTATTAGGGAACGATCAGGACACGTCATCGAACGCTTGTTTTCTTGCTTGAATTTACTAATTCAGCTCATGTATAAACTATGAACGGCATACATGCGTCTTTTTTCATTCTACTCGAAGCCTTTGTTATCGTGACAGGATTTTCTCACTCCGAATATTTCACAACACGAGAAAAAAAGCGCCTCATAGGTCATCGTATTAAACAAGTCGATTCTGTCAGTTTGAAGTCTTGCAGCCAGTTTTGCTTGAGACTTCCATGGTGCACTTCAACAAACTTCCAAATATCAACCAAGATGAACGGCAAAGAAACTTGTGAATTGAACATGCACGGAGTTATCGACGAAAACAATGATCATTTCCATGATCAAGAAGGAGTCACTTTCTCTCTGTTGTTAAATGTAAATATTGTTTCGCAGATGAAATAGGCATTACAGTCAGCACATACAAACTTATAGACCACAAGTGAATGGAGCCTTTTAGGGCCAGGGTCTTTCACACTAAAACAACGCATCTAAAACAAATAACACACTAAACAACGCATCTTTCCAGGCGTGTTATAATTAGAGAGCACTTAGCCAGTGACGGGGCCTCCCACATTTTCAGACATCTGCAAGATTCTGAACATTGTCGCGCTTTGTGTTCAGCAGATAGCTTCCAGGTTTTGGATCACGCCTCTAACGGGTTTCAACTTAAGATAAAAGAGGCTATTCAGATTCAAAGAGAACAACCGTCTTTGAATCAACAATTACACCATGTAAATCTTAAACTATCCTTTTAATCCTCGCATTTTCATGCTTTACCTCTATTCTTGTTGTCACCATTTATCATAATTAACATTTTTCTACCTAATATAAATTCAACTTCCAACGCTTTGTACATTAATTAACGGAAGATGACAGAAGTTTCTGTCGAAACATGTGTTACAAACTTAAAAGTTTTGTCGTTTTTTTTTTTTTTTTAATTCTTGACTTACCTGCTACTCCCTGCTACTATCAAGAAGTAGTAATTGGTTATCAAAAATGTTTCTTCAGTGAAATTTAGCGCCCTGATCAGTTGTAAAATTATTAATCCATGTATCAATTGCTTGGGCTTACCTCGAGGCAGAAATATATTGGGAAAAGATAATTTAACTCCTTGACATACTATTCAAACGAAACCTACAAGAGTTATAGGTGTATTCTAAGGCCAGTCGCTTTTGTTTTTTTTTTTTATCAAATTTGCTCTATTTGATTTCTTAGGAGTTATTTTAGCGATAGCTTGAGGAGCAGTACTTATTCTGTAGAAACTTTTGGTAATTGTACCGCCTTGAGAACTTGCTTTTTGTCACTGGGAGGTGCATACGTCTTCCGTTTTTTTTTTTTTTTTTTTCTTTAACAAGATATTTGTGCTGATCCCAAACTTTTCATTTTTCCAGGGATGTTTGTTGACCGGTTGTCCTAATGTTGGCTCCTGTGTGTATGACAAAAAGGAAAACCTGTTCTCATGTTCGTGCAAAATACCGTGGACGGGAAAAAAAATGTGAAAATAAAAACGGTAAGATTTGTTTTACTTTTTTAAGTTGAAAAGGTTGGACCATTATAATCAAGAAAACTTTACCGCTGAAAGTGATAAAAGTGTGGTTATTGTTTTGTCGTAGAAGACTTAAAAGATCAAACGATTATGTGTTATTCTTCTTGTTTGTTTGTTTTTTTTACGTAACCAAAGGAATAGGCTGGATTTATGATCATCCTGCTCTTTCATGCAAGAACATCCGGGACGTGGGAGACTCCAAAGGAGACGGGAAATACTGTATCGACCCTGCAAAGAATGGAAAGCCATTCAAAGTTTACTGTGACATGACAACTGATGGAGGTTTGCTATCAAGGAGAAAATAACTTGTGATTAGTTAGAGTAAAGCTAAATTTCTTTTTCCTTCTCTACATTGATACAATTTTTTTCGCAATTGTATCATGGGCGTACAGAATCGAGGGACCAAAATAGCCCGATATTTCGCCAAATTGAAACAAAGTGTTCTTTCATAGACCAATTTTGATATTAAATATGGCCATTTCTAGAGTAAGAGTAAGGGGGGAGGGGGGGGAGTAACTCTTTCAATCAGTCCACTAACAAATGGAGTAACGACGCTCAAAACTATGAAAAGCGGCTGTATCATCACATGGTTCTCGTCTGGTACAAATATCATTGGCTGCTTTCACCAGAAAGTAAGAGATTCGAATGCGATGATTTTATCGGCAATGTTTCGACAGGCGATTTTTAGAAGATATATGTGCGTTGAGGACTCCATCAATGAAATTGTTATTTTTGTCACACACACAAAAACTGAATAAAAAATAAAAATTTGTATATAATACTTTTTGCGATAATTGTAGTGCAAACTGCTTTGTCAACTTCTGTCTTACATTGCTGTATGAGATTGCAATGAGATTGTAACAGAGTATGCATAGATAATCGCTTTGATGTTTTGTATTAAGAGAAAACTATCTCCCATAATTTTCTCTTGTCTTTATCTAATCACGGTTTTGGCGCCATTACGATATCAAATAGGTAATTTGAATGGAACCAAGTGGAGTCTAATTCGGTCTGTAATCATACGATTGATAACAATATTGTACTCCCTCTGCGCGGTCGTCTGATTTTTATACAGGGAGTCTTATAACCTAATAATCATCAGAATTTTAATTTCCAAGAAGAGAAGAATGACCAAGTTATGAAAGAAAGGGAAAATTTGCATTAAAAGACTAACAACCAAGATTGTGATTGGTGAATTTAAACTACAACTTTGAATGTGATTGGCTTATTGAACTATCCGATGGCAAACTTTCCGATAACAACTTGGCAAGTGAATTAGCGGAAAATAAGAGTTTTTTAAACCAATCGCAATCGAGGAAATTGTAATTTTTATGATTAAGGAATAAATCTAGTGAAATGAGAGACAAAGGAACCAGCTAGTCGAAAGTCTACTTTATATCAGCTTTTTTTTCTTTAAAAACAACCCTTTGCGCGCTATATGGGGGCACAGATATGACGATATTGCTTCTCCAATTTGATTTGAGGATCGTTGATTTTTTAGCGAGTTAGTTAGACTGAGCTTTCCTTCTTTCCAGAGCAAGCTTATAAAATCACAGAGATTAAGAGAACGAATTTTGTGATTTAAGATATTAGATTGATCGTCTAAAATTCTACAGTTAGTAGCTGGAGACAGGTTTCTTTCTAATTGGTGACTTCTTGACCAATTCGCATCCTTGTTGGGCGGTAAAGTTATCTTAATTTGCTCTCTAAGGTCACAGTGAGATTAGTTGCCTTTCTGAATTTGCTGGCGAACACCATGCGTCGCATTTCTTTGCGGCAAATACTCATCCAGTTTATTTCGATGTATCAAAATCCATTCTGAAATTAACGCTGTCTCTGCGATTGAGATGTGCATTGCTGATGTTCGTTCTTGGTTTATTACTAATCGTTTAATGATAAACGACGCAAAAACCGAGTTTCTAATTATTGGTACCCGCCAACAACTTGGAAAAGCATCTATTGAATCTATTATTATTAGTGACACCCTAATTAAACCTTTAGAAAGCGTCCGGAACCTTGAGTCCTGGTTCGATGCCCATATGCGAATGAACGTTCACATACGCAAGATTTGTGGCAAGGCTTTTCGCGGATTATACAACATAAGACAGATCAGAAAATTCCTTACTGTTCAATCGACTAAGACACTAGTCCACGCTTTTATATCCTCACACCTTGATTACTGTAACGCACTCCTCTTCGGTCTACCTAAATATCAACTCGATCGCTTACAGAAACTTCAGAATGCTGCGGCTAGAGGGATTTTTCAGATTCCAAAATTTGACCATACCACACCTTCACTTATTATAGTTTTAACGCTATATAAATTCCTTATCATTATCATTATAAATTCTTTATCATTATCTACTATAAACGGGGTACAGGTGGCTTTGATTATCGTCCTCCAAGCCTTTGTTGGTGATCCCCTGTTAAAATCCTCTCCTCCCCCCTCAGGCGATAAATAATGGCTGGTCTTAGTCTCGTACCTAGATCTTTTACGGTTGTAGTTACAGTTACACGGTAGGATCTGGGTACGAGATTGGTCCCCAACGACTGAGGTCCACCGAGGCCCAGAAAACCCATAATACTTGAATTCATTTATTGCAGTACGTGACCCCAAAGAAATTAACAGTAATATTATAAGCATTATAAGCAGAACATTGTTATTAAAGCTGGGTAGTTGAGACTCGTGGGGGAACACGCTTGTTTTCTTGCTTGCATTTACGAATTCAGCTCATGTAGAAACTATGAAGGGCATACAGGCGTCGTTTTTCATTCTACTCGAAGCCTTTGTTGTCGTGACAGGATTTTCTCACTCCGCATATTTCACAACACGAGAAAATAAGCGCCTCATAGGTCATCGTATTAAACAAGTCGATTCCGTCAGTTTGAAGTCGTGCAGCCAGTTTTGCTTGAGACATCCATGGTGCACTTCAAAAAACTTCCAAATATCAACCAAGATGAACGGCAAAGAAACTTGTGAATTGAACATGCACGGAATTATCGACGAAAACAATGATCATTTCCATGATCAAGAAGGAGTCACTTTCTCTCTGATGTTAAAGGTAAATATTGTTTCGCCGATGAAATAGGCATTACAGCCAGCACATACAAACTTATAGACCACACGTGTATGGAGCCTTTTAGGGCCAAGGTCTTTCACACTAAAACAACGCATCTAAAAGAACTAAAACACTAAACAACGCATCTTTCCGGGCGTGTTATAATTAGAGAGCACTTAGCCAGTGACAGGGCCTCCCACATTTTCAAACATCTGCAAGATTCTGAACATTGTCGCGCTTTGTGTTCAGCAGATAGCTTCCACGTTTTGGATCACGCCTCTACCGGTTTTTAACTCAAGATAAAAGAGGCTATTCAGATCCAAGGAGAACAACCGTCTTTGAATCAACAATTACACCATGTAAATCTTAAACTATCCTTTTAATCCTCACACTTTCATGCTTTGCCTCTATTCTTGTTGTCAACATTTATCATAATTAGCATTTTTCTACTCAATATAAATTCAACTTCCAACGCCTTGTCCATTAATTAATGGAAGATGACAGAAGTTTCTGATGAAACATGTTTTACAAACTTAAAAGTTTTGTCGTTTTCTTCAAATTCTTGACTTGCCTGCTACTATCCAGAAGTAGTAATTAGTTATAAAAATGTTTCCTCAGTGAAATGTAGTGCCTTGATCAGTTGTAAAATTATTAACTCCTTGACATGGCAATCAAACGACACCTACAAGAGTTATAAGTGTATTCTAAAGCCAGTCGCATTGTAATTTTTTTTTTTATCAAATTTGTTTTATTTGATTTCTTAGGAGTTTTTTTTAGCGATAGCTTGAGGAGCAGTACTTATTCTGTAGAAACTTTTTGTAATTGTACTGCCTTTGGAACTTACTTTTTGTCAGTGGGAGATGCATGCGTCTTCTGTTTTTTGTTTTGTTTTTGACAGGATATTTGTGCTCATCCCAAAGTTTTCATTTTTTCAGGGATGTTTGTTGACCGGCTGTCTTAATGGTGGCTCCTGTGTGTATGACAAAAACAAAAAGGGACACCTGTTCTCATGTTTGTGCAAAATACCGTGGACGGGAAAAAAATGTGAAAATAAAAACGGTAAGATTTGTTTTACTTTTTTAAGTTGAAAAGGTCGGACCATTGAAATCAAGAAAACTTTACCGCTGTAAGTAATAAAAGTGTGGTTTTAAGTTTAGAAGTACCTCAGTTTACCGACCATTAATTTGGTAGTTTTGGTATTGCGCTAATTAAAAAGTCAGTCCTCCGAAAAACATGAAAACAAAACAATTAGCGAAAAGCAGCTGTAAGGTAAAATCTATCGATGGCTATGAAAGACGCGCACAATTAAGAGTAGGCTTGTTCCTAGCTAAAATTGTCAACCATTATTCGTATTACTCAACAAAGTAAAGAAGAAAAGACGAGAAAAACTGCACTTTTTCCTTCTTTCATGTTTTTAATCATAGCGAATTAATGCATATATTTGCCTCAGACCCGTGATGCCAACGCTGTTTTCATTCGAATCACATTTGGCAAGTGCTTATTTCCTTTTAAAAATGCTCTCATTTTTTAAGTGAAGGTATTTCTAAAAATTTAAAACATTTTAAAAAAGCATTGAGCGAAAAGCAGCTGTAAGGTAAAATCTGTCGATGGCTATGAAAGACGCGCATAATTAACACTAAGCTTGTTCCCTGGCTCTATTTGGGAACCATTATTCGTATTGCTTGAAAACAATTGGAAAGTAAAGAAGGAAAGATGAGAAATGCCGCACTTTTTCCTTCTTTTATTTTTCTCATGTTCGTGCAAAATACCGTGGACGGTATCCTTCTAAATTTAGAAGTACCTCTTTACCGACCATTAATTTGGCAGTTTTGGTATTACGCTTGTTAACGGACAATTTAATAAGCCAATCACATTCAAAAGTTGTAGATTAAATCAACCAATCATAACCTTGGTTTCAATCACCATAGAAACTGTGTACAGACTCAGAAATTGGAGCTTTCTTCAAAATGGAGAATTCTTTTTTTGTCAGTCTCTTAATGCAAATTTGTCATTTCTTTCATAACTTGACGATTTTTTAGAGTTAACTTTGTGTCTTCCAATTCGGTCTGTGATCATACTTGTGATAAACAAATCGGACTCCTGCTGCGCGGTCGTCCGATTTTGAGTATTATTCGTATGATGACAGACCGAATTGGACTACACTCAGTGCTCTTACCATTACTAACTGTGCTATGCACCTAGTCCCTTATACCATTACATACACTGAGCCCACTGATGTGAAGGTGCGCTGGGAAACATGCGCGCCGGCTCAGTCAAGTCACTGAAGGAACTGCATGGATAGAGAGCGTGAATTTTACTCTTTGATAGTCTTAAATGCAACGCAAAAAAGTCAGGATAACTTTACAACTTACCATCATTGCTATTGCTGTTGGATAGCAAAACTTTCTCACCCCGAGGTGTATCTTCCATACTAACTTGATTGAGGCGTGTTTTTAACACTCAAGGAATAGGTTGGGAGTCAAATAGGCCTGCTACATCCTGCAAGCACATCTGGGACGCTGGAGACTCCAGAGGAGACGGGGAATACTGGATCGACCCTGAGAACAAAGGAAGCCCTTTGAAGGTCTATTGCGACATGACAACTGATGGAGGTGAGCGACAGATGTATTGTGGGGCCCTTTTTAGCCCGTTTTGAACGGGTGAGAGATATGAAATAAACCCTTCCTCTGGCGTGCTTTGACATCAACGATTAATCGGAATACTATTGTTTGAGTATCTTAAACCAAACGACATAGTTCTCAGACGAACGATTTGTAGCAAGCGCCAGGGAAAAGAAATGTACCGGCTTCCGTTTGCCTCTCAACTACCTCTCAAATACCTCTGTGCAGTAAGCGAATCGATCGAAAAAAAATCGTATTTTATATCTCCAGTCTACATCTAAGCATATCCTTGCTCGATAAAAATATATCTCAATTGTTCAAGACCAGAGGCGTACACATTCTTTTGAAAAGCTAAGTTGTATTCCTTTGCTGTTTCAGGAGGCTGGCTTCTCGTTTCCAACCTTGTGATGGCCAACTCAAGTCGGTCCGTTCCGTTGTTGGTTGAGTGGTCGTACCATGCTATCAGCCAATATCACAGGAACAACATGTTTCTGACCAAAACGGCCATGAATGAGCTCAGAACGTACTTGAATTTTACTCAGCTGAGATTCCATTGCAGCAAACGATTGAAGCGTACGTTCCACGTGACCACAGCCGCCAATAGCATCGGAGAAGCTGTGGTCCAGTACTTCAGCGGTCAGACAGATGCGCAACCATACTCGTGTGAATCTTTTGTCAGAATGGAAGACGACAACTCAAAATTAGCCAAGGTCTGCCAAGAGTGGGGGTCCGACTCTTCAAAGCGCAACGTTAGTAAATGGAGCTTTGCTCATCGCAATGACGACAGATTGTACAATCATGCTGTGATTGTCTGGTATGCCTATCACTGGAATATTCAGCCACAACATGGTCGATTTGACTGCGACGATTTTGCACATACAGTATCTGCCGGTGATTTCTGGAAAATTTTTGTACGTTAGAAATTTTGTGCATATTATCTGTATTCAGAAGTCTTGTTTCAAAGTATTTAATCTTACTTAACATCGCTGTACAGCAGTGTTCAATTGAGTATTGCTTTGGTTTTACTTTACTTCGCTCTGTGATTGGTCCGGAAAACTGGCGCCACCATCTCAACCAATCAAATGCAAAACTAAAACTAACCCCAACTAGGTAACTAGCGTTTTCCCGCACCTCCTACAGGTTACCTGCTTTTACTTCGAGTTCTCATTGGTTAATGATGATGTTGGCCTTTGTTCTGATTGATAGTTGTGGTTACGTTGGTTTTGGTTCTTTTGGCTGCTCTGTTAGTCATAAGAATTTGCGTTAACCTCACTGAGTTTTTAAAGTTTCCCCCGTTTATTAGCTTTGCCAAAAATACATGTAATGTAGAACATGGGTAAATAACAATAACAATAAGGGGCAGGCAAAAAAAAACAGCGATAGCCAATTACTGTGGTCCCAGGAGTATTAAAATAGTAAAACGATTACATCAGTAACTAATAATTGAGAACAGCATAGAGTTGGTGTTGTTTTCAGGCTGCGACATGAATTACATTTTGTAATGTTTTTTTTATAAGTCCTGGGATTGTCAATGTCAAAGATCTCTTGGAGTGCAGTTAAATAATAACACATCAAAGCACGTTTGAAGTCATTTACATTGTTCAAACTTAGGTTAAGCTCGTCTGACAGTGTGTTCCAGATTCTTATAGTTCGTACAATAAATGACCGTTAAAAGGTTGAAGTCTTGCATTTAGGTACAGAGTATTTGGTAACAGCTGTATTGGCAGACGATCGTGTTTGTCTTGTAGAAAGAGCAATAGGAACACTTGTAGGGTCTATATCCACCAGTATGGGTAATCTTAAAGAACAGTAACATATCTAAGCACTCATGCCAGTAGCTGATAGATAATAAGGAAAAGGTTTTTAGCCGTTGTTCATAACTCTGATGGCACGAGAATGGTAGTTTCACGATATATTTTGTAGCCCGTCTTTATATCTTTTCTAGATTTGAGATAAAATAAATAGATTGTGGCGCCCAACCTTGTGTAGCATAGCCCAGATGCGGTCTAACGATGATTAAATCGATTAATCTTCTTACAATAGTACTTTGCATATGACGCGCGTTTCTTTTAACAAACCCAAGCATCTTGTTCGCGCGCGAGCATTGCTCTGAGACTCGGCGATTCCAGGTTAGGCCAGTTAAAAAACCCAGACACTAAGATCACGTTCGTAACTTGTTTTCTCCAACATAGCACCATTCATATCATATTCATAGTTTCTCAGTTGCCGTTCTGAGTTTGCTGGCGAACACCATGCGTCGCGTTTCTTTGCAGCAAATACTCATCCAGTTTATTTCGATGTATTTACTATAAACGGGGTACAGGTGGCTTTGATTGTCGTCCTCCGAACCTTTGTTGGTGATCCCCTGTTAAAATCCTCCCCTCCCCCCCCCCAGGCGATAAAAATGGCTGGTCTTAGTCTCGTATCCAGATCTTTTACGGTTGTAGTTACAGTTACACGGTGGGATCTGGGTACGAGATTGGTCCCCAAAGACTGAGGTCTACTGAGGCCCAAAAAACCCATAATACTTTTATTCAATCATTACAGTACGTGACCTCAGAGAAATTAGTACATTATAAGCATTATAAATAGAAAATTGTTGTTTTTAAAGCTGGGTAATTCAAACATTGAAAAGCTATATATGCAACAAATGAATTGATCACTAAGGATTTTAATACAAGAAAAGCTAACGAGACTGACGAGCTGTAAATCTTTCATTTACTCCTATTTTATAGACAGTAAAACAAAAAGTTTTATCCACATTTGTTTTTTGTGAAAACGGCGTACCCCTAACATAACATAAAGCATTAGAAAGTTTAGCTCTATAACACTTACAACAGTGCAAATGAAGTGCTCATACAAGAAGGCCATCTGAGGGAAAGTATGACACCTTGTATGAAGTGGACTCTACCCAGAGTGCTTTCTGAGATCATTCCCTAAAAAAATGGTATTAAATGGACCCTGAGACCAAATTGAGCCTGTGTTTGAACACAAAACCCGTCCGGCTTAAAAGAAAAGTTTAAAGACTTGCTGTATATAGAGTTTTTGAATTGCAGGAAAACTGAACAGTTTTAAAACCATCATAATTTCACGATTCTAATTGTTGATAAGATGTGACGATAAGGTCTCCCCAGTGATCCTGACAAAACACACTTACTTTGCCTCCATCTACACCTGCTATTATAATTCTCCTAAATTAAAATGTCGTAATTGTTTCTTGCTTGAAAGGTTTCGCTATACGTAATGTGTTTTTGACAGAACTGTAAGACCTGACTATAAGGTGTTGTCAGGGCTAGGTTGTTTGGGTTTATCGTTGAGACTCGTTGGGGAACACGCTTGTTTTCTTGCTTGCATTTACGAATTCAGCTCATGTAGAAACTATGAAGGGCATACAGGCGTCGTTTTTCATTCTACTCGAAGCCCTTGTTGTCGTGACAGGATTTTCTCACTCCGCATATTTCACAACACGAGAAAATAAGCGCCTCATAGGTCATCGTATTAAACAAGTCGATTCTATCAGTTTGAAGTCGTGCAGCCAGTTTTGCTTGAGACATCCATGGTGCACTTCAACAAACTTCCAAATATCAACCAAGATGAACGGCAAAGAAACTTGTGAATTGAACATGCACGGAGTTATCGACGAAAACAATGATCATTTCCATGATCAAGAAGGAGTAACTTTCTCTCTGATGTTAAAGGTAAATATTGTTTCGCCAATGAAATAGGCATTACAGCCAGCACATACAAACTTATAGACCACACGTGAACGGAGCCTTTCAGGGCCAAGGTCTTTCACATTAAAACCACGCATCTTTCCAGGCGTGTTATAATTAGAGAGTACAATAGCCAGTAACAGGGCCTCCTACATTTTCAAACATCTGCAAGATTCTGAACATTGTCGTGCTTTGTGTTCAACAGATAGCTTCCACATTTTGGATCACGCCTCTCCCGGTTTTTAACTCAAGATAAAAGAGGCTATTCAGATTCAAAGAGAACAACCCTCTTTGAATCAACAATTACACCTTGTAAATCTAAAACTATCCTTTTAATCCTCACACTTTCAAGCTTTGCCTCTATTCTTGTTGTCAACATTTATCATAATTAGCATTTTTCTACTTATTATAAATTCAACTTCCAACGCCTTGTCCATTAATTAACTGAAGATGACAGAAGTTTCTGTTGAAACATGTTTTACAAACTTAAAAGTTTTGCCGTTTTCTTCAAATTCTTGAAGTAGTAATTGGTTATAAAAATGTTTCCTCAGTGAAATGTGGTGCCTTGGACAGTTATAAAATTAATAATCCATGTATCAGTTGCTTGGGCTTACCTTGAGCCTTGAGTGAATGGAGCCTTTCAGGACCAGGGTCTTTCACACTAAAACAACGCATCTAAAACAAATAAAGCACTAAACAACGCATCTTTCCAGGCGTGTTATAATTAGAGAGCACTTAGCCAGTGACAGGGCCTCCCACATTTTCAAACATCTGCAAGATTCTGAACATTGTCGCGCTTTGTGTTCAGCAGATAGCTTCCACGGTTTGGATCACGCCTCTACCGGTTTCTAACTCAAGATAAAAGAGGCTATTCAGATTCAAAGAGAACAACCGTCTTTGAATCAACAATTACACCATGTAAATCTTAAACTATCCTTTTAATCCTCACACTTTCATGCTTTGCCTCTATTCTTGTTGTCAACATTTATCATAATTAGCATTCTTCTACTTAATATAAATTCAACTTCCAACGCTTTGTCCATTCATTAACGGAAGATGACAGAAGTTTCTGTCGAATTATGTTTCACAAACTTAAAGTTTTGTCGTTTTCTTCAAATTTTCGACTTGCCTGCTACTATCCAGAAGTAGTAATTGGTGATAAAAATGTTTCCTCAGTGAAATGTAGTGCCTTGATCAGTTGTAAAATTATTAATCCATGTATCAGTTGCCTGGGCTTACTTTGAGCCAGAAATATATTGGGAAAAGATAATTTAACTCCTTGACATAGCAATCAAACGACACCTACAAGAGTTATAAGTGTATTCTAAAGCCAGTCGCTTTGTAATTTTTTTCATCAAACTTGTTATATTTGATTTCTTAGGAGTTTTTTTAACGATAGCTTGAGGAGCAGTACTTATTCTGTAGAAACTTTTTGTAATTGTACTGCCTTTGGAACTTACTTTTTGTCAGTGGGAGATGCATGCGTCTTCTGTTTTTTGTTTTATTTTTGACAGGATATTTGTGCTCATCCCAAAGTTTTCATTTTTTCAGGGATGTTTGTTGACCGGCTGTCTTAATGGTGGCTCCTGTGTGTATGACAAAAAGGGACACCTGTTCTCATGTTTGTGCAAAATACCGTGGACGGGAAAAAAAATGTGAAAATAAAAACGGTAAGATTTGTTTTACTTTTTTAAGTTGAAAAGGTCGGACCATTGTAATCAAGAAAACCTTACCGCTGTAAGTGATAAAAGTGTGGTTTTAAGTTTAGAAGTATCTCAGTTTACCGACCATTAATTTGGCAGTTTTGGTATTGCGCTAATTAAAAAGTCAGTCCTGCGAAAAACATGAAAACAAAACAATGAGCGAAAAGCAGCTGTAAGGTAAAATCTATCGATGGCTATGAAAGACGCGCACAATTAAGAGTTGGCTTGTTCCTAGCTAGAATTGTCAACCATTATTCGTATTGCTCAATAAAGTAAAGAAGAAAAGACGAGAAAAACTGCACTTTTTCCTTCTTTCATGTTTTTAATCATAGCGAATTAATGCATATATTTGCCTCAGACCCGTGATGCCAACGCCGTGTTCATTCGAATCACATATAGCAAGTGCTTATTTCCTTCCAAAATGCTCTCATTTTTCAAGTGAAGGTATTTCTAAAAATTTAAAATATTTTAAAAAAGCACTGAGCGAAAAGCAGCTGTAAGGTAAAATCTGTCGATGGCTATGAAAGACGCGCACAATAAAGAGTAAGCTTGCTCCCTGGCTCGAATTGTTAACCATTATTCGTATTGCTTGAAAACAATTGGAAAGTAAAGATAGAAAGATTAGAAATGCCGCACTTTTTCCTTCTTTGGTTTTTTTAATGATAGCGTATTAGCGCATATTTTTGCCTTATACCCGTGATGCCAACTGATGCAAAAATTTTTCTTCTCGGCGCTATTTTCACTCAAAACTCATTTGGGAAGTGCTTATTTCCTTCCAAAATGCTCTAATTTTTCATGGTATTTCTACAAATTTTAAATTGTCGGATCTCCAGCAAGTAACCATTTGTGGTTTTAGCGACATATCTTATGGGGGACTGAAATAATTGGAACTGAAACTGTTATTGTTTTGTCGTAGTAAGGCTAAAAAGATCATATGATTATGTGTTATTTTCTTGTTTTGTTTGTTTATTTTTTACGTAACTAAAGGAATAGGCTGGATTTATCGTTATCCTGCTCATTCATGCAAGAACATCCGGGACGTTGGAGACTCCAAAGGAGACGGGGAATACTGGATCGACCCTGCAAAGAATGGAAAGCCATTCAAAGTCTACTGCGACATGACAACTGATGGAGGTTTGCTATCAAGGAGAAAATAACTTGTGATTAGTTTGAGTAAAGCTAAATTTCTTTTTCCTTCTTTTCATGGATCATGGGCTTACAGAATCGAGGGACCAAAATAGCCCGATATTTCGCCAAATTGAAACAAAGTGTTCTTTAATAGACCAATTTTGATCTTAAATATGGCCATTTCTATTGAATTAGAAAAAGAAATTTCATCTTTGTCATTTTTCGTATTTAAAAACAGAAAATAAAAAAAATGAGATAGAAATACAGAAAAAGATGAACAATTGAATAAACCAACGGGATAATAGACAATATCTCTTTGGTTTTCAGGTGGGTGGCTTCTCATTTCCAACATCGTTAAGGGCGCCTTACCTATTCAACCCTCCCTCTGGGAGTCCTACGATGGAATCAGCCTTTACAAGAGAGGGAACATTGTTCTCAACAGAAGCGCCATGAAAGAACTCAGATCGAATGTGTCTTTCACTCAGCTGCGATTCTTCTGTAGTAAACAACAGGGAAGTACGTTCCACGTGACCACGGCCGCTAACAGTACTGGTGAAGCTGTTGTCCAGTACTTTAGCGGTCAGACGGATGCGCGACCGGATGCCTGTGGCTCGTTTGTGAGGATGGAAGATGATAACTCAGCTATGTCACAAGTTTGCAAAGAGTGGGGGAGTAACTCTTTCAACAAGTCCACTAACAAATGGAGTAAAGCTCAAAACTATGAAAAGCGGCTGTATCATCACGTGGTTCGCGTCTGGTTCAAATATCATTGGCTGATTTCCCAAGAACTTAAGAGATACGAATGCGACGATTTTCAAGACAATGTTTCCACAGGTGATTTTTGGAAGATATACGTACGTTGAGGACTCCATCGATGAAATTCTTGTTTTTGTCTCACACGCAAAAATGAAACTTTTCATGTAATACTTTTTGCGGTAATTGTAGTGCAAACAGCTTCGTCATATTCTTTCTTTCACTGCTGTATTTGATTTCAATGAGATTGTAACAGAGTATGCATAGATAATCGCTTTGATGTTTTTTATTAAGGGAAAACCATGTCCCATTATTTTCTCTTATCTTTATCTAATCTCGGTTTTGGCGCCGTTACGATGTCAAATACTTTTTAGGTAATTTTGATGGAACTGAGTGGAGTTCGATTCGGTTTGTAATCATACGAGTGATACAGGAAGTCTTACTAACAAATAATCATAAAAATTCCAATTTCCCAGAAAAAGAAGAATGCTAAGTTATGAAAGAAAGGGTAAATTTGTATTAAAAGACTAACAACCAAGGTTGAGATCGGTGGATTTAAACGACAACTTTGAATGTGATTGGCTTACTAAACTGTCCGATGGCAAACTTTCCGATAACAACTTGGCAAGTGAATTAGTGGAAAATAAGAGTTTTTTAAACCAATCATAATCGAGGAAATTGTAATTTGTATGATTAAGAGATAAATCTAGTGAAATGAGAGACGAAGGAGCCGGGTCAACGAGAGTCTACTTTACATCAGCTTTTTTTTCCTTAAAAACACCCCTTTGCGCGCTATATGGGGGCACACGTTTGCCGCCAGATATAACGATGTTGCTTCTCCAATTTGATTTAAGGATCATCGATTTTTTTAGTGAGTTAGTTAGACTGAGCACTTGGTCTTTCCAGAGCGAGCTTAGAAAATCACAGAGATTAAGAGAACGAATTTTGTGATTTAAGATATTAGATTGATAGTCTAAAAGTCTACAGTTAATAGCTGGAGACAGGTTTCTTTCTAATTGATGACTTCTTGACCAATTGGCTTCCTTGTTGGGTGGTAAAGCTATCCTGATGTGCTCTCTAAGGTCACAGTGAGATTAGTTGCCGACCTGAATTTGCCGTCGCGTTTCCTTACGGCAAATACTTATTTGGTTTTATTTCAATGTATCTAAGATAAACAGGGTACAGGTGGCTTTGATTATCGTCCTCCAAGCCTTTGATCCCTTGTTAAAATCCTTCCCCCCTCCCCAACGACTGAGGCCCAGAAAAGCCATAATGTTTGTCTTCAATTATTACAGTACGTGACCCTAGAGAAATTAGCAGTAATATTATAAGCAGAACATTGTTATTAAAGCTGGGTAGTTCAAACATTGAAAAGCTATATATGCAACAAATTAATTGATCACTAAGGATTTTAATACAAGAAAAGCCAGAGAGACTGAAGAGCTGTAAATCTTTCATTTACTCCTATTTAATATAATAGACAGTAAAACAAAGTTTTACCCGCATTTGTTTTTTGTGAAAACGGCGTACCCCTAAGTGATCTTAAGTGGTCTTTAATGACCCATGAAATACCCAGTGTGTTCAGATGAACGTGACATTGAAGAAGTGTAGGTTGTGTTTGTTTGTTCCTGTTTATGTTCCCTAGAGTAAAAGATTTATTTTTGTGCGGTTTTCTGTATATGTTTATTTTTCCACCCCCTCGGTATTTTATCACTGTTACCTAATTTCACGTTTATATCGGTCGGCCACGAGCATAGCGAGAAATTCTTTCTTGTTCACTCGGGCAAGATGTTTTTTCCACTCTAGTCATGGCATGGTTTCTGAATCACACGATTCCTGTAGAAATTGCAAAACTTGTTATTCGGTAATAATGTTTAATTAACTTTTAAAAGGATGGTTTTGCGAGAATCTTGTTACGTCTAGTTATATGTTGCATAATAACAGGGATTGCTTTCTTCCCTGTTATTATGGGCAGGTAGATAGTTCTGTTGTACGTGGATTACCATTAAAATGACTTGATTTCAATCTGTTTTGATTCACTTCAAATAATAAAGGTCGTCAGCAACATACCCAAGAAAATATTTGATCGGCCTAAATCCTCCCTCGTGGACAAATATTTCTCCCGCCTACCAAAAAGTTTATGTGTTCAAAGATGGACAATGACGCTCAATTTTAAGGAAGGGTGTTTTCAAAACGTGAATGATCTTTTCAAGTATGCCAACTTCGCCACTTTGTTTCAAATCGGTTTATTAGTTAGACACTTAGATCGTGATCAGTGAAATGGAATGATAACACCCACGTGCTGACATGACGTCACGCCATGGAATTCTTTCCACGTCACTTTGTTTTCATTGCCAATCCGTCGCTTCCGTATATTGACAAAAACATTATGAAAGGTCCTCGATGGGTTATTTATCTTTAGACAATTCCAAGTAGAGACGACAAGAGTGATAGAGATATTTTTTTACAAGCAAATTATACCAACAACTCAAAGACTATGAGCACAAATAGCTACGACGAAGAAGCTTCTATCCTTCTGTCAAAGAACATCACAAAATCTTTACTTGTGAAGAATGCTATCGACTTAGAGGCGTTAAAGAAACGGGCTCGACTGCTAGAGAAAGAGAAGAATTCAGAAGCGAGATTATTCCTCAAGAAAAAGGAGATTCTTTTAAAACGACAGGCGACTAGAAACTCTGGGACCCTTTCGAGTCAACGACCTTTGTCCTCTAGAAGTTTGATTCCGCCAGAAACGAATGTCAGTCGATGGAAAAGTGACACAGATTTGAAAAGAGAATTATCTCTTGGAGCGCGAACGCAAGATATGAATGACAAAAGTGGGAGGCAGAAGTTGCTATCGCCCTGGCTTCCCTTGCTTTCTGAAGGGGCCAAAAGAAGGAGCGGAACATTCTCTTCACTGGATCAGTATGAAAGTACTTCGACTTCTCTTCCAGATATACATGGAGGTTCAATTGGAAAAACGAAATTAAAGAAATACAGTGACACAAACCCACCACGGCTAGTTTCTTCTCAAGGCAAAAAGAAGACTGAAGTCTCCACTTCTGTTATTGACGACTGGCAAGATTTGCGAAAGATTAGATATTTGCGCAGGTAACCACGATCGTAGGCAAAAAAAATGTAACTATGATCCGCGTGTCGCCCATCGGCGGAAAAAAACTACATCAGGCTCTGATTGATTGGTCACTGGTGTGTGTGATCTGAGACTCTTGGTGGACGCTTCGCGCGCTTCGAGGTTCTTTTTGTTAGAAGTTTCCCAACCCAAGCTACGTACGTACGTGACCTGTTGGTAAAACGAAGGGCGGTGGTAAACGTGTGCGATAGTAACGGAAGAGTCGAAAACTAAGGAACTACTCCTCCACCACTATCGTGCTTGTAACTTTATATTTCCCTACTTATTATGCCTGGGACAGCTACAAACTTCGTGGTTCAGATGAGTAGAATACGATCTTAGCTCTCATGGAATCTTACATTGGGATGTCAACAACAAAGCTCAGTTTATTTATTTTTGTAGTAATGATGACCTTCGGAAAGATCTGCTTTCCGTCTTTTCCTTCTTAAATATTACAAAAAACGAGAAAACGATGAGAGTGTTCAAGCGAATTTTCTCATTATACGGCTATATGTATTCGATCATACGATGGTTATAAATTTATTCAAAGTACATTATAGAAAATTTTTGTGACACTGTAAATAACACAAATAAAGATATGTAACATATTCATTTTACATTCTCGTCGTACTGTCACGTTTATGTCCTCAGTTAATACCTCTTCCTGTCACTGACTGAAATAAGCCACAAAAATTCAAGTTCTTCAAGTTGGAACTTCCTCCTGAAGGCGTTAAGAGGTTAAAAGAAGAAGCTTAGCAAGAATATTAAATGAAGTTACTCATGTGTAAACATCACAAGCGTTTCGTGATCATACCGCCCTTTTTTACATGTGTTCTTTTGACATTTTGGTTTTAAACGTTTTGCTCTGTCGAATGACCTAGACCCTGTTGACCTTTTGGTAGTTTGTGCCTTTTATCATCTTCTTTTTTTTTTTTTTTTTCAATCTTTTCTTCAATTTTTAGTGAAGTTCGTGACCTTTCTTAAATTAACAACATGCACACCTTAGCAGTACCTTCACAATGGATATGTCGTCATGAGTGGAACAAATAAAATCATGTTGTTTTTGGTTGGCACAAGTAGCTAGCTAAGGTGTCACGTTCAATAGTCTGCCAATGGCCACTCACAGTAGAGACTCATGAGTCCAGGCATATCTCCAAAGAGACCAGATGTAAATTTAGTTGAGAAAATGCTCAAATTGAACACTTGAGACAACACTAAATTGAGGTCTGGTGGATAGAAGTGAATTCAGTGACCTTAGGAACGATGGTGTTCTTTATTCAGTCTGAAATGATCTCCGTATTTTGAGTCGGTCAAAAGGATCAATAATTTACCGGATTGGCGTAATCTGATGGCCGTGACTGTTCGAATATCTGTAAATTTCTCTTAGAACACCACAGCTAGTCGTTTAGTTAGAGGTTCTGATAAAATTCAGTCTAAATTTTCAAGCTTGTCAACTCACATCCTTGCTCAATGAATGGTTTATCTTATATTTATCTGCACTATTCTAGTTCTTTTTGGGTTTTTCAATATCTGAACTCTGTGGCGTTCAATTAGTATATCAGCAAACTATTTTCAAGGTTTCTTTGCCGCATCTCATTCCACCCTGTAAATTATAAAACGAAAAAGAAGGAGACTTTATTCTTCTCGCAGATTGATATAAGGGCTGTATACAGATGCCTGTTATAAACAAAGACAGGGGAGTAAGTTCAGCATATCCGGTTGTGTTGCTAACTTTTTTTTTTACTGATTAAGTGGGTCGATAAAAAAACCAACATTAAACATCATTGTTATGCGAAAAAGAAAAAACACAACAAAAAAACAAGGAATATAAATAACCGGAAGTACGATTTATCTCGACTCACGTTCTTGTTTAAAGAAAGGGCCACACATTGAATGTCTAGTCTCGGGGTTTTCAGGAGAAAATGTTGGAATTTACACAATGTTTATACTGAATGTTAAAAAATGTTTGGCACTTGGGATTCTTTTACAGCCGTGTATTTGATGAAAAATTCAGATATAGTACGTAACAAATTTGTACTCTGACATTGCTCAACGATATTAATTCTTACAAACTTGACAGAAATGATTTCACTCTCAGTACTGGAATTACGGGTGTGCCATAAATGGAGCACGGCCAACTCGAACTGCCAAGGAGGTGGAGGTGGGGGAAGAAGAGCAGTTGATGGGAGGGTTCAGGTTGAATGATGAGTGGATTAGTAAGAAATTATTTTCAAGGACGGTGGATTGAGGTTCCAGTTATCGCTAGGCTCGAGTTAATGAGGTTCTTCAGTACTTCGCATTGATACAAGTCGTTTCATCTCTCTGAGTTGATATAAACAAGGTTTGTTTCTAGGTTTAACCAGAGGTCAGTTACTTGCCTCCTGGTTTAACCAGGAATAACGAAGGTGTTTTTGAACGCAGTGCTTTTATTACTAGGAAGAGACACGAATTTACGAGATTATAGGAAAAACAAACGGTCTGAGGGAATGATAATCGGTTGAAAATAATTAGTAAACGTGGTTAAGAATAAGATGAAAAGAGGAAGAAAAAGAACTCGACGCTAGAGGAGAAGGAGGAGGAGAAAAAGTAGAAGAAAAAAGAAGAGGAAGTTAGTGATGATGATTATGATAAATATTGCTTAGGTTTAGGTAATTTTACGCAAACTTTACTTAAGTCCTAGACATGAATCAATTTGTAAATGTGGAGCACCTGTCACACATCTGTCAATTTAGAGTAAATATCAGGGAAGAAAACATTTAAGTTTCTTTGTTCGTATGATTTTTCAGTTAATGTTTGCGTGGTATTATTCAAACAAATAACAAAGGCTGTTATGAATTGGCGTCACTGATGACGCTTCTTTATTGTTTTTATTGACAGCGCCAGCGCTAAACATGACATGTATATACGCGACGAATTCTGAGGTAAAGACTTGTTTCTGTCAGAAGCACTGATATTCTTCGTAAACGTTTCCTGTGTTAGGAAAGACCACACTAAGCTTGGGAAAAATGAAATCGAGCTTCAATGAAGAAACCCTGGCATTGTTATCAAAGTCCACTGTCAAACTTCTACGTGTTCGAAATGCAATTGATGACGGAACGCTGAAGAAAGAGTCACAAATGCTTCAAAAGCAGAGAAAGGCAGAAGAGAGATTATACCAGAGAACAAGAGAATATATTTTACAACAGCGTTTAAAGATTTCTGAAACAAGACCATTATCGTCTCGAAGTTCAAACATAGAACAAGCTGTCACCAAATGGAAAAGTGACCCAAACTTGGCGCGACAAAATTTGTCCCCTCATATGAGACGGAAAGAAATTGATGCCAACAAAGGGAAACAAACGTTATTATCTTCCTCTTTTCCACGCCTCACGGACCACGCTGACAAACACTCTGAACTAAGCTTGAGTCCTCGCTCCAGGCACCGTGCGTTATCAACACTAAGCCCCGAGTATGGCGATGTCACAACTTCTCTTCCAGATATAAATGCCGCCTCTAAGTGGAAAAGAGGAGGCAAAATAGTCAGGGACACAATACGACCGTGGAAACTGTCTGACACTCAGCTGGATACTGGACGTCCAAGCTTTGATAAAGACGCCATTACTGATGAAAAGTGGAAAGAATTAAAGAATTGTCGGTATTTGCGCACTGTATCGGCGAGGGGAGAACTTAGCAAATGATCTTGATGGCGGAAAAAATTGTGGAATGTATCAGTATGCATGGATAATTTTTGACTGTACCTTAGGTCATAATTGAAGTAAGAGGGAGGATATTCTTATCCGATCTTGTCTGACGAAATTTGGTCATAAATTGACTCATTCTAAAAGCCCATGAACGGCAGGGCCAGCAGACCAGAAGTTTCTGAACTGATTAGGAGTAATCATAGCAAATTACTTTTTGATCGATGTAAAAGCTATGGGCAGTTTTTGAAGTCATTCGTATTAATCAAATACATATTAATAAGCGGCAGTCTTATGTTTTCTTTGGAAAAATGGCTCTACACATCGAAAAGATATGGCAAACCAGCATTTAATGAAACACATGCACACGAGCGGAGCAAAAGAACGCCATCATAGGAGAACGTTTGAACAGAACAGTGACAGTACGGCGTACTGGTCACTTCTAAACCTGTACAAGCTTAATCTCTGCTGGCTGACTATGACTACCCTGGCCTCCGTGATGTCAGCTTTTGTATCGCTCGCAGTTCCCACGTAGTCATGCTACTGAGTGCGTGGGTATGAGAAAATTAAAATGATCATGTATAAGTCGTTACAATTTTTAATTTTTTTTATGTATAGAAGAAGAAAGAACCAAATTATTTCGTAAACATAAATATAAAATCTATCTTTTAAAAACGATTAATTTATGGTTTAAATTCTGGTTTACCTGGTTGAGTTATTCGTAGTAGCTATATGCATTTTGGGATCCATTCTTAAACGAGCATCGGTCTCTTGACTCATTTGTCATCTGATTAAGTACCTTCGAAAACTATCAATTAGTGATCTAGCTCTTCTCACGTTCCCTCCGTGGATGTCATGTATGTATGCTAGTCAGGGGCATATTACTCTAAGTAGTGTGCTCCTGCACAAATTCATTCCTTTAAGAATTATGTGGTTTGAGTTGTATCATGGAAATGAATGAATTTATTGCCCTAATCTCAGGTTGTGGTTTGAGTATATGTACTGCCTCAACAACTTTGCTAGAACGTTCTTATATCTGACTTTATGGACTAGGTAGGGTATAAAATAACACTGATAAATGCAAACTCCTGAATTAAGAAAAAAATATTAATAAGAGACTCAATTGTTTTCATAGAGATAAGATGACAAAGATGGAGACTACATCGAACTCACGTTTACACCCTGACACAGACATCCATCTCTAACTCAAATTTATATTCTCATCGTCAGTCGAAGTATAAGAACGGTGATAGCTTCATATTGGCTCTTGATTGTATTTCCTTTTTCTGTTGTTATTCTCAAACTGTTTGTTTACGAACTTATCGATATATTGGCCACCCTAATCTTTTCTCTGTCCAGAACAGCAAAGTCATGCAACTAGTGCGTTTTGATTTGTCTTAAGTATCCCAAAAAAGAGGAATTTGATTTCTAAGGCGTCATTCAGTCCTTCAATAATTTTCTACGCCGTTTTGTCGATGTATCAGACTGCACTCACGATCGGAGTGGCATGACACATCGTCCTTGTCAGGCACTTGAGAACGATTACACAATACGCGATAAATAACCCTTCAGCTCAAAGCAATGGAAAAAGAAAGCTTACGAAGTTTCGTTTTCAAAACAACCGAATCTTTTTATCTCTCTTTTAATTTATTCATCTTTCTTACTAGGGTTGTTTTTGAGCAAGACTGATTCAGATAGAGTAACTAACAACCAAATAATTAAATACGCTCATAAACCTTGTTTGGTGCACCACCGGAAACTGATTTTCATATTGAATTCGCCGGTTGCTGTTGCATGTGTTTTTAGTATATTCTTTCCTCGTTGGTACTTTCCCACAATACAAAGAGTTATTTTTGGTTTCCTCTCTGAGATGACCGCAAAAATCAACAACGGAAATGATAGTATGATAAGGCATCTTTTTGAGTGGGAAGACAGAGAATGAGGTAAGGTAGTTACGTCTTTGTCACGGTGGGTGCATCTGGAAAAATTTCACCGTTTGCAATGCGGCCCGTGTCAATGTTATGCAGCTTTGGCCATCCTTAGTTCCTCTTGGCTCACTTCTGCTTCTTTCGAGTTTTTCTAAAATATTAAACTATTATTGCGCAGTCTTTTTTTGACTCACGCTAGTTTGATCGGCACTCTACGTAACTCGTATATCGTGACGTTAAGCTCATAATTATGATTGCAATTGTTTTGTCTATTTTGTGATATTGGACAGGATGTCGTTTCTGAAAAAGCGGATACACTTAAAATATCACATATTAATGTGTCAGTGTCTTAAGTTTGTGTCAGATGCAGTGAAATAATTCAAGGCGGCGCAAGCTCGTGAAGTTTACAACTAACAAAATGAATGCGAATCATGAAGAGCCACCGGTACTTCTATCGAAAAACACCAAAAGGACCTTACTCATGCGAAACGCCATCAACCAAGAGACTCTTAAGAAACAGTCTCGTCTCTTAGAGAAAGAGAAAAGTTCAGAGGAAAGGTTATTTCTAAAGAAAAAGGAACATCTTTTACAACGTCAGGTGACAAGGGGCTTAGAAACCAGTCAAAGTCGACCTTCTTCTTCTCGCAGCTTAAACTTGGAGAACTCAGTTACGAAATGGAAAAAGGCAACAGCTTTGTCTAAAGAATGTTCTCAATCTCATTTGCCGAAAAAAATAGAGGTCAATCTAACACCTATGTCTTCTGGGAAGTTGGAAAACGCGCTGAACAAATGGAAAAACGTAACCGCTTCAGCAAGAGAATCAACTCAATCTCCTAAGCCAAGGAGGAAAGAAATTGTTGGAAATAACCGGCAAAGGCGTTTGCTTTCCGCACTCTCTTTGCAGTCCGATGAGGACGAAATAGAGCCAGTTCCTCTCAGGTCTAGAAGTAAGACATTCTCAACTTTTAGTTCTACAGTTCCTCTTCCTGACATACACGCCACGTCCAACGGAATAACAGGACTGAAAAAATGCAATGACACACAGCTGCCAGATAGTTTGGAAATTTGTCAAGAAGATGATTGGAAACCTTTGAGAGAGTGTCGATATTTGCGCACCAGTTCAGGAGAGGAAGAGCTCTGTGGTATTTAGAATCAACGCTAAACTACAGAATAGTGTAAGAATTGAAAAAGAAACATCCATACAACAAAATTGAGCATGTTGAGTTCACCATGGATTTAGCTTTGGTCAGTTGATGAAACATCAATGCCAGTCTGCTTCAGAAAGAATCAAATGAGTCATAATTTCAGTTCTTAATGTGCTAAATATTGAACTTCATGTTTTTGACATGCAATATCAGGTAACTAGCCATAGAAGGGAGACTTTTAAATATCTATTCCTTCTAGAAAGTGAATTGAGATTCTTTGGCTCGCGTGAGTTGTTCATGGAGCTCCAAGTTCGTCCTTTTTGTACGTAAGAACAATGTATTTTTAATCAATTAATGCTAATGCTGATTCGTTCCCTAACGAGCTAAGAAACACTCCAAGAGGTCTGGTTGGGGAGGCAAAAGTTTAATGACGATCATTTGTCTCAAACGATTGAATTTTATATTGTTGAATAACACAATTGCTTTGTTTGTCAGAGAATGGAACGATATTAATCCACTGGCTTTACATGCAAATTTGAACGACTTCTATCGGTCAATTAATCGGCCAGGTCTTTCTCTAAATCGAAAATATGGGAAATAATAATCCGCCCTTAGACTTTAGTTCTAGTGACTGAAATTTTTCTCTCCGTTACCCACGCATTTAGATAGATAGATAGTTTATTGAAATATCATACTGCAGCCCAAAGGCTAAATTGCTTATTATTTTATAATACATACAGATAATGTATAAAATTACTATAGTACAGGTTATGTGAATATGAAAGCGATCTTCGTAGTAATGAACACTACTTGAGCAGTAGTGAAAATAAGGCCCGAAAAAAATTCAGGCCTGTATGGGATTTGAATCCATGACCTCTGCGATACCTGTGCGCGCTCTACTAGCTGAGTTAACAGGCCAACTGGGAGCTCCCCATTGGCTTGTTAGGTTAGGTTAGGTTAATCTCCCGTGCTAAGAATCGTAATATTCAAGAACAGGTCTTACAGCAGTGCGATAAAAATTGACAACGTAGTAAGGGTTTAAACCCGCTCTTTAGGAAGAACCAAGAAACATAATCTCTTACTGGACAGAGTTGCTCCTAAAATCTTAGCGGAGTTGACAGTAGAGAGTTCCTTCCCATCAGCGATGTTCATGACTTGACATTGGCATTCAAGGTCATCTTGTGGTCACACGACCAGTTCTCAACAGCGTGAACACCACTCTGGATGTTACCCGGCCGCCCTCGCGGTACGACCTCGGCTACATTAGTGTCATCCACGTATTTCCGGGTCTGAAAGCCTGAGACCTTGAGGTCATTTATCACTAATATAAATAACCAAGGGTCCAGCTTGGTGCCTTGGGGGACACCAGCGGGGACTGGGCCTCATTCCGAGAAACAGTCTGCAGATAGCTTGACACGTTGTCGTCGGGCCATCAGGAAGTCTGCAACCTAATGGGCGACGCTCTTAGGGATTGGTAGATTGGAGATCTTGCACACCAGCAGGATGCGATCGATGAAATCGAAAGCCTTCCTATAATCGAAGAGGACAACTCTCACAGCAGCTCCAGTACTTTCAGTAGCTTTGTTCCAGTTGTGCACCATAGATGTTAGGGCGTGAAGGGTAGAAGATCTCGGAATTCCTCCAACCTGGTTAGAGTCGATAACATCCATCGCAGCAGGGCCCACATGAAGACCAACCACAAAATATTTCGCGACTTTGGACAGCGCCGGAGTCAGGAATATGAAGAGATATGACCTGACGAACTATTTAATGAAATCAAATAAGTTTAAAAGGTAATCAGTGACGATGGCTGTTTTTTCTTTTTCCGCGACGATTTACTGTTACTAAAACTTGAAGTTTGGGGTAGTTACACAGAAATAAAAAGCTTTTTCTTATACACAAAGGGCTGCGTCGGTAGGGCTTGTTACAAGATAATTGGTTTTACTAACTGAGTTGATAACGTAAATTGGCCCGGCTCCGGTTTCAACAATTGACGTTTGGGTTTCCCTTAGACGAAGAGCTAACGCTCAAAACGTCAGCTTTAGTTACTCATTAGGATGGTTGATTTTCATTATCAACTCAATTGATAAAACCAAATGTATTGTAAAAAAAATTAATTTACGAAAGAGTCCAAACTCAGTAGAAAATATGTATTAAATTTGTTAAATGAACCACAAAATCTAGCTGAAATAAAAGCTCCGAAACTTCTTAAATTTCCAAGCAAAGGGGTAACAAATTTACGCGAACGAAAGCTCAAAAACAACTGACTAAAACTCCGAGAAAACAAACTAAAAGTACGCGAAAAATGTCTGCATCATTTTTTCAACGTCAAGGTTCAAATTCTTTGACGTGATTGGCTAATTTGTAAAATCACAAAAATGAATGTGAATACAAAAAGAATACAAAGAGGGAAAGAAAGAGAAAAACTGTTACTTGAAATTTAAAAACGAAAGAGATTTTCTACATGTGTCTCGCATTTCCTAAACAGACGCGTGTACTCCAACAGCTAGAGCTTGAATGTTTTATTTGATTTTTTTCGGTTACCAAGATGTCTCTAGATACGTCATCAGAGTATCATCGAGCGATGAAAGCAATATTTTAAGGACTTCATGGTAAACTCCTTTTTTTTACTACTTTTAAATCAAATCGAAGGCATTCCCGCTGGTCTGTTCCGTTACAGATCTCAGATGACGTCAGTCAGCGGTAAAAAAGCAGAAATTGGCCCATAATTATTGTAAATGAGTGTGAAATTGATAGTCTTACCGTCTTTTGACGTCTTCTATAATCTACAATGTGTGGTAAAAGTCTGAGTGTGTTTCATTATTTTCCCTCATAGTTGTTAGAGTTCGACTCCTTAACTCCCTCCCCACCCCTAATACAATGATAAATTTTCTTAATCTTACCTCGCTCTCGAGGTACAACGATTTTGGGAAGGGGGGTGGGGAGGGTATGGAATAAGAATTTCTGAGGGTCACAAACTGTTTTGAACTATGATTTTTGCGATGAGAAATCACATTCTTCCTTAAAACGAATCGAATTTGTACTGTTGCGTTCGACAATTTAATTTTCATTTTTCCTTTATGTTGAAACTGATATGCGACCCTTGAATAATAAGACCTTTCCAATTGAGCAAACCTACTATCGCACCAAGACCCCTCACGGCCTGGCAGAGGAGGGATCTGTCTTAGAGCTCTTCAATTTCCTAGTCATTTGCATAATCTCAACATTTTTTTGGAGAAAAGAAGCGATGGTAAGATGATTATGAGGTTTGAGAGCTTTATTTTAATTAGCATATAAGCCCAAAAATATTACCGCTTCTTTAAAGAATCCTTTGTCACAGATGGTGTCTGCGTTCTTAATTAAGAAGATACTGAGAACGCTTTGGATAAAGCACACCGACTGATGATCGGCCACGAGATGATATATCAAGAGACACAAGACAATTCTTTGTTTTGACAAGCCTTTTCAAAATAAAACTATTACTCGTCATGACAATTAAAGGAATCCTTTGTTTAGCTTTCGTTAATTAAAAAGCGTTTGAAACAAATGCAGTTTGAATGATAATAGAATATATATATGTGCGTGAAATTTATGTTACTCAGTAAGCCTTTTGGAGAGTGATCTCGCGCAGACTACAGAATCAACATCTCTTTAGCAGAAAAGTACCACTCCAAAAGCTAACATGGACTTTGAAAAGGAAATGCAAGAGTCTCTTAAAGTTATTTTCTACAACATCAAAGTCCTAGAAACCAAAAGGAAGAGGTCAGTCTCATGGAATCATTCAAAGAGTGGAGTTAGTCAGCGCAAAATAAGTTTACCAGTAAAGAGAGTTACCCCTAAGTTTGAAGAACAGCACAGAGTAGCAAGAGAGCGCTGTTTTAGTGTTTAAAGATGGTTGGGCAGAGTTGACATGGATATTCGTACAAAGAGTTTATGTTCCATATTCTTCATAAAGACTGTAGCAGGCAGTCCCTGTCATGGATGTGAAAAGTGACAGAACATTGAAACTGTGCAGAATCTTCGTTGACTGACTTCAGAGAAATGAAGAAGTTTTGGCTGTTATAACTTTCATTTCTTGATCTGATGGGCGAGTCATAAATCAAAAGAGCTAGTTAATCGCCTGGAGAAAAAACCTACCGATTTTCAACTCTTTCAGAGAAAGAAAGCTCATGTAATCATGTTGTTTATGTTCAGATTAATTATGTAATGTTCACGCAATGATATAAAGATTCTTTTTTGCAACACAAATTGAATGAGCTCATTCATGCACATAAGTGTTGTTCACGTGCAAAGCGCTCATCGACCGCTAGAAAAAGTGTGAAACCTCTCATTCTGAAGCTACATGTGATATGTAAAGGACTGATGTGAATAAAAAATTGAATTACATAAACGTAACATTGTGATGCTTTCTTGAAAACAGTTTCCTTCTTTAAATACTCTCAATCAGAAAATTAACTAGAGTGATCTCGAGCATGGAGAAATTTTCATGGTTGGACGGTCCCCTCACGATTATTAAACCGACTATAAGTAGTTTATTTGACACTTTAAACTTTTGATCCCATAGTAACCTGCGCTTGAAACTGCCGCTCTACTTAAATTTTTTTTATAAGGTTGTGACAGAGATTTAGTAAAATGTCAAAGGACGCACGTGAGTGTCATACCATTCCATATTACGTAACTCACGTGCAGTTCCACCCTATCCCGTGTTATATAATTTTCATAATTTTAATGCGCAATGTTCGTTCCAGGAAGGCGAAGAAGGGGCGAAAGGGAGGAAGGGGGAGGGGGGGGGGGCCGAGGGCGAGAGGGGGTTTCCTATTATTATATTCTCTCGCCCAAACCTCCTCTTAGCTTTCAGCAGCAATCAATTATTTTTCTTTGTCGTCTTGGAGAAAAAAAAGGATCTGTTTCCAATCTGCAATCATCCCACCAAGGAAATGACGGGAAAATCTACCGAGAAAATTCCACTTTTCCCTAGACTTAAAGTTTGGCAATTTTCTAGTACATGTTCCGAATGAGAGCATATTTTCAGTGTGCGACATGAGAAAAAAGGTGACAGAGAGTGGTATCAGGAGATCCTAGTTAATTTAAGTAATGGGCTTTAGCCTCCTCTAAATAGATTTATCAATAAATGTTCGAGTAACTATGAAATTCTCATTATTATTATTAGTGAGCTAATACCAATCGTCGATTTAGAAAAACAAGTTTTGCCTACGATACTTTTTTTTTTGCAGTGTACTTTCCAAGCAGGCAAATAAGTGCCGAGAAGAGCTAATAAAGTAAACACTTGAAAACCCCTCCTTAGGTTCAGTTTACGTTCCTGGTTTCAAAGTTATGCTTTACTCGATTTAAAAATCAGGAATTTTTCTGAATTACTTGGTCTACAAATTAATAAATCATTAGCATCGTAATGGGCGCAAGAACGGATCCTGTTCCTCTAAGTGTAGAAGTGTTTTGTTACATTGTATCGAGTTGTTTGCCTTAAAATGACGCGTACATGTTGTCCATATATGACATTTCCTACTTCAGAGTCTTCATACTAAAATCTCCAAGCTGAAGTTTCAATCCTTTACGAAAAGCGAGAACCAAAAGGCGAGACGTTTTCATGTCGCAAGATGAAGAAACTGCCTCACGATTGGTGAGTCAAAAAACACGAAGGGACAGTATTATTTCGAGGCGGGACAAGGACGTCCAAAGATGGAGAAAATTGAAAACGCTTGTAAATGACGATTATGGAAATTGAAGCTATGCTTTTCAAGATGGACAGACTGTGATGTTGCTCTTTCAGAAGACGACAATAAGAGAAACACCAGACCCACATCATTCATATTGCAACAATTCTCCGATTGACGTCTGTATATTGCATCAGGAATTGATGTTACATTTGACGTTTTAAAGACTGACAAACAAAAAGCTTTAAGTTCACAAACACACTCAGCGCTTTTGCTAGAATGTCATCACCTTGCTTCGTTTCAGTTTCCATGTTTGTTTCCCACTGTTTTAAAAGTGAGCATTTGATTAGTCATTTTGGGCGCGGCTATACCAGATAATAGTTTGATGCATGTTGTGAAATGTTGACGTAGGTTAATTCAAGAGGCTGCTTTCACCAGGCAGACATTTCTTTGATCAAAGCAGGAGGACATCACGATAATTGTGAAATGAGCTGCGTCTGTTAAACTGGAGACTGAACTCACCCGCACCGCGTGAATTACGACTCGTGACAATTTTTCAGATGGAAAACAAAAAAATCAGAGGCAATCGAATGGACGATGATCTACGTGAGAGGAAGATTTCAAGAGGTTTGGTGCGACATGTTTTGACAAGGAACACTGGTGACAGGATTGCTTTGGGGAGAGTAACAAGACAACTCGACAAAGAAAGGATAGCAAAGGAATTGGATTACCAACAACAGAAACAGAAGCTTCTACTCCAGAAGTTTGAATCTCAGATGAAAGAGCGATCCGCGAAGGATTCTCAAGAAACATCAAACGAGCTCGATGGCACAGCGGGGTTGCGAAAGGCGACTGGAAAACATGTCATGTCGCGGTTTAGAAGTTATTCCGAGCTGGAAATGTCGAGCTCACAATTGCAAAGGTTGAAGTGTTCTGCAGAGATTCCTGAGGCGCTTGAGAAAAAAGCGAAAACAAACAGGGCACTCAATTATTCGCGACTGGCAGTCGAAAAGAGAGCAAACGAAACTAACCGGCCGAGGTTACGCAAAACAGGAGTGATTAAAGCTCCGGAGCGTTCAGGCCTTGTTGAGGAAGTGAGAATGAAGCGGACTAAGACGCTATCAGAAATTTTACCTCCAGTTATTCTTCCACCAATATTTCAATCTGGCGCAAGTTCATTGGAAAAGAGGACTGTTCTGGAGAACCAGCGGACACAAGCAAAAGAATCTTTTTCCGAGGGTTCTGGCTCTAATCAGACACCAATGATGACTGAGATAAGAGAGTTAGAGGACCTGGAGGACTGTCGATATCTTAGAAAGAGCAATTTTCGATAAGCTCAGCTAAACATGTATAACCATGTGATGCAGGAGTAAACGTTTTCTTTTAAACTAATTCCTTTTGTGTAGACGAAGGAAGTGAAATTAGTTACTGAAGGGGAAATTAAAGAATCAAAGGAAGGGGGTACGATTTCAAACTTTACGGACCATTTATTTTCTATCAACTAAGGGGGGGGGGGGGGTCTTAGGATTTTTTGGGATTACAGGAATTTCGTGGTGACACAACCAAAAATTCTCCAACTCACCCCCCCCCCCCCCCCAAGTAATATATAATGACCGGTCCCGGTCCCGGTTTACTTTGAAAATTATTTCCTTGCGGTCATTAGGCCTTCACCCTCCATGTTGTGCATATGATCCGAAGCATGGAATATATATATAGGAAAAATAAAGATTAGATAAGATATAAACATTTCAATTTAATCACTGTTACACCCTTACATTGACCAGTGAAATAAACTCGTTAACACTTCCCTCGGATCTTTTGCATCTTCAGACCTTTTAAGATGCATTAAGATGCAAGACTCTAACGGAAACACGTCAAGATCTCAAAAAGGCAACTACTGCGTGACACATGATCACTCGCTATTTAAATTCAATGAATATTTTTTGTTCATCTGAAGGACTTCTGTACTGTTTAATGCTGCTCAAATCAAGTATTGAGTAGCTTAATGGCACCTATATTGATAGGGTCCTATAATTAGAGATAACTAACTGTACCTAATGTGATTCTTTGCATTGAGAAGCACGAATAACACAGTTGGCATGGCCTTCAAAGTTAAAAATGCTGAGTTCTGCATTCTTAAACTAGTCAGACCCGGGTTCATCCACTTTGTTTCAGCTTTTCTGCGGACCCACGGTTCAACAGGTGTTTTGTATCTATTGTACTTCTGGGCGGGCATAATGGATTTTGTTTATAATGCTGGTTTTGTTCCTAACTAATCATTGTCAAACCACAAATACATTAAGCAATTACAATCAAGAAAACTACAATCAAACTGGCCGAGAAATGACGTCAGTGTGGTAATAAAAAACTGTGATTACCATAAATTGACTCGTTCATGTGACAAAGTCAAGAGCCCTTAGGGTCGAGTGGGGTTACGGGAAAAAAGCCTCAAAAGATGGTGCATTAAATAGTCCTATAGCAAAAGGGTTTTGTGCCTTAGACTGACGGTTTGGTATGGAATTTCACCTAACTTTGTCAAGAAAACAGGAGGGGGGGAGTAGTGGTTACGGTTTAGGATGTTTACCACTGCTTTTAATCGGATTTTGGATAGAATGAATTATAAACATCCAAAAAAACTATTCATTGTGTGCACTTAACCATCAATGGGTGTTTGTCAAGCCTGTGAACAATAGCGAAATAACGGCATGACTAAGGTAAAATAAAACCTTTCTATTGGTTACAATCACATTGAGCAGTTATATAAAAAAGTCTAAGTAATGATGGTATTTTTAGAACCGTCTAGTCGTTGAGGAGGTTTGAATGAACCCACGTACAACCAAAGAGTCGGTAGAAATCTTAGAGGATGGACTTCGAGAGAGAAATGCAGAGGGCTTTCAAAGTAATTTTTCACAACATCGAGGCCATAGAAAATAACAGAGTAAGAACACCACTCAAGTTGAATTACCCCGTAAAGGGAATCAAAAGATGGCAGAAGAAACTGCAATCTCTGAGTTTATCGGATTTACGAGCTTCCTCCGAAGAGATCAGTTCAGCATCAGATTCTTCGTTCAAGAAACACTCTCTTTAGCCTTCTTGGCAGATGAAGCACAGTTTGACTTTTAATTTGAAATGTGCACTAACTGCACTGTTCGAAAGAAAGACACTTTCCTGATTTAAGAGTTGAAGCCATGGGCGTCACAGTCCACCTGTGAAGACGAATACATTTGGGCCGTGTCCAAGCAGGCCCATAGCTCATGAAAAGTCACACCGAGGTGTATGAATGTCCACTTAACTTCAGCTTAATGAGCTTGAATTCAACATGATGAACTGATGAAATCATATCTTACTTGTCTTGAATTTTTTTGGTATATCAAGAACGGTTGATATTAATTCAACTCCAGATTATTGACTTGGAATTCAACAGGAATTCAAGACAGCTCAACTATTGTGGTAGTCAGTTTCTAGTCACAGCTTAAAGTTCGCATTAGCGCTGTAGTTAAACTCTCCTTTCGAGAAGTTTTAGACAGCGTTATGTAGCGTTTAATTGAATTGTTTTAAGGATATCTAACGTGGCTTCAAGCGCTTCAGGGTGTGCTTTGCAAACGAATTTGCATTGCGATCGGTGAACTAAGAAGAAGGAAAATTTGTCCATCGCTAGCTGTCAAATAATTTCCTTTCATAATTTACCTCGCCTATTTATAGATTGTAAGTGTAATCAGTTCATTTTTTTTTTCAAGTCCTATCAACCTTATATTGTTTCCCCATCATTTCTTCGTGTTTTTTATTATTAACTAATGTAGTTTACAATCTACAAACAATGACAAATGAAATGAAAACTCTGTGGAACATTCCATCTCGTGTGGTGGCGCGTACAGTGGGAAACTGTAAAATACATTGTAAGAAATTCGTTCAGAACCTTACAATCTGTTCGTTGTGGCTTATGGAGGGAATAGATTTACTTTGTACTCCACAGGGGCGAGTGTTTGTCCATGTAGAACAGATGTATGCTATTCAAATAAAAAATTTGTGCTTGAAATTTGCCAAAGTACAATTCTTGGATCATTGAGGTAAAATGCCTGGAAACGCTACTTTTCACCTTCGTGGACGTTTTAATCACATCTTTGAAAGTCTTCTGCAGTTGAAAAACGTGAATGTTATTCACTGATCTGGAACGGAATTACGAGAGCCACTTCAAATCGTCTTTTCTAGAAGCATTATCTTTTTCTCGCGTGATACGGGCGTGGCAAAGCCGAGCTTTCGAGTGCGTAACTGAGAGAGGATCTGGACTATGCATCCTCCTTGTGTCCGGACATAGATGTTTCATACGTAAATCCTGTAGGCTATTTCCTTTCCTCAGACGTCTGGCACCTCAGACGGAGTCAGGTCTTTTTAACCATTTGACTTTCATGAGTGATCAAAACAGAATTCCTCCTTACAACATCAAAACAAAACCAAGAAGACAGGTGGTGAGACCAGAGAAAAATATCAACTAGGGCATTTTCAGTTAATCCGATACCAAATTCTCCAATAGACATCATGAGAACTCTATGGCAGATAGTAAGGAGAATTTATAATGAGATCTTGGGTGTGAAAGGGTTACAATGAGCAGATAATGTCTTTCCGATGGCAATATAGAAGACATTTCACAATCAAAAGAGACCAAAACTACATTTTTTAGATCAGAATAGAACAAATTTCTGAAGGTAATTCTTGGAGGGAAATTTTTTGTATCCAGATAACTGCTACCAGTAGAAAGGGAATAAAAAATGGTCTTTGTGTGACTAGATCTAAAGGCTTAGTAGCTCTGTTCGATTTCGAGCTCTCTCGCCCGTGAAAAACGTGAGAAACGGCCCGTTCAGTTCTAAACACACGGATGAGAGCATCATCAATGAGAACAAAAGCAAAGCGTTTAATTACTGTCTGACTCAGACAGCGGACAGACGTACATGCACATGTACGCGAACATCATTGCACAATCTCATCTCTGCTTAGATTTTTTTAGTACCTTCGTCAGGTCTCTTTTGTTCTGCTTTGTTCATCTGTGCAGTATCAAAGTGCTGCTCCGATTTAGTGCCGTCGATCAGTCAAACTGTATGACAAGCGCGAGACTGCTAGCTCCTCAGTCAGACGGTCGGTCACACTAATTCAGTTTTTCAGTAATTATTCTGAAATTTCAGACCGATTCAATGAACGAAAGATTGCAATTTCGTACTAATTTCAAGTGAAATAATGCGTATCGACTTTTTATTCCAATATTCAAGGAGACGTGAAGAAAAAGTTTACATGTTGATGAAATGTAAAGTTAATACCCTAAGTGAAACTGCGATTTCAGATGAAATAGGAACATTGTTTTTAGTCATTAATTCCGCCAGAGTTTAAGACCCTCAAAATCGTGTGGTGGTCAAACCTTTCCTTTGAATAAGGGCTATTTTTTCGTCAATGACGTGTCTACTCGGTCATGCATTCTATATCACTTTCAAGTAGTTATTTGTTGACAATACTCAAATTTTGTACGAGCCTTCAACCATTAGCGGGTTGTTTTTGTTTACCCACGCGACTAAGAGCCGATTTTCGACCCACTTTAGATAGTAGTGTTTATTTTTTTACATCCGTTTAGATCGTACTTTGTTAATTTGGTGTGTGGAGGGTGGAGGTCTTAATTATTTCGAGTTGAAAATTTTCCAATCACTGCACATTCACAAACTGTCGTTCTTTAATTGGCATTAGTTACTGTGCCAACAGTGTGTGTAAATTCGATTGCAACCATCGTACAATCAAAAGTCCAGAATCACCTTTACTTCCCGAAGACTAAACAGCAGTCAAGAAAGGAAGAACTTGAGTGGAGGGATCAATGCACTGCTTTACTGCTTCACTTGGCTTAAGGCGTATCACTGCCTTGAGGAGCTGAACTCACATCAAGCTCGGTTATGAAATTCTTAAACTGCGAGGATCGTACAGCTTTCCCCATCCAAAATCGCACACTTTTTTTAAATGAACACAAGAAAAGATTATTATGTTTCGGGGATGAGAAGCGGACCAAAGACATGTCTACTGACCTGAGCTTTGTTGCATATTATGCCGGTTTTTGTCGCACAACATAATTGCATAGCTGCTCAAAAGTCACTAGCGCCCACTACCTATAACCAATCTGTAATTTCTTGATACAACATAGAGGAGCATCGGCTTTGACATGAAGATAGCTATCATCAAGTCTTACTCTGTAGTGAGAGTGAGTTTCCCAATTGCCTTCAAAACATTCGAAATATTACAAGCTATCTTTTTAACGCCAATCAGAGAAGTATTTCCCTTTGCTTACGCTCAAGGTTTCAGTCAGCGAGCTGGCAATTATTCGGAGAGAACCAATCAGATTCTTGTATTCATACTCTGATATCAAGATCAGTACGCAGTAATGGTCTAAACTAGAAAAAGCCCCTAGTAAAGAGCGGATCGGCGTCAAGACATTACAACCTGTCTTCTTTTCTATTTCGGGTCTGCTAAATCCGCCTACTAAATCCAACTAAATCTTTTAACCTCTTTCATAAACAGACCTTATAAACTACTCCAGGCATAATCCAACCTTTCTCGCTCTCTCGCAAGGAGGGGAAGGGGGAGAGGAGGGGAAGGGGGAGAGGAGAGGAAGGGGAGGGGAGGGGAAGGGGGAGAGGAGAGGAAGGGGGGGAGGAGGGAAGGGGGGAGGAGGAGAGGAGGGGGGAGAGGAGGGAAGGGGGAGAGGAGGGGAAGGGGGGGAGGAGAGGAAGGGGAGAGGAGAGGAAGGGTAGAGGAGAGAAAGGGGGAGAGGAGGGGAAGGGGGATTCTAAGAATATTACAGAGATTTAAGAAGGGATCAGGAAACTTTTAATCTGACACAACCAAAATCCTCCGATTTCCTAAGGCGATAAATGATGACCCGTCTCTCCGATAAACGTAATGTCGGACGAAAGTGGGCGACAAACAGTGTAGAAAGGATTCATATTACACTGAACGTATATAAGACTAGAAACTGGCTGCTCCCCTTGAGGAAAAGAAACCGTGAAACAGGAACAGGAATTTCCAGCGCCACATTTATAATTTGGTCTTTTGCGATGTATGTATATCTGTGTTGTCACCCAAACAAATGATAGATAACTCTGACGACCGTTTGTGTTACGTTTCTTTAGTGTGTCTTCGAGACAACAAATCGCATGGAAAATTACCTGTTCTGGTATTTTCCACTGGCGTGACTTTGTGATGTCGGCGCTATTTAATCAGCTTAGACCAAGAGCACGGAGTGTGCAGTCAACAATCACGCCCCCTCTTGCCACCAAACGATTCTAAACACGTGATTCTGAAGTCGTAAACACAGAGGTGAGAAATTGTTATTTCTGCTGGCTGCAGGGATTGGCCAAGGGTCTTATAACACCACACGGCAGCTTTCGCTAAAAGAGCTAATTTGTCATGCCCAAAACCTATTAACCTCTTTTTTATCCAAATTTGAAGATTTACTGCACGGACAATGGAGACCAATTGACTCTACTTTGACTCAGGCTATGCATGCATAACTTAGATCCACGAACTTTTGAAAAAGTAGTGGGATTAGTGGTTAAAACAGCGTGTAACTTGCCAATACAACACCCAGACACTCATCACTCTTGTCATCACCTCTGCAAAATCTCCTCCATGGCTTCCTTAAAAATCGATTTTCCTCCAGCTGAAATATACTGATGATTAGCTCTTTTGCATAAATTAAAAACAGATGGAAACAGTCAGAGCATACTTGTCTCTTAGACAAAACTAACAACCACGACTCTAACTGGTGTTTGTTTACAAGCACAGTCAATTCAGCGCAAAACAGGTCACTTCAGGTCAATCGCTTTCGCAATAAGGTGAGTAAAAACCTAAAATATGCTTGGAATCTTTCGTTGACGCATGCTTGGTAACAAGTTAAGTAAATAATTGCTATTTCGGAACAAATACAACAAAGATTAATTTCACGGGGTCATTAAGAGCTAAGACGCCCCCGTAAACATACAGGGAATAGAATGTCGCACACATGTCTACCAAGACAGAAGAATAAAATCGGAATCCGTGCAAGTTAAAAATTCAAGGGTAAAATGGCTAAGAATATGACGAGCAGAGAGAAACTCAAGTACGAAGGATATACTTTGCCAAAACCTACCATCAAAGAGCTACTGGCCCGTAACGCACGGAAGGATTCGGAGTTAAAAACCCTCCACAAAAGACTCGACAAGGAGAAAGAGGAACTCGAGAGCGATTTTTCCAAGACACGCTCTCAGTTTCTTTCCCGAGTTCACAATTTGTTGTTGGAGGGACAAACACACGATCTTGGGTTTAATCATGAGAGCAATTCTGACGAAGAACAACAGAGTACTTTCGAAAGTGGTGCTAAAAACGATAATGGCATTAACGATTTAACTCCATCATGGGAAGCGAATTTGAAAAGTCTGTCCAGCTCTCAGCTCGATGAGGACATAAACAGGGCTGGATGTAATCGAAACTCACGCCACATTCAACCATGGGCACAAAAAGTCGAACACTGCAACCATTCTTTGGCCACAAAAGCTGATTCAGGTTCATCAAAACTCTCGCGTTCTAGACGTAAAGTAAGTTGGGGAGGTAGGGCAAACGTTATGCCTGAAGATTGGGACGCGAGAAGCGTTCTCAGCAAGTCGAACTCCGAAGGAAATCTTCCCTCCGCTCAAGTCACATGTCCGATAAGTGACACCTTACGCTCTAGAATTCGGAGACACTCCGTTGTCGGTCGATCGCGATTTGATACCTTTAATCCCAGAAGCAACAGCCTCATGAAGGAAGATTTAAAAAACCAGAAGTCGTCGAACACTCCACGCCAGGTAAAACAACGAAGGCATACGGTGTGTGCTAGAGGAATTTTTGAGCCGAAACTGACTTCTACCGAAGAGGAAAAATGTAAAGCAAAAAAACCTTTGTCTGAACTTCTTCCTCCAATTACACTACCTCCGATTTATCTTCAAGAATCAAAAAGAAAAGAAACAGGCAAAAAGAAGAGCTTCGTAAAGACACACGTACGACCGAAAGCTGCGGATTCCACACAGCTCACAGAAGATTTAGACTATTGCCGCTACTTACGATTGAATAGAAAAGACGGCGATTACAGTTAGCTACAAAACTAGGAAATAATGATGTGATTTATTGCAACCGGAAAACAACGCTGATCACTTTAAAAAGACGCGTTGTTTGCCCATGAGGGTTAATCTATGCAACTCCTTCTAAGAGTCCAATAAATGGATAATGGATTTAACGCTAATGCCTGCAGCAAAATCTGGTGTTTTCAAGCGATTGCCAGTGCACGTGACAAACGCACCCTTGAAATCTTACAAACAAGCTCACAAAGTTCGATTGCTGATCGACATCACAGAAAAAATGTATCTGTTGAAAATGTAATGAGCAAAACTCGTTAAGACAAAACATTCAGGCTGTGCAAATTTCGATTATGATGATCATCGTAAAGTTACAATATAAGTAAAAAACAATCAATGTTAATGTTGCCTTCAGGATTGATAAGGCTAAATTTCAGTGCTCAATTTGTCTTCGAAAATATCCTCTTCATTTACCACCTTCATTACTTCTTTCCGCTATACTTTTTGAGAAAAAAATATTCAAGAATTACACTCGAGATGCTAAACAGGGGATGATTTCTTACGACAATTCAAGAAAAATATGCCTCAGGGTCTATCTCAGAAAGGAAGATTAGTTTAACTAAAGCATCTTTCAACCATGTGTTTAGCCAAACTTATTTTTTTTTTACATTCCATGAACACAGCTTGCAAACAAGGATGTTCAAACACGTCAAAAACTCCTAATTAAACAGTTTGCTATTTACAAGTTAAAATGTATGTGTACTTAACATGTTTACAATTGATATGGCACAAAAACAAAGCTTATTTGCACACTAAATACCGACACAAAAGATTTTGGAACCTCAACGAATTAGAGAGATGGAAGATGCTATATTAATTAACAAAACCGCCTCAAACAAAAACCTTTGGCCTTTTGTTAGACGCGCCTTTTTGTTATCTGATTTTCCGCGTTAGAGTGGTGTGGGGGGTGTAGATTACCCGATTTACCTGCTGAACAGATGATCTGCACGGTGAACAGCAATGGGCGGGCGCCACTGACAGCAAAAACATTGCAGGGATATTTTTCTTAAATTTTTAACAGTTTTCTCAAAAAGCAATTCCTACACGTACACTTACAAAGCCGAAATTCGTAGCAGAGGGTCGTCTAAATCCCCTATACAGACATCATATCGACATAACCCAGAGCGTCAACAACACGTGAATATGTGTATGTACGAGTAAAAGCAACATAACATTAAAACATTTCAACGTGTTGTCAGTTATCGTCGCCAGAGCTTTGTGAGTATTCTCACCAGTTACGACGCATCGCAGGTCAGATAAACTTCATAATAGTCTTGGGGTTTACACTAAGGTGACGAAAGCAGGTGTCACGCTCTACATGGGCCCCGTGACTTCATAACTCTCAGCTTCATCTCTAAAGTGATCCACTAAGTTGTTTATCTCGGAAACTCTTTTGCGGTTTCTTAACACCTCGTCATTGTGGATCTTCTCGTTAAGAGTTTGCATTCTGGTGGTTGCTCTGGTTAACATATCATCCTCCTAGAAATGCACCATAATGATTAAGACTAAATTCTCTCAACCTCTCTCTCGCAAAAATAACAAAGCAGGTTTGGAGAATTTGGTCCGTAAGTACTGAATTCAGGAAGACACCTGATTTTTACGACATAAAATCAAGATAGATTATAGAAAAGTATAGAAAACGTATTCAGGGGGAATTTGACCACACACACTTATGTACTGTTTCACTACGCTGTCATTAGCGTGGTATGAACGAAAAACTAGCGACGTGAAAAAGAAAGGGCACCAAAGGCTTTTCCCATGAAAAGAGAAAAATTTCTTTGGCGAGATTTTACACCTAATGCGTAAATGCTGGTAAACCCTTGGAAAAGCCTTTGATTATTCAAACTTACAACAACAAACCCAAAAAGGAACACAGCAAGGTCAAAAACGACAGCATTTTTTTTATCTACCTTGTTATCAATCTTTAGAAGGTGCGTATCATGAGAAGCACTGACGGCGTTCATTAGTGTGTCCTTGTCAACAAATAGCTTTGAGAAACAAGCAACAACACAATTAGTTTCGACGACAACGAAAAAAAAAATACGGACCAAAAAATAATGAAACTTAGCCATTCCAAATCTGAACTGTTGAGGGCGAAAATTGACCATCAGACTTCTATCTTACCAGATATATTGGATACGAGATTCTTCAGTTCATTCCATGATTGGCGGTACTCAGTTTTGGGTGAAACCTTCTAGATTTTTCCCAAGCGTGTGGAATTCAAAGTTTGGTTTTCTTTTTTGCTCCTAAGCAACGCTAAATTCTGCTTCGTTCCAATCATTTAACCCTTTACACCCTAATATCAGAATTAATATTCTCCACACTGTTCATCGTACATTTCTTAAGGTACCGACAAGGAGATTTGCTTTAACAATCAAGAGCTTCTTTAGTGAGTGATCATTTCCATTATTCTCGTGACCTTAATGTTTGATTTAGGGGGTGATATTGTGAGGAGAAATTAGACGCTAGTCATTCTTAGGGGTTAAAGGGTTACATGACGCACTGCGAAAAAAGGCGTATGTAGCTGCCGCAAAAAGAGAAAAAAAAACATATCCATACCTTTCAGCTAGGTTTGTTTGTTATATTTCTTTTTAGTTAATCCAGTCAGCACGACAAAGATAAAACTTCATCTAAAACGTACGCCAGTTTTTTCATCTTTCCAGATAAGTTCCGGCACCTATTAAACCAAAGCCAACTTACCATTCTCAAGTCATCAGGCAGATCTTCTTCCAGCTCGTTTTTCATCAGTTTTTCAAGTGTGACCACAGCGATATCTGACGTTTTTTCGTGATGTGCGTTTTCCAGGTCACGTAACTGCGTCATTGTGAACAAAGTTAAGGACAAAGAATGCAAGGCACAGCTGATAGGGGCTCGAGGAGGAAACTTATTTCACGTCTTTCAGTTCTACTAACTACGAAGCACATCTGCTTGCAGTTTTCGCTTAAACGCTCTTAGACAAAATAACAGTGCATTTTTTGTCAGATTAAACATTTTGTCATTGGTAGTTGAGGTTAAGTTCCAGTACCAGTACCAGTTCCAGCACAGGAGGTTCACAATCTCATAAACGAAAAGGTCTCAACGGCAATCTGGCCCTAGCAACCTGAAGGCACCTGCCAACTCAACGCCCGAATGTGGAACGAATACTTGCCCACAAAGTGTGAGGAAGGGAGGGCGGGGGAATCAAAAAGCAAAGAAGTAAGATAATTGAATAAAAGCATATAGCAATACGGTTAAGTCCCTGTAAACCTTACTGACCCCACCCAAAGCACACTAATGAAACCGCTGCATTGACTTGGTTCTAACCTAAATTCCAATTGGCCTTGAAAAAAAAGACCGAGATTCAAGAGCTATTGCTTGGTATATTCTCAAGCACACTCTTAAAATTCCCTGATTTACCCACAAGTCTCCAGTAAAGGATATAATCCTTGCACGTGTTCTACAAATGCGGTCACAAGGTCCGCCATGTTCCTTTCAAAGTCTTTAATTGTGTCCTGTATGTTGAGATACACGTGTTATTTATTTGAATAGTCATTTATAAGTCTTTATAAAATGTTCAGAAAAATGCGCGCGCCGTTATTGGTCAGAACGAGTTAATTATATTTCCATAAAGCACGCGCCTTACGTCAGACGAGTGCACTGTTGAGATATAGTGCACGCAGCCAACGTCATCGGTACGAGCGCGCGCAATTCACGATGCATTTTATGAAAGAAATTAAAAAACCTTGCTCCTCGTGCACCGTTGAGTTATATAAGCATTAGGGAATTTTTAGAAACACTCGAAAAGTGCGAGAAGCATTCGCCTTCGGCTTTTACTTCTTCTCACTTCTCGAGTGTTCTTAAAAATTCCCTAATGCTTATATAACAACGATGCATTCGGCGCGTTTTTTAATTCTTTATAACCACTAGCATTAAAGCCGTCTGTTTATGCTTTTTTTCTCCGGCGCGTGCCAGATTCGTGCAATTCTGAAGAAGTTCTGGATCAGTTCAGGCACTGATTTTTATCAACAAATTAGATTCAAGTAGATTGGCCACCGTTTCAAAGCTAAAACTGAAAATCTAAACGGTGGCCAATTTACGCTATCAGTTCAGCTAATAATAGCAAATTATCTAGTTATTTTCACCCACAGACGCAGCAGCACAAATGATTTAGAAACTTACCCCCTTTATAGATTTAAGTAAGTTGAATAAAGGGGGTAAGTCTCTAAAGAAACTGTGGTGCAGCGTCGGAGAGGGTATTACTAGATTATTTGATTTTAAAAACTGAGTTGATTATGAATATTGGCCATCGTAAAGAGTTATTTAAGTCCTTGAGCTTCAGAAGCTCTTTACGGTGGTCAATTTACATTATTAACTCATTAAAAGACACAAATTGTCTTACAATTACGTAGGTTGATTACCTCTAACTGGTCCACCAGCTCCATTTCCAGTCCCATTAGTGTGTCCCACAGTTTTCTTATTTCTTCAACGATTTCCTTCATCAAGGTTTCCATATGACTCTGGTCAGTTAGGCTAGTATAGTCCAAAAATACCTGAAATGAAACATAAGGATTGCACTCATTGCAAAAATCGGGAATTACTAGTTCGGCTCAGTACAACAGGCATAAAATAAATGATGTACTCTTTTGTGCAAGTCGTGTGCAGTACAGAAATATAATAAAGCAAAGATACAACTTGTAGATGCAGTCTTACTTTCAGGGACAGTCGTTTTCGATATACTGTTTAAGTTCACTCAAGATTAAAAGAGTGGTCAGTTTAGCAGTTCAAGGTGAAAGACATGTCGCAGAAAAACGAAATGCAGATTAACCAGAAATCTGCAATCATCATTAGATTATCCTTCCGTTCAGGAGAGAGTCAAACTCATATGAACACGTAACACATTTATGAGGTTCTTATTAGTGGGGGGTGGGGAATTGGGGGGTTCAATTTCAGGCCGTTTGACGGCTAACACCATTGAACTCCTGTGTAAGTAAACTCTGGAAGGAAGAGCCATTTAGCTCGTGCGTTGACTGCACGTGTATATCTGCTTGCCATTTACAAAGAAATACTCCATACCTTTTTCTTGTACTCAATGTAGCTATGAATGTGCTTGACACCTGTGTTGTTGTTTTCTTGCGTTGCTTCTTCCAAACAAGAAAAGAATGATGCAATTTCTGCTTCTCTCTTTTCATGCTCCTTCAAGCCAAACTCGAATATTTCCTGGCAAATTGCTGTAAACTTCTCATTGTATCTTGCATAAGTAAAGGTGTGTAATCTTAATTTGGAATACATGGGTGTACAATTCTGAAATACAAATCCATTTACTTAATAAACAATGTTGCTACATACTATAATGTATGCTGTTTGTAAAGGATACCCATTGAGGATTTCTTCCATTCCAGGAAGAGCCCCAAGTTTACCAGCCTCAGGATCATCAGCATACATGCTTTCAAAGAGCCATGGACCATTCAGGTCCTCCACAAAGGCCATCTAAAAATTTGAAAGGAGAAGTGTGTGCTAAGAATAGAAACAAAGGGCATACAAACACAAGAAAAAATACCAGTCGTTCAATGAGGTCACCCAAAGGAGGGTACAGTCCTGCAAAAGACTGCAACAACTAAACTTAGGTCAATGTCAGTCTGATTTTTCAATAAACTAAAACAGAAGTCATAATCAGAGCCACATGGAAAGGTGTTTGTAGTTGAATTTCAATAAGTCTAGTAGAAAAATAATTGTGTGAAGTTTATCAGTCCTGAAGGAGGTATGGGCAGGTGATCAATTTGAAAATGTCATCCAGGCTAAAGCAACCTGGATGAAATACTAGGGCAGAGGTAGGGCAATTTTCAACTGAGTCTGTAAAGCAATCTGAGATTGCCCTGGTTTTGCCTAACTTTCCTCTGTAATTGACCCATTAAAAACTTGCCCCACTGATTCAACCAATCAAATACAAAACTAAATCTAATTGGATCCACGATACATGCATTTCCCCTTGCTTTAGACAAAAAGCCTTTCTATGGGCCCAAGTGGCCCATGGGGCTGATGCTTAACTCCAGTTTTCTTAGCATGAAGAGGCTAGGAGTATTGCTACTCCCCCCTGGATGGGATGCTAGTCCATCGCAGGGTTAGCCCTAGCACATTTACTGGTACCCATTTGTACACCTGGGTGAAGAGAAGCACTGTGAGAGTAAAGTGTCTTGCCTAAAAACACAACACAATGACCAAATGACTTTTTAGACAAAAAAGGAGGGGAAAAAACTCTGACCGCTTTTCGCAGTATTTTCCTTTGTTCTGATTGGTCAGTATCAGAGATTAATTTGGTTTTGGTTCTATCACAACACTCAAATGAAAAGAGCTCTTATCATTAACTCCAAAGATCTGAGTACCAATCCTTCCTCCTTCCTGCTATCCATTACTTTTACTTATTGATCAAATTAAAAGGAAGCAAACATTGTACAGGTGAAGTTGCCGCCAAATTCCACCCATTAGAGTTCTCCTTTTGGTATACATGTACCTTGTGCAACTGTCTCTCCTTTTGGTTTTCTTCAACTTCATCCTGTTTTCTCTTGGCTATGGTCTCATTTTGGACCATTTCCTCTATAGAATATTTGTATTTTTCTGTTGCAGCTTCTCGGGCTGATTCATCGATCAGACGAAAGTCCAGGTAGACAAGTTCTGATAGATGTGCAATTACATATTCTTTGTAATTAACTTCCTCAGAAAATGGGTTTCCACTGAGGTTTAAAGTTCTCAAGGACTTGAATCGTCTGAGATAAACAACCTAAATGACCAAAAATGATTGTAATGAATACTGTTGTTGGACACAATAAGAATCAGGAAACTTTTATACATTTTCCCTTAATTTAACGTATAAATCTTGATGAAATTGTCTTTAAGGTATTACTGGCAATTTAAATTTGCACCATTATCATTTTTATTTAATGAGATCAGTTTAAAGTTTGCATCCCATGGATGAATTGGATTGTTATATCTCTCGGTAAGAACATGCCCTGTGACAGGTCAATTCAGTGGTCCGTATTTCACTGTACTGTCACCTAAATTCAAAAGTTTGTTTGAATTGAAATGTTTCTCCAAATTTTGAACCCAGAGATATAATAAATATCCTTGGCTACCACCCTTGTTTCCTTGGTCCTTACTCTAAGTTTAAGATTCAAACCAGGTTCTATCTGCTCATATTTCAGGCCTGCGTCCTTTTTGCTTGGGTTTCTTTTTTGGCTTGGTCTAATTATTAGACCAAGCCAAAAAAGAAACCCAGTCTGCAACTGATAGTATGGACCTTGACCTCATTTAATATGAGATATATATTGTTCCCTGGAATAGGCCTGGGAAACTGTTGTGTGTTTTAGCTTTTTCTATTCCTATAAATATTATGTGCTTAATAAACTAAATTACAGAGAATTAAAATGTTTCACCAGAATTTGAACCCAGAGATATAGTAAATATCCTTGGCTAACAACCTTGTTTCCTTGGTCCTTACTGTAAGTTTAAGATTCAAACCAGGTTTTATCTGCTCATATTTCAGGCCTGTGTTCTTTTTGTTTGGACCACGATTAGACAAAGCAAAAAGAGACACGGTCTGCAACTGACAGTATGGACCTTGAACTCATTTAATATGAGGTATATATTGTTCCCTGGAATACGCCTGGGAAACTGTTGTGTGTTTTAGTTTTTTTCTATTCCTATGAATATCATGTGCTTAATAAACTAACTTACAAAGAAAGAGGGGATAAGTTTTTAAAGAAACTGTGGTGCTGCGTTGGTGGGAGAGTATAGCTGGTAATTTAGTGCTAATAACTGAGTTAAAAGTGTAAATTGGCCACCATAGAGAGTAAAAAAGCTGACGTTTTGAGTGTTAGCCCTTCGTAAGAGAAATTGATGAAGGGGTAATGCTCGAAATGTCAGCTGTTTTACTCTTTGCAGTGGCCAATTTACAGAGAAAGAGCCTTGACATTAGCTGTGTAAGAAAGAATCTAATTAGCAATTAAATTATTGCCTAATTTTTTGGAAACAAATAATCAAATGAAATTAATCCTTGAAAAAATCCAATTTGAGAAAAAAATGCTAGAAAATTTTTGGTTGAAAATACTCTCTGAAGGCTTCCAAAAAATTAAATAATACAAAATTCAATTTTGCCATTCCCCATTTATCCCATAAATGTATTGCTAACCAGTGGGCCATCAATTGCTGGAATGTACTCACATTATCCAGTTGTTTGAGGCTGTTGTTTCCAATGGAAAACACATGAAGCTGAGTAAGAAAGTCCATGTTTTCAATTTTTGATATTCTGTTATTGTAAAGTGTAAGATCCTTCAACTTGGTTAGTTTATCCAGTCCCTCGATAACTTCAATATTGTTAAATGAAAGATCTGCAACAAAGTTAAGCCAAGCAAATTTAGATGTTGATAAACTTTTGATCTATCAAGTTATCATAACTTGTTAGTATTAGGCTGATATCAATGCTAACAACTTTAGCTTTAAACACATCACTGCAGCTTTAATTACATGGACTTTTATCAAATGATAACAAATTTGAATACGAGTATCAAATTTAACATGAAAGAGAAAAATTGCCATATGTCGTTTGGATGAAAGTGTTGTTCTTCAAGTGAGACATGGCTAAGGATGTTTCTCATTTCTGTAAAACTTCTGTACAGCATCATACTATTGCCAAACAAAGTTGCAATACCAAAGTCAATCTAATTTTTCGCTTTTGCTATCTTTATCCAAGAACTGAAGGTTAAATGAAGTCTAGGGCTGTGCAGATTAAATTCTTACCCAACTCTCTAATGAAGTTACCAATTCCCAAAGGAAAGGTTACTTAATCTTAATGCTCTACCAGTCTAAACGTTTAACTTCCGTCAAACCCTTCTCCAACGGCGGATTGGTTTTGCCCTCAGATGGCAGAAGGAGACGTAGGTTTTAAGTGCGTTAAGTGTACGTATTCGTGGAAGTTTCTGTCTTAATCTTAAAGCTTCAGGTTAGCTACTTATTTTGTAAAGTTATGTGTATGCCATTATTATAAAATAGCTAACTACCTAACCACTCCAAGTTCACGAGCATATCCAGGCCTTCCATCCTCTCGATGATATTGTTGTCCATTTGCAACTTGGTCAGGTTCACTAGACTCCATAAGTTGTCGATTTTCAAAATATCTTTGTACAGAAAAGAAAATAAACGCACGGTTATAGAAACATATAATATACGCAAGAATTCTGGAGGTATTTCCACTCTTTTAAAGGAAATTTAACCCCTACTTTTGAAATCAAGTCTGAGGGAAAGTACATCTCCAAAGTCGGTTCCCTCCTGTTTTGCTATCCTTCCAGCTTCACCTTTCGGCCCTTGTTCCTCGATAGCATTTTTTAGCATCTGCTCATCGATAACAGAGGGCTCGATTGTGTCATAAAGACGACTCATGGTGTAAAAAAACAGAAGAATTAGACTAAGAGGCTACATTTGTGCTAATGGCCGAGAAAAACTTTCAAACTTCGCACTGTTTCTTGTTGTCCTGGACAACGCCGTCGTTTTGAGTAGACTGGTACTGAAGTATTACACTGCTCATGCTCTTGGAGAAACCGCTAGTAAACAGAAGGCTCAAGATATTTGTAAGAGATCAAAAACTGATCAAATCAAAGTTTACGATCGACTTCAAAATATTTTATTCCCTCAAAATGATGGAATATGAATATGAAATAGACCCCAGGTATGTGAGAAGTAGTTATAACCTTTATTAAATCCTTTGATATCGAAGTTCGTTTCATTCAAGGGTTTTTTTTCTTGATTTCTTTTTGCTACCAGGGGGCTACAAGGAAAACCAGGATCGGTGGTGTTGAAAAAAGACAAGCAAAATTTAATTGGAATAAGCATCGGTGGCGGAGCTCCTCTTTGTCCTTGCTTGTATGTCGTTCAAGTATTTGATAACACTCCAGCTTCTCGAGAGGGTGTGCTTCAGGCAGGCGATGAAATTGTCGGTGTAAATGGAAAATCTCTCAGAGGAAAAACAAAAGTCGACGTGGCCCGAGCTATTCAAGCCGTTAAAGTAAGTTCTCTTTTTGGTCCTCTTTTCTGTACACATGCGAAAGAAATTTATTTCATAGCAAACTGTTTGGTAAGTAGAATTGAGTATAAGCCAAATTTAGCTCTGGATGGAAAGCAGAGCCTTTCATGACTGAATGATTGGATTTATTATTGTTTAAAAGTTTCATCAATTATTGATTAATTAATGAAACTTTCATAGGATGTCAATATGATTAGCTTTTCCATTCCTCAAGACCTGATTTTTAACTCGAATTAGCCCTTCCACTCTCTGAAGAGACCAATTAGTAATTTCTGCTTAAGATATCCATTTAATGTCAAGCAAAAATGTTATAAGAATAATGAAATCATAAACCGGGGAAAATCGCTCGTCTCAGCATCAAATTTCCAGAGCTAAAATTGCAAAGAATGTATGATAGACAGTAACGATAATTAATATGCAGATCTTGGAAGTTATGTGGTCCATATGTGGGATTACTTAATTCTCATGCTTTGTGTTATTGTTGTTTTTTTTAATCAACAAATCACAGTAATTAATTAAAAGATAATATTTATTTGCATTTACCATGTTAAATGACCTAATTATTATTCAACAGTTTATACTTATTACATGGTGTAGAAACCTAACTTAACTGACTTTTCATACAGTTGATTGGATTTTATTATTGACATTAGCTCTTGATGTAAGATAAAAGCATGCATTGAAAGTTTGAAAAATCATAAAATGTATTTACAATATTCAAAATTATTTTTAGTTCAAGTAACAAAATTATGCCACTTAACACTACTCTCCTGTTTGCTTATCAAATTAGGAGGAAGTTACTATAAACTATGTCAAGCTACATGCTGAACCAACAGAAGGAAAAACTCTGGATATCAGTAAGTGAAAAGAGTAAAAATATGATATGTAAAATAATTAATGATACAATTATCTGATTGATATGGTATGTTTTATTTAATTATATATTTTTTATTTGAATGTTTACTTGTTTATGAACCACCTTCATTAAAAAAGCCCTTGGAAGGCCATTATTTAAGGGATTTGTTGAAGACCTGATACAGTGCTGGATTCTCCTTTTAAATTTTCTCACATTTCTTTGAAAAATACAAGGAGAAATTGATGTTGCTGAAAAAGTCAATTAAGGCTTAATTACATGTTCTTCAGTTTTACAAGGTAGTAGAGGCAGATCTGCCCATGTTCATGAACTTATATTTGTTTTTTATTACATAGTATTAAAGAAAATGAAACATCGTATAGTGGAGCACATGAGTTCATCAACTGCAGATGCTTTGGGTCTCAGCAGAGCAATTCTGTGTAATGGTAAGTGGTAGAAGACAGAAAGTACTGTAACCTTTATGTGTCAATCTCTGACTGTCTTTTTTTTTTACCTTTCTTTGTGTCTTTGACTGTCAGTCCATTTCTTCATATTCCATTAATTTTGTCAGTTCAATACAGATGAGAGGTTTATAATAGGGTTGCTATTTGTTTTGCTAAAAAGGTTGAAGAAACTGTTATTTTTACATTTAAGAGAGGTTATATGCCAGTTGGCCAGTTACCCCCTCTTTGAATGAAAAATGGTATAGTTATTTTACATGCAGATACATATTCCATTTTGTTTTAAGTTATTTAACATGTCACTCTAAAACATTTAATATTTTGTTTCCCTTCAGATGGACTGGTTAAAAAAATGGAGGAACTGGAGCAAAATTCCAATATCTACAAGGGTACCTTTTTTTGCTGTTGTAATTTTGGACATAACTTTGTTTGTTCCAAGGTTCTCAAAATTTATAGGAAAAAAACACTAATCCATTTATCTCTTTTTCAGGTCTTCTTGATCATGCCAGACAGTTTCTACAAAGCTTTTATAACTTAGCTCAAACACATAAAGGTATGAAAAGATACTAACATTTTTTAATACATGGAGTTAATTTATTTGCAGAATTAGCCAGTTGGAAAATACAGACTTGAAGATTGTCATTCTTGGGTCTTGTGAAAAAAATATCCAATTTATAACTTAAAATTCAATTGATCTTATTTTGCAGAACTTGGAGAAATATTTGCTTCCATTGGTGTGAGAGAATTGCAGCCAAATGCAAGTGAGGCATTTGCAATTTTTAGCGAGGCTCACAGGTAATAAAACAAGGCAGCAGTAAACAGGTATACTAGAAAAAGATAAGCTAGAAAAAAGATAGATCAAATGAAAAATTCCCGGGTTTTATTTGAAACAAAGATGACACTGATCAGGATCATGGCTGTTTTTGGAGCAGTTATCCTTGCAGTACTTAAATTTGAAATTATCATATGGTACTTGATTAAATCTTATTTATTTATTGTTTCTTTCAGAAACTTTGAGAAGCTAGGAATGGATTATCTAAAGAAAGTCAAACCCATGTTGAGTGATCTGAACACTTATCTTTCTAAGGTACATTTAATTGATACAAATCGGTACAGATTTTGATAAATTAGCTTTAGGTATTTTATTGTTATGCCAGAAATATAAACACCATCAACTAATAGTAACACCTTTCCTTTTACAGGCTATCCCAGATACCAAATTGACTATCAAAAAATATGCTGATGCTAAATTTGAATATCTGGTAAGTTAAGTGCAGCTTAAAATTTAATGCAATAATGTACAGTAGTCCACTTCAATAACCCACAATGCTCACTTTACCCCAAAAATCCAAGATATCTTGCTCGATAATAATTTGTTACACTTTTTTTTTGCAGTCATATTGCCTGAAAGTAAAGGAGATGGATGATGAAGAATATGCTTATGCTGTAAGTTTGGCTCCTGTCTCCTGTTCCTTTTCTTGTTTTAGAATCAGTTATCAGTGGTCAATATTTGTGAGTCAATGCATTTAGTTAGAAGGATCGATTCATTGTTGTCTTTCCTATCATAAGGTATGTGTCTTCACAGTTGTCTGTGATTGACTGTAAACACTTTTGCAATCACTATTTTTCACAGGCATTGCATGAATCACTTTACAGAGTAGAGACGGGAAACTATGATTACAGGTACATCTCTTGCTCTTCAAATTTTCTCTCAAAATGCATGCTTGCATGTTTTTGTTTTTTTTATTTTTGCTGGCATGTTTTACAGGTTTATGATTTAAACTGTTCTATGGCATGAGGAATAATGCAACCTTTTCTCATTTGCGTATGATGTAGGGTGGTATTGCGTTGTCGTCAGTTAGCCAGGGAGAGATTTGCAAAACTACGATCAGATGTTCTTGTGAAACTTGAACTTCTTGACCAAAAACATGGTGAGTCTCTATGCATTAGAATTTCTCTGTTTGTGCTGTGTAACTTTGTTGCTGTGTAAAAATTATGGTACTCTCCATTTTAGGTGCCTTTTCCTAACAGAAAAATACAAAAAACGTCTGTATCCTGAATTCACCAAGGCCTTACATCAACCACTGACTTTAACTATCCAAGATGATACTCTTAGTAGTCTACTAATTTTGGTCAGTAGTGAAGTTTCCTTTTTTTTAACACTTTTTGCTATTTTGTCATCTCCACAGTACAAGACATTGTTTTTCAACTTCAGCGGTTTGTTGCAGCTGTTACAGAATATCATGAGAACTGCTATTCAGTGCTGAAGGATGCCAATGTTTTCCCCATTGAGGTAGATTTAACGAGAGGAGCACTGGGAAACACACTCAAATAACTTTCAACTTTATTTCATCACACAACATAATAATGATGGTGAAGAAAAAAAAGGAGCATTAGTACTGGGAATAGAAATTAACTGATATCTCTTCATCGTCTTCATTTATTTATTTTTTAAAGAGCTATGTAACAGTATTTGGAGTCTTTTTTTTTGTGTATCTGTAAAGCTACCTTCAACTTTATGGGATTAGTACAGAATATATTATATAGCCAATTAGGCAGCTAATCCAAGAAGGATTGAAATTGGCAAAGAATAGGGAAGATCAACCCATATTGAAAGTAATAAATGAAAGATGTATGCAATTCATGGTTTTCTTTTTTAGCATACAGAAAGCCATGACTTGGGTATCAAAACTGTGTTACCATTACAGCAAGTTTTTAAAAAAATATCATTTCAACAGTTAAGCAATGAGGAGCTCAATTGCCTTATTCAGAATAAAGTTTTGTAGAAGGTACTGTATGTGACAGTCTTGTAACTTGCATGCATCCATCAACAAAACCAAGTATACCATAAAATTGGTCTTTTCCTCTGGAAAAATAAGGTTCTAACCAGTCAAATTCTAGTTCTATATAATGGGACAAAGGAGGAACCAAATGATCATTAGAGAAAGGCTTATTATGTGGAGGATTTCTTTGCAGAATGTAACCTAGTCACAGAATCTTAGGTTGTTTATGACAAGGGAATTCAGGTGGCCGCCAAATGGTATTGTCACTTTTTGTATCTGAGTTTGCTTGTCAAGATGGAAGAGTAAAATATAAATATTTGTACACTTCATATTTGCAGAGAGAATGCCAATGGAATTATGTTTAAAGTTCAATAAATTATTATAGATTGAAGAAGTCAGGGTACAGTCATGCATTTACTCCATGGTAATGTTACCAATAAAGTTTGAGAAACTGGAGATTGTGTAAGTTCTGTGTTTTGTCAAATATTTATGTTCCCTAGGCAGTGTGTACCATGGGTGGTTTGTGGCTTGCATCCTCATGTTTGTTTGGTTTTTTTTTACACTTGACATGAAACAAATTTACAGACTTGCTGAGGTAATGACGTCTTGATTTTGCCTTTGACAATGGCATGGCGGGCACCTTCAGTTTTGAGGATCCTGCCTCAGTTTTTTCAGTGATTCCAGTAATTTCAGGCAATGCTCAAATGTTCATGCCAGGAGACACAAATGTTCCAGATGATCTTTACAAAATAATCAATGTAATTGCTATTTGATCTCTAACTTCTCTATAGGTTTGTACATCTCATTAAGAAGTTATCTGCTAGAACAAAATTTGTCCTTGTTTTAGTATGCTTGGGTTTAGTTCATTGCAAACTCTATTTTTGTTTTTTTTATCAATAAAGGGCAAAATTACTGAGCGCTGATTGGTTGAGAGAGAGGGCATTTTTTCTTAATCGAGGGCATTTTTTTTTTAGTAATCAAGAGAGGGCATGATTACCTTGTTCAGTTAAAAGCACTTTGTTGTTTTTCTGTTGGCAGAAACGCTCTGTTGAAATGAGCTTTGTTTTCTAGACTTTTGGCAGTGTATCACGACACAGTTTTGGAGAATAAAATTTCATTGAATCGATTGGTCAGTTCAATTTGATTGATGATTTGCCATAGCGCTAAACAGGCTTCCCAGATAAAAATAGACTGCGCGCGTGATTTTCCTTCGTATAAATTTTGCCCTTTATTGATAAACAAGTAATCCCATGAGACCTCGTACTATTAAGGATTAATTGCACTTGAGTTTTCAAAATTTTGGAAAATTTTGAAAACTCTTGTGCAATTAATCCTTAATAGTACTTGGCCTCATGTGATTACATATACTTATCAGCACTTGCATTACAAAATCAAGTTTTTGGTTTAAGTCACCTTTAGGCACACCAAAGTTCCAAAAGAGATATTTCCAAACATTTAAATAAAAACTGAAAATTTGCTAGTTGATGCAGAAAATCTATACAAAATTTTGAAAAGTTTTTGCCTAGTTCGTGACCTAAACTCATTCCAAGGTTCTTTATCGTTCTTCCATGAAAAAGGTCCAGATTCCTCTCTTCCAGGGCACACTGGGAATGATTTTGTCCAGTTTTTAGGTAAGGTACATAGGCTAATGATTTCATTTAGAATCTGTGCCACAGAGCATGGTCTTGAAATGCTGACTGTTGAAAAAGATCCAGCCAGTTTTTCTCAATGCTTTGGAGGCCCTTTGCAAACATTCTCCGAGAAACTGCAGAGCAACTGTAGAGAGCAGAGGAGATCACAGTACACCTTGCTCATCTGAAGACCACCTCCATAACTTGATGCTCTTATCAAGTGAACCTGATACAATAACTTGATCTGATGGATGAGCATCACAGCTTAATACAGGTTTTGTGTGTCCACTCAGCTTTCCCACAATTTGACAAGAGTTTAGTTCCCACATATACAGCTGATTGTCTTCTGATCCAGATAACACCCACTTGCCATTCACTGTGCTAAGGCAGCTCATTACACAATAGTCCTTGTTTAGATGTCCTGTTGATAGATGAATACATTATAAATAACTAAAGTATCATACATGCATCAGATCACTCTGTCTCAACCCAGTTGTTAACACTAAATTACCTGCTATCATAGCATATGCAGGTAGCATGTTTGATGGGGACAAAACAGCTCCTCAGATAATGCCAAAATTAACTTAAATGAGATTATTGGTATCTAATTAAAAGAAACTGTAGTGTTGCATTGGCAAGGAAGGAAAAATGACCTGTGGGGTAGATATCAAGCAATTGCAACATTAACCTGATAACTACTTAAAGATTTAACATTACGTTAGCTTTGGTTGCAATTAGCGGTATTGTGGGGAAAAAGTGTCACAAAGAAGAGTGAGATAAGCAAACAACAGGACACTATGGTCTCTTGTTGGTTACAGAATTCTTTGTGATCACCTCTTTATGTTTGATCCTTAATACTACAGTACTTATCCTGTACCTAATATCAGTGTAATTAGCATATTCTTCATACTTTTTTCCATACATTTCCTAAGGCACTAACAGGGAGAATTTGTTTAACAATCAAGAGCTTCATTAGTTGGTGATCATTTCCTTCATTCTTGTGACCTTAATGTGTGATTCAGGGGTGACACTGTAATGAGAAATTGGATGCTAGTCACTCTAAAAACAAATAATGAAAGCTGATCACAGGGTCAAAACTTAGAATGATACCTTGGTAGGTTTTGATAATCCTTCCTTGTCCAATTTTGTAATCCCACATTGTAAGTGTGCTATCAAGGGTTGACATCAACAGATATTTGCCATTTGGTGACATTGTGGCATGTGATATGGGTAAATGTGACTGCTGGCTCACTGAGATGGATTTCAAACAACAGCCAGACAGTACATCCCATACACAGCATTTGCTGTCATAGCTACATGAGATGACAAGGGTCCCGTCCCTGCTGAACAGCACTGCTGTTACTGCTCCACTGTGGCCAACTAACGTTTTCAGACAAGTACCTGATGATAAAACAGCCATAAGTGTGCAAATAGATATTAGCGGAAAAAGAAAAATATCAACGATGAAACTTAAATGGTAAGTGGAAGTTGGACAGAAAAGTGAGGTATACCTTGATTAAAGGGCTTCATTCTTTCCCCACCCCAAAGGAGCTTCAAAACATACATTTTTTCTTTACATAAACTGCTCCAAAATTTACCCCACAAATGAACAAATGCAGCAAGCTTAGAAAACCCAATTGTTTGTGATACTTAGGGATTATCACATGCTTACTCTTGTGGAGCAAATCAGTTTAACCTCTTCTGGCTATAATCTACTCACCAAGCTTCCAGCTAGTGATAATATGCTGCTGTATTTTGTTAGTTGTGGCAAGCAAGTTAATACTGCCCAACCCCACCCCCTGGAGAAGTATACGAAGAACTTAACCCCAGTCAAATTTCTTGGATTTTGTTTCATTGTTTTTCTGAATCAAATTCCACACTCATTGGTTTGATGTGACTTCAGCAGTTTTATATGCTTTTTTTTTTTTTTTTTTTTCATAGGCCACTTATTGTGATTGGAGGCAAACCTCTACCTGGGGCCCCTTCCACCTCAAACCCCACCCCAGCGCGGTGTGCGTAGAATGGAAGAGTTTGATATGCACTTGCCATACTTTACATATTGAACTCCATCAAACCTTCATAATTTGCAATAGCTATTCTTATATTGCACCTTCAGACACGTCTCAGATCTTGATGCTTTCATCAAATGAACCCGACACAACCAGAGTTGTTTTCAAGTTAAAACAGCAACAGAAGGCATAATCTTGATGACCAAGAAGAATCTTAACACAAGTCATGCTGGCAAGATCCCATATCCTTACGCTGGTGTCGTCTGATGCCGAAACAAGAAACTGACTCGCAGAATTCCAAGAAACTTCAGAAACTTCAAGCTTATGTCCTTTCAAAGTCCCTTCTAATTTTCCAGCCGAGTTCCATATTTTGATCAGTTTGTCGGCTGAAGAGGAAGCTATAAATTGCCCGTTTGGGCTAAATTTAACACAGGAGACTCCCTTACGATGGGATTTAATCGTTTTTTCGTCTGTACCAGTAAATTTATGGCTGTTTTTTGGTAATTCACAGCTGACATCCATCTTCCCGCTAAAGAGCCATATTGTCAATCATTTCAACCCCACCCGGGAGCGTGACGTTTTTACCTCATCATTTTGAGGCTGATTGCGAAGTGTGGTAATATGGCTACCGTAGCGACCAAACTTCGAAGGAGATATCTGACCTAGAATACACTTTTTGAAACGTCCCATTTAGTTAAATAGAATTGTACTGAAAAAATACGTTTTGGTGGATAGCTTATCAAGAAATCCCGTCGCCAAAATGGTGAGACTTCCCTTGTGTTTTAGGAACGAATTTTTGTTGTATGGCAACCGTCGACAGAGTTTACATTTTTATAATGCACTGTAAAATTTTGATTTTTAGATTGTTTCTTCCCATAGATCGAGCCAAAATTATATCATTTTACTTCTAATTTTGATTTTCCTCAAATTGTCTTGTTCTTTTTCGGTGAAATCCTGCAGATGCTCTCAAGGAAGAAGCCGGCCGTAGGCCCTGGGTCAGGAAACACCGTGTCATCTGCTAAGGAGTCAAAAAAGAAACGCAAGTTGCCAAAATTGGAGGATTTTTTACAAATGAGAGACTATACTGGAGCTATAACTTTAGCAGAGGTAATGGGAATTCGATCCTTAAATTTCAAATATGTAAAATTTTAGAGTTTTTCCTTGGCAATATGGTGGAATGAAGTCGGAACAGGGACGTTCCATTTTTACACACAAACCCAGCCACCCCCTCCCTCTCCTGATGAAGATGATTGTCTTTTTTTCCCCTACAGAGGATAAATATTTTTTTCGGTGAAGCCAACAAAATTTGGAGCTCTTGGCTGAAAAACTGAAATTCTTCCCATTCGAAATTCCATTTTCAAAATTTTCTTTTGGATGATAATGAATATACATATAAAAGTGAATAAATAAATACTGAATGTACCAGGGCAGTACATAAACAAGTTGCGTGAAGCAAGTGCATGAAGCACTTGTTTATGACAATTTTGGTTTTTTTTTCTGTCCATCACCTGAATTTATCCGTGCTACATGTACATCTATTTTTCAAAATTCTAGTTTAACCGCAACTCTGGAAAGGGAAGTGAAGAGACAAATCTTTGGATTGCATACACAGCATTCCATTTAGGAGATTACAAGAAAGCCATGGAGGTAAAGTTCTGGAAAGATAACAGCTATGCATTAGTCAAAACAACTGATATATCAATAAATTCTCTTAACTGGTTTACAGAAGAAAGTACTAATAATGCATGGAGAACCCTAACCCTAAGCTCATCTCTTGAGGTACTGAGTTATTACTGAAACCACAAAAATAATTCTAGCCAAAAAGTTAAGCCACTGATTAGTGTTATTTTCATCTTGATTAGGAGTATCTGGCTCTAACAAAAAGTGAAGCTTGCCATCCAGATGTGTGGGTAAATCTTGCATGCTGTTATTTTTTCCTTGGAATGTACAAGGAGGGTGATGAGATGGCTTTAAAAGGTAAGAAATGTTGTTTGAGATATATGTATCAACTATTGCAGATAGAAATGTTGTCTGATGGCAGTCTTTTACCAAATATGTGACTAGAAACATTGACTACAGTTTCAAGATTTTGTTGGACTTTCTGAAGGTTATAAATTATTAATAATACTAATTTGTTGAACATATTTTTTCAAATTTCATCTTAAAAATATTTTAAGAAACATTATCATGAATGAATTTGAAATGAAGGTTTTTGCATTTTGATATGTCTACAGATTGGTTTAACAATACTTTGTGTTTTTGACATGTCAAAACAATTTTTAGGTCCAAAGAGTAGACTTCAAAACAGGCTGTCATTTCACTTGTCACATAAGGTAATATCAAAGTTGTTTAATTTAATTCTGACTAAATGTATATTGGTTATTTAATTCCAAGCATTTCTCACATCACTATGGTGTATACAGTAGAACCCATACTGGTAATTGTTGATTTTTTTGGGTTAACAGACAAGTCTAAGGTTGCAAAACAAACTTGATATTTAATTTCTACCCTTTCTAATAATGATCAGGTTCTTCAGAGGGAATCATCATTAAGTTGTATTCCTGTTTAAGGGACTATTCTGCTGTACATTTCTGGCACAAAAGTATAACAAATGCTCTCCCATCTTAGGTCAGTAACATGCATGCTCTTCCCAGACTCCTATGGCCATGCTAACACTACAAATTCGTATATGGAATCCCAACATCACTCATTTATAGCTTGATTCATTCTCTGTGTATCACTCAATTATTTCTGGATATTTCATCATCATTAATAGTTTAATGACGAGAAAAGACTGATGACCCATCATCAAGCCTTACAAGATATTATTGAGGACCAGGTAATTGAAGACAAGAATGTACAAAATGTTATTAAAAAATATACATTTTTGGAAATAATAATGTGTTTCCAAATTTCATGTGCTCTTCTATAAAATGCTTTTTATATTTGTTTTAAATCAAACAGCTCAGCCTAGCCTCTATCCATTACCTGAGAAGTCATTACCAAGAAGCTATTGATATTTATAAGAGAATTCTTCTTGATAACAGGTAGAGTACAACAAGCATAGGATAGTCCACATACCATTAGTACAACTGTTAAAATAATTTATGACTACTGGACCAGGTACATAGAATTTAAGTCATATTCAAAGATTGCACAAGGTATGAAAGTACTGGAAAGTGATTTGTAGAACTATTACTGCAAGGTAATTTAGTGTTAACAACTGAGTTGAAAACGTAAATTAGCCACCATAAAGGGTAAAAAGCTGGCGTTTCTAGTGTTAGCCCTTTGTCAGAGCGATTGGGTGAAGGGCTAACGCTCGAAATGTCAGCTTTTTTACCCTTTATGGTGGCTAATTTACGTTTTCAACCCAGTTGTTAACAATAAATTACCTGCTATACTCTCCCACTGACGCAGCACCACAATTTCTTCAGAAACTTACCCCTTTATTACTTCAAGGACTAGCTGTCTTACAGGAGTTGCTGTTGCTAGCAGAAAAAAATTGACAACTAAATTTGCTGGGAAAGTCTTCAATTTGTTAACACAATTGCTTAAAATAAAAATAGTCAATCACATGCAGTATGATTATCTACTACTAACAGTTTTTAAAATTTTGCACTGTTCAGTTTCAATTGATTGTTTTTTTTCCTGTAGGGATTATTTGGCCTTGAATGTGTATGTTGCCTTGTGTTATTACAAACTCGATTATTATGATGTCTCTCAGGTAATTGTTCTATGTCTGTTCAAGCTTTCCTCTTTGTGCTTGTTAATTTATTACTGAATTTAAAGCAAGTAAACTGAGTACTTTTATTTGAATGCTGGGCTAATAAATTGAGATTCTAAATGTTGTTTGGAAATCAACATTTTCTTTTAAAGTAGATTTTAAAATGATTGGTGTGAACAAAAATTACAACCACTGTTAATAATGTTGTTATCAATGGTAAATTTATGGGACAGCCATGGATTACAACTTGTAGATAAATTTATAAGAATAATTTAAACCAGTCAGAAATGTGATGGGTTTTTTTTTGTGAGAATGGTTGTGCAGAACTGATTTGCACTTTCTACTTAATTTGTAGGAGGTACTAGCTGTTTACTTGCAGCATTATCCTGACAGGTAAACTGACATCACTCTGTACAATCAGGGTCCAGTGGAATAATCTCAAATATTAGTACTCTACTCTTGTCACATTAAGCCTGGTTTTCACTTATGATGGGGTCAGAGTCATAATCAGTGTGTAGAGTTATATGATGTAGTGAAAACGGACATGGAGAAGTTGCGAATGAAAATCCATTAATGTTACCCTGCACTTTATCTATAGTAGGGGCTTTAGTTTTGTCGAAGAGACGTGTGGGAAAAAAAAATGTGAGCTCAGCTTTTAGGCTAGCCTAAATATATATATTATGATGTAGTGAAAACTGGATTGTCAGAGTGGTAAGCCTTTGGATGGTGTGAGAACTGGCCTTTTTTTTTTGGTTGGATCTTCCACTTCTGCTTACAACTCCAACAATCTTGGTTTCACTGGACCACAAGTGTCAATATCATAAGGGGAATCGAAGGAGAATGAAATTGTATTGAACAGATACTTCCACTTCTGATTCCATCTTAAGTTTATGACTCTGCTTATGACCTCTACCATTTTTGATTTCCACTAAGTTGGAAGTGCTCTCACCACCATGACAATGACTTGGTTAAACTTCATCTCAACTCCATTGCCAGTCAAAACCAGCCATGAGTCTTGGAAATTTGTGAAATGCTTGATAATCAATTTCTTCTATCTTTAGTTTAAGTCTCAACCTATCCTTTTGGTTTCAGTGCCACTGCAGTAAACTTGAAAGCATGTAACCACTTTAGACTCTACAATGGGAAAGCAGCTGAGGTGAAAAGTGCTATAATTACTCAGTGACAGTTTTCAATTTCTTTCTGAAAACTTTATTGAACTGTATTCTTTGACATTGGGAGAGCTCAGTAGAAAACTGCTTAGTGCTTATATTTTGCATCTCACTGAGACTGTGATCAGCTCACTTATCTCATTAGCAGTTTGTATTCAATGAACTGTATTTAATAGTTTGTTTTACTCTTTTGTTATCGCCTGACTGTCTACTTGACATTCTAATGGTACTGTATCAGTTAGTCACCTTTCAGTCATGAGCATATTCATAAAAAGGAGTAGATAAGTATCAAGAGTGAATAATATTATTAACCTATGCCATCTTGAGATTAACTATGAACAACTTTCTTCTCAGGGTGAGCTCAAGACTCTACAAGAGACAGCAAGTCCTTCTTTTAGCTTTGCCAATGATCTCATTAAGCACAATCTGGTGAGTTGTGCAAACTCTGCAAATATTTCAAAGAACAAGGAGAAGAGTCCTTACATGTAGATAGTGAAATGTGCATTTGAAGAAAATTAAATAACATTACATACAACCTGTAGCTAGAACAGAGACAAAGGCAAATGCTACATGAAGAAGCAAGGAGACCCAAGGTCATTGAGGGAATTGATCTTTCACTGGACCTAAGGATTCTTGCCCTAAAGCCTGATCTAGCATTCCTGCAACGGATGTATGTAAATTTTACTTTTCTGTCTCCTTTTATTTACCAGGTTGTTTTTAGAGGTGGTGAAGGTGCCTTACAAGTTTTACCACCCCTGGTGGATGTCATTCCTGAAGCTCGCTTGAATTTGGTAAGTACATGTTCTAATAGTCTTCAAAAGTACATCTTAACTAGTAATCAGCTGAAATGTTGAAAAATCCCTTCCTAATCTGTTTCACCTTGTGGCTTGCTAATGTTTGTCATATTTTTTGTTCCATTTTGTAGGTTATCTATTACCTGAGGCAAGGTGAGAAGCAAGGGTTATTTTGAAATTTGAAAATAAACAGTGTAAAAGAGTTCATTTTTACACTGATAATTAATTTTTTATGTGTACCTGTTTCATCAGATGATGTTGTGGAAGCTTATAATCTTATCAAAGATTTGGAACCTACAACTCCCCAGGTAGACTTGAATTACAATTTTTGCATAGAGCTGCCTTGTTTGCTAGAAAACTGAGGCCTTGTCTTGTTTCATTGTAGGAGTACATCCTAAAGGGTGTGGTCAATGCAGCTTTGGGACAGGAACAAGGATCTGTAAGTTCAGCTTCTCCTTATCACTGTCACTGCCTCTTGTTGTTACTGTGCTGTAGAAAATTGAAGATATTTGTTTTATTGTTTTAGAGGGAACACTTGAAGATTGCTCAGCAGTACTTTCAGCTTGTTGGTGGATCAGCTAGCGAATGTGGTACGTTTTGCTCTTTTCTGTGTATCTTACAAGACAGGGGAGACATTTACGTTACTGTAGCAGTGGTTTATTTTTTGAAAAGCGCTTCATCATTACGGTGAAACCGTTAAATAATAAGGTTTGCTTGGGTAGGCAAACACCCCAGAAGTAAGTCCAGAATAAATTACAAAGGATCGCGTCTGTCTATGAATGGAGAAGCTAAGCGCGAATCACAGATTTCGCTTATAAAGTTTAGGTTTGTTGACGAAACCGTGAATGACTTACTTTTAGTGAGGAGAGGGCCAGCACTCTAGTTTCCAAATAACCACAGGGTATCAGTTTGTGGAAGGGTTATAACTGAGGGAATCTCTGAGTTGTTGGATTTGCAGAAAGTATATCTATGGTTGACAGTATTTTTAGGAAAAATGCAGGAGGAAAAACATTGATCGCTCAATTTTCTCTGCTTTTAGGTACACTATATCCCACTCTTTCAATTTTGTACCATTTATTGCCAGCCACTGTAATTTTTTTTCTTTTCGTTGAGTTTTGGATGCATATTAGCTGTCTATTGTTTTCCCAATATAGATACCATTCCAGGAAGACAGTGTATGGCATCGTGTTTTTTCCTTTTGAAACAGTTTGAAGATGTCCTTATTTACCTCAACTCAATCAAGGTAAGAATCAGGTCAAAAGCTAATCTGCGTCGAATGATAATTGCTGTACTTGCGACCAACCATTCTTTTACTCTCATAAGCTATCGGTGAGGGAGTCAGTTAGCAAGCAAAGAGTGAGAGGGAACACCTTAATTTTGTATTGACCATTCGAACGCACATGATGGGTTTCACTCAATATGTCTTGATACATGTAGATAATTTGATTTTTTTTAATCAACTGAGTTGACAATGTAAATTGGCCACCGTAAAGAGTTTCGAAAGATGACGTTTTGAGCGTTAGCCCCTCGTCATTCGCTAAACTAGGATAACGGCGAAGTAACCGAAGTAATCGGTATGTCGGCGAGTTGACCAAAGTCGTCGGCGAGTTGACATGTCGGCGAAGGGACCGTGTACCATTTACTTTGTTAACTCAGTAGGTAAAACCAAATTATCTCACAACATTCCCCACTGATCAGAAGCAGTACCACCGTTTCTTTAGAAACTTTCCCCCTTTACTTAGGTCCTATTAGAATCACATTTGAAAACACTTGTAAGTCTAATAGACGATTGAATACTTGTGCCTCTAACAGTGCCTAGAACCCCTACTGGTGCGTGGGGCGTGCACGATTAGCGAGGATCCTTATTTTGGAACTTAGCAGCGGTTTAGGTTTAAGACTGACTGTGAAAACGTAGGCAAACTTACTCGAAACGTGCCAGCGAGAATCTCTCAGAGTCCCGTGACTGCTGCAAGACAAGTTTTGTGGCTAAAGTCTTTGTTGTCTCTTTATGTCAGAGTTACTTCTACAATGACGATACGTTCAATTTTAACTACGGTCAAGCTAAGGCGGCTGTTGGCAATTACAAAGAAGCTGAGGAGGTAAGTTGTTATTAAATCAATTGTAAATTGTTGTTCTGTTATGTTATTATTCTACAGGTTGTGTTGATTATTTCTTCTTCTCGACTGTCTTATAGATCTTTTTGCTCGTCCAGTCTGAAAAAATAAAAAATGACTACACATACCTGAGCTGGTTGGCGCGATGCTGTAAGTAGATTCAGATAATTATAACAGTTAAGAATATATTTTTTTTTAGCCTAATGATCAGAGGCTTTTTAGAGAAGGAGGATTAATTCTTGGATGAGCGCGAGGTGGCGAATGCAGGCCTTGTTAAGTTTTATTTAAGAATGATACTGTTCAAAGAGAATTGATAGTTTAAAAGCCAGACATACATGCAATTCACTGTCAAGTAAATGGAACGGCGGATAATCGTCTTGGCGTCCTAAAACAATTTGGCACCTCAGATATAAGGAAGGTGGTGATACCGGACCCTTCTAAGGAACAATTCTTTCGTTATTCCTACTAAGTAAATAAATGCCTAAATTGGAAAGTCTTCTCTACCTGCGACTCGAATTTTCTTTGAATGTAACGGACTGGAACTCTGTTGAATTGTCTAGACATTATGAACCACAAAGCCCGCCCTGCATGGGAACTGTACCTGAAGATGGAGACATCCGGGGAATCATTTAGTTTACTGCAGCTTATCGCAAACGACTGTTACAAAGTAAGTTCTCTACTTGGTTTCAAAGGAGCTATTATCGCTTTCTGCGCAATCGACCTACTTTACTAAACTTTAACCACTTATCCCTAACATCAGTATCCTACGGGTTGAAGATGCTTAACCTTGAGGTAACTTTTCAACTTTACTGGCCGAAAAAAAAATAAACAAAATAAACAAAACAAAAAACACAGTGACACTGTTAAAGAAGAGATCGATTGTAGCAAGGAACCTGGTTGAACGAACTTTATTCATGAAACCTTGATAGGAGAAAATGTATATGAGATACGCCTAGGATTTTTCGAGATTTCGAGATGACTATGTCTCCGTCACACCTTTTTTATTTGTTTTAGAAAGTCGTTACCTTTTTTTCTTTTTTTTTTCCCTCCACAGATGGGTCAGTTCTACTACGCTGCTAAAGCGTTTGATGTGTTGGAGAGACTGGACCCTAACCCAGAGTACTGGGAAGGAAAGAGAGGGGCCTGTGTTGGAATCTTCCAGCAAATCATCGCTGGTCATGAACCCAGGTCGGTGTTGAAACGTGTTTGTTTGCTTGTGGGAATTATAGGTGCTTGAATCACATGCTTGAATTTCAGGTATTCTGACATTATTTTTTTAATGTGACCACTTCAACTTGCTCTTGTCGAGGATTCTTTGACGATCGGTTGCCTTCATACGGCTTTTAAATTTGTTTTCCTTTGGACAAACCTCCCACCAATAGTTTCTCGCCACGACGCCTTTTCTTAGCTCAAGTTTCTAGATTTGATTCTTACTTCTCCTCGCAAATTGTCTTCTAATTTTTTGAATTAGTAATGAGAATTTGGTGTTATATCAATGTGACCCACTCTAACCGATTAGTTTGTTAACTCTCCCCACCTGTTTACAGGGTTATGAAATGTTATGTAAGAAGTTAAATGTTTATTACCACTGGGGATTAATAGTTGATTATTTGTTCCAGGGAAACACTAAGAGACATTCTCCAGATCCTCCGAAACACCGGAAACCCTCAAGTGGAATACATCATCCGTACCATGAAGAAATGGGCAAAGGAGAACAGAATACCTGTAACGTAAACCAGCCGAAAGGCTTGCCAAGACATAAATTATCTGCACTTTAATTTAAAAAGTCGTTTCTGTCAGTGTGAAGTGTACAGATGAAGTTCCAACGGAGTTTGAGTTCCATAACAGTGCATTTTAAAGCCCTTACCGTGTTCGTAAAGGTCTGATTCAAATCTTTAGCGATAACAGTCATAACGTCCCTTAAACCGAAAAACCGTCAATGAAAACGTGGGATGACTTGAAAAAACATTGTCATGGATAGCACGAAGTTTTGTAACGTATTTGAAAGGGACGCTCACTCATCTTTGTGGAATGTATGATTTGTAAATATACATTAATTAAACGTTATTTAACCAGTTGACTGTGTAGTCTGAGGAAATGAATAGGCAGCCACGTTTGCCATACACCCCTCGCTCGCAAGTTCAGCTCTAGAAACGCTTTACAGTAGCCAATTTATATTATTAACCAAGTTGATAAAACCAAATTATCTAACAAATATGTAATCTTAATAAATTTTATGCAAATTATCAAAAGGCGACAAACTTTAGAAAACGAAAGAACATTTATTGATTTGATGATCCACTTCAACTTGTGGTAAAATAATCGCCTTCCAACTTTTATAAAAGAAATTTGTTTAGCAGATACAAATATAAGGCATCTCTAACAGCCCAGGAAAAGAAAACACTGATCTTCTTAACATCTAAGAAATCTTCAAACCAGCAATGGAAGATTCCAGGGACTGAAAAAACAAACAAACAAAAACGATTGTAACACATAAAAAATGAATTAATAACCCGTTAATCATAATGGAAATTTACAAACACTCCTTCCATTTTAAATAAATATTACTAATAATTATTATCAGGGCTGTGCTGTAGTGAAGCACACGTACTACAGGGCTTACTTTTGTCCATGAGCAGCTTGCGAAATGTTTCATTTAATTTATCTATAAAGATCTTTTAAAGCTGAGCATCCTCAGCTATTTCCAATAGCAAGAATGGCAGGAAATAAATCGGTAAGGGTAATAATACACATAACATGGCATGTAACGAGTAGCTGACCAGTTACCTTGACGTTCCAAATGACAAGACGACCATCAACACCAGATGATGCAAACTTGGTGGCACCTGCCTTAGTTCCACTGTGGATCTGCACTTGACTGAGAAAAGGAACAAAAAAAGGAGGTAAAAACTTTCTAAATTGTAGTAAACTAATCTTTTAATAGAAGCACAAATATTAGTGCCTTCTCTCTTTGCTTCAAAGAGGACTGGAGAGGTATATATATGCCAAATCTGCCTACACGAAACTTGTACTCACTAAATCCATGCCTGATAGAGATAGTGAATAGAGTGGTATCAGCTATAGTATGCACTAAAATAGAATTGTTTCCTACTGTTTACACTTGCTTGGTTACTGTCACCCAATCCATGCTTGACTGAGACAATTGCTCAAGTTTTACCTGTACGAGTGCACTATAGAATATATCCAGTTCCCTCTAATTCTTAACATAACAACTTTCATACGTCCTCTCACGTAACATTTGTTTGGCTCTACTATGTACATCACTATGCTTCATCCACACTATTTTTCCAAAAATAATCAGTAGGATACACAACTAAAATATTCCATTACCATGTAACTTCTTAATATGACAAAAGGGGGAAAGTTTCTAAAGAAACACGTGTTGCATCAGTGGGAGAGTATAACAGGGTAAATTAGTATTATCAACTGAGTTGATAACGTCAATTGACCACGGTGAAGAGTTTAAAAGCGGACATTTTGAATGTTCGCCCTTTGTCAATCATTCAATGAAAGGCTAGCGCTTGAAATATCACCTTTGAAACTCTTTACAGTGGCCAATTTACCTTATCAATTCAGTTGATAATACTAAATTATCCTTTTATGACACTCTGTCCAAAATAATTTTAATAAAGTACAAATTGATTGGAATTTCTTACTTAATGGCATTTTGATGGGTGGTATGCACTCCTGTACCAGATTCACTGTCATCAGCACTCTGAGCTCGTTTGTCCATGGTGCGGAACTTAGCCATGGCACTGACAGTTCCAGAGGATTCCTTCTTCTTAGGTATATCCAGCTTTTGGCCTCCACTCAGAGTATCATTATCACCATGGTTGAACAAGATTGGGACATAGTCATACCCTAGAATAAAAGATGTTTGTTGACATTGCTTAATATGCATTAAGAAATGATAGATAAGTGAAAATACAGACTTCAACATCTTGGAGAAATTTGGTACAAATTTTTGAAATTACATTTACATGCTACTGGTGCCCAGAGGGATAGTGACAAAATAAAACTAGCTGCTTTCCCAGCAAGAAGTCCATTTTTTCACAAGCCATGATCAGATGGGTCACATCTAAGGCAGCAAAAATGCTGGAATACCAGCATCCATCGATAGACAACATGTGGCCCTCCTTCCAATTAGAGCACCAAATTCCCAATTTTTTTTTCTATAAAGCATCATAGAAAACAGTGGTGGCTCATGCAATTGCTGATCTTCTAGGTTTATGAGATTAACAACTCAAACCATATTCCACAAAATATTTTTGGGGAGCTAATGTATTGACCTTCTGGAGAAGTTTACAGCAGCCATAAGTTCAGAGTTCTTTGTTCTTTCCCCCTAAGGCTTGGGGTCTTAACCCTTTCACTCCCAAGATCTCATTAGTAATTCTCCTTACTGTCTGCTATAAAATTCTAGCAATGTTACTTCAGAGAATTTGGTATACTGGATCAACTAATAATCACCTAATTGATACTGTTCTTTATTCTCAATGCTTGTCTGCTTAATATTGTATTGATATTATAAGGAGAAATTCTGTCTTGGTCACTCATGGGAGTTAAAGGGTTACGTAGAGTTTTGATGCTGAAGCTATCATTATCGAACTAATAAGCTGATGACAGAGTATGCCAATAACAGTTGCATCCACTTTCTACTTAAGTTCCCTATTTTGATACAAGGCAAGGTATCTCTTGCAAACATTACCAGCAGTGACAATACTGTTTTCAGTGACCCACACACAAGCTGTGAAAGGCAAGAAATCGCCTTTGATAGTTGCCATTTTGGATTCATTAGCAGCATTCACCACACTGATGCTAGAATCATGACCAACCCAGGCAAGTTTGTTTCCTGAGGCAGAGAAACTGACACCATGCACCCAACCACCTGCAATAAAGATAGAGACAAATCAATGGAAATAGTTCTTGTGATCTTTTAAAGATTTTTTTCCAACTTTCACTTTGCAAATTCAAAGTTATAAAGTCAGAGGGCATGGCATGGGGAGATTAACCAGATTAACCTCCAATCATGGTTAGCTTACCTCAGCAAGTATGCAATTTAGCAACCATACTAGGACCTCAAACTGTAATTTAGAGGCAGCACTTCTTTGTGGATTTGAAAAGCTTTAAACTTAAAAATTTTGTGCTAAGTCTAAATAAATTAATGAACGGCAACCAAACTTTAGAATCTACCCAAGCATACTCCAGCAATAAAACAACCTGGCATAAATGCTTTACTACAGGCCAAAGTCACGCTGCTGAAGACTGTTACATGTACATACCTCTGCCATTAGAAAACTCAGACAAACAGCTTCCAAAACTGGATTTCTTTCCCCAGATAGTGTCTGTGTTAGTCTTTCCATCTACTTCCTTTATAAAAGCAGAAAACACCCTATGCGAGCAAATGATAGGGAAGTTAGGCTTTCTACAAATGCACATAGACAACCACCAGAAGGAATTGATACACACACTGCCAAACACCCATAATTGTAAATGTCGAACACACAGTCCTACCATGAATCTTTTAAAGTGAGGAGGATTAACAATCTTCTCAAGATCCTGCCTACCTTGTCTTGAAGTCAGAAGAACCAGCAGCCAGCAATAAGTTGTTTGGATGCCAATCAAGACTGCAGAAATTTTAATCAGACACAAAAGGCATTAATTTTAATGTTAAAAATTATGTTTCTTTGCTCTATCAATTTCTTGAATTATTTCACACCTTATTACAACATACACATACTGGGCCATAATAGTACCTCCTTTTTCAGTTCAAAATAACACTTCCAATCTAACATTATATTTAATATAAAATTTTTCTTTATACATTTTAACACTCATACAATTTCCCCATAACTCTAGTCAGTAAAAAATTTGCTTAAATTTTGACAAGGGAATGTTTCATGAAACACTCCACAGATTATTATTAGATGTTTGCCTGAATAGTATAGAAAGGGTTGTCCACAATAGGAGCTGCAAAATGAGTAATAATGCTCACCACAAGACAGTGGAACGGATTGGCTTCTTGATGTGCTTGCTGACCCACCTACATGCACACAGAACAAAGAAATCAATTGATTGAATTAAATGTTAACTAACCTATATATAAGCACTACCAAAATGCAATGTGCCTTGCACTAAACAAGATCAAACAGTTCCTAAATAAGAGTAAGAAAATCAGACAGCATCATATTACTAACCAGTCGTTCTCCTTTTCAAAATAGCACACTGAAATGAGACGAGCACTGCTTCCTACAGCAAACTTGTCCTCTACAGACAACAAAAACTCTATTTTAGAATCCACAGGACTTGAATAAAAAATTGCCTTAGTTTGCAGATCCTTAAAATATTTAATTGCCTAATCTGCAACTTAAGTGTGACAGATTCATTTTCTCCCCTTCACTGTATATGCAAGATTACTTATGAATATATCTAGTGTGCTCATTCCTACTCAACAGACAGTATGGAAAACTTTATAACTTGACTAAACTACTACTACTACCACTTTCCCCATACATGTCAGCCTACTCACGAGTATATCTCATGAACAATTTGGATGTCCAAAACCCAATGTCATAATCCCTCACTGCAATTCTAAAAGTGGTATTATGAGAAGAATTACAGTTACCTTTAGGAGACCAGCAAACAGAGGTTGCAGCACGATTGATACGCAAAATAACAAGCATAGGTTTCCACTGGCCATCTTGTAGGTCCCATACATAGGCATTTCTGTCCTAAAGATGACAACAGTATTCATAATGATTCTATGATGCAAGATTGAAAATTATTTGTTGAAGGTGATGCAAAAAGAGGGTCCAAAACATCACCTGGCCACAAACACAAACTAATGTCATAGCCCAATGGTTTGTCCCAACATGACAAATGTTGGCAGAAGTGGACAAATCTTTAACCCTTTAACTCCCGTAAGTGACCAAGATAGAATTTCTCCTTACAATAGCAATACAAAATCAGGCAGACATGAGATGAGAATGAAGAAAAATATCAGTTAGGGGATTATAAGTTGATCCAATATGAAATTATCCAAACTAACATCACAAGAACTGTATGGCAGACAGTAAGGAGAATTACTAATGAGATCTTGGGAGTTAAAGGGTTAAATGCATAGCAAACAGAGGGACAAAATTGTGATAAATTTGTCAATCACTAGTTGTAAAAGCTACAACCAGCATGTAATTGAATTGAAATCAGTTTGCTAGGAGCGCAAAAACTGTCTTTCATTGCAAAACTTGGGGATTCTAAAATTTTAAAACGACTTTGGATAAATCCTGGAAATTAGAGGTGGAATCCTTTGCCAAACTATGCTGGCCAGTCTTATGAACAGATCAGGCATTGACAAAATTTGATGGCTTTGAAATTTTTAATGCAGATGCAACAGACGAGACAAAAATTTGCCATGACAAAATTTGTCCTTTGATTTTGTCAGGACAATTCTAGTTTAGTCCGATAGTGTGGAAAGGCCCTCGACGACACTTTTTATCACAAAAACTCACCGCTCCACAGGTGACAAGCCTGTTACTGGTTGGGGCCCAAGCCATTCCTGTCACACGTTGGCCATGCTAACAAAAAACAAAATCAAAGTAAGCTCAAAATGAGAAAAACTTATGGGGTTCATTTGCAGAGAAAGCGACAAAATAATTCAGAATTAAGTAGGCAAACAGTAAAACCTATTAGAAATGATCGACTGCTTAGGGCTGTAGTGGTATGATCATTTGTTAAAAAAAAAATTATTCAACAGAGCACTTCAATACTTAAGCAACTAGATCAGACACATCTGATTGTGGTTAATTTTTCTATTCATCGTCCGCACCTCAGACAGGACAACTCCTTTATCCCATGTGTTGCCAGCTCTCTTGCAAATGTGAACGGTACTGTCATTTGGAGAAAACGCCAGCTCTGCCGCATCAAAAACAAAAGTATCAGAATTTTTCATTCAGGCAAGGAGTTATCAACCCCTCTACAATCCATATCGGTAACTTTCACCGCGATTAGACATTAGGATGAGTAATTTTTACGCAGGCAAAACTAACTTCAGCTGTACGTAGCGGAAGTAAATTAATGAATCGGTAAAGACTTACGACTGCAATCCTTGTTGAAACAGAAGCAAGTAATCGGGCGGATAGAAAGCTCGTGAACTTCCTTATCCGACATTTTGGATAAATACAATTATCAACAATTGCTAGTAAAGGTAAATTTGCCACGGACTCTGGTCAGTCTACGCAGCAAGATGGCGTCGAAGAATATCCGCCTCTCAGATGGGCGTGGGTTTTACAAAACAAAAACTTGTACTGATTGGTTAAATTAAAATTTAGGCCAATCAAAAGGTAGATTAATTTTAGTATTTTCATTCTAGACAGCTGTGCAATAGTAGTGCATATTCTGTTTCCGGAGATGTTGTTTCGGTTGTGGGGGAGAGGTGTGTCTGGTACGACTTGGGGGAAATGGCTCATCAGAGTTTGGAACCTCCAAAGTACATAAGTGCCTCTCGTGTAAAAGAGGTTCTGAAGTATGAAGACCTCATTCCGGTCATTGAACAGGCCTTAGTCAATTTTTCCGCCCGTAGAAGCGGCGGAGTTGTTCAGCCTGTGCGCACAGCCGTTGAGGTCGAAAACCGCGGGTAAGGTAACATACACTTATGTCTTATGATTGAAGAACATATTTGGAAACTAAATTTTTGGAAACACCTATCACTGATAAGATTTTTGTAAGTTATTCGTAGGATTCTGTGACGGGGCTCATTCTTTTCGTTTTTTTAGCATTAATTTGGTCATCAACGGAGGGCATGGACTAGGAGGTGGAACAGGGCCCTGCCAAAAAGTGTAGATATGGATGTTAATTGTTGAAAAAATTCTCAGCGTGTCCCACAAAACTGCAGCTTTTCCACATTTCTCTTTTCCAAGGCTCTAGCCCTTTTCCATTGTTTTCAAGTAGTATTAAAGCCATGTTTTGTACCTGCCAAACCGGTTATCCTGTTTATTCCAGCACCCCTTGCCTCACCTATGGACATCCTGACATGACCTTTATTGCAAGCTCTAACCATAGCACCTCCAAATGAGAAAATATTAAGGTTTCTAGACCCCTAGAGCCATTTAACTGGTTAGAGTCTATGAAATAAATTATTCAGGCCAGTTATTTTGAGATTGACTCAGCACTTACCAGTTTTTAGAGTTAATTAGGATAATTTTGAGGTCTTTATCATCCTGCAGATTTTTTCTTGTGATGCCAGCCTATTCAGCTAAAGACAATGCTCTTGCTGTAAAATTGGTCACAGGTTTTCCAGAAAATGAGAAACAGGGCCTACCTTCATTCTTAAGCAATGTTATGGTATTAGATCCCAAGAATGGTTTGTTACAAGCGGTCAGTAATGTCAGTTTTGATAATTTTGTCAACTAGCGTAACCATTTGTCATATCAATTGATTATAGAGGCTGAATGTAGACAATGTATGCTGCAAAATCCTTTAATCATTTTTTGGCTTCTCCAAATATTAACTAAAAACCTACTTTCATGTTAGTTATTCAAAATTTAGTGGTCCTATAGGAGATTTCTTAGTGTATTTCTTAGGTTTCTTTGGTCAAAAATACTGCTAAATTCAGTTGTACTTCATGTAAATTTGCTGCATTATGGTCAATTGGATTGAGGCTAAGAGCTATCATTAGGGAAATCAGTAGCTCAAGGCCTCGATCCAATTGTCCAGTTTAATCAACATGCTACTGAAGGTCAACTTCAAATTTTGACTGAATTATATTTAATCATTTAAAGATTATGGATGGCATTCCAATCACAGACATGCGGACTGCAGCAGCATCTGCTGTTGCAACTAAGGTGTGTTTTTGCATCTACTGAGTCTAATGTATTAAATTTAGTGCAGTGATTTATTGTCATCTCCACATTAGATGCTTTTAATGATAGCTGATCCCTGCAGGAGGCTTGTCATGTCTCAATCACGCATATTTACCCTTTAACTCCGAGATTAAATTTGTAATTCTCCTTACTTTCAACCATACCATTCTTATAATGTTAGTTCAGAGAATTTAGTATTGGATCAGCTAATTATCCTCAAATTGATAATTTTCTTTACTCTTATCTCTCATCTGGTTGATATTGTATTGATACTGTAAGGATAAATTCTGTCTTGGTCACTCATGGGAGTTAAAGGGTTAAGACCCAGCCAGTCCTAACAAGATATATCTGTAGCTCAGTTGCATATCATCAGTTAGTATAGAGCATTCAGTGTTGTGCTGGGGTCTAAGTTCTCATAAGGGATCCAGATTTTTCCTTGTTAGTGCTCTTTCCAAATTTGTCATATTTTTTTTGTCAAAAAGGCTATGGTAACTGTAATTGACTCCTGTTCCTTGCATCATGTGATTAACGTTGAATCAACTTTTACTATTAATTTTTCCTGAAGATGTGAATGTTTCATTTGTACTTCTATTTCAGTTCCTTGCTTCTGAGAGTGCTGAAGTTTTGTGTATTTTGGGGTCAGGTGCTCAGGCTAGAAGTCATGTTGAGGCCCTCAAGTTTGTGAAACCCTTCACCGAGGTAATAATTTACAATTATTATATCAATATGATATATTGAACGATCTTTGCAGTAGTGAACACCATAAGTAGTGGTGAAGTAAGTAGTGTTTATTTCGGCATAGATTGCTCTCATATTTATTTCTTACATACATACTTTACATGCATTATTAATGTGGCTGACACTTAGCTATATAAAGCTAGTTTACAGGTCAGTCATGGAAGAAATGATAAATAAATAAACCTAGAAGCTATACAAAAGTGTTTAAAATGATGTAGTATTATGGAACTGCATAAAATTATAGATTAAGTATTAAACCTATAAAAACTAGATTAAATTGCAAATAAGGTCTATAAACTTACAACTATATAAAAAGTGCTTAAAATGATATAGTATATGGAGCTACATAAAACTAAAAAAAAACTAAGTTAAATGGCAAATAAGGGACCATAAACTTGCAAGGTTGAGCTCCTTGAGTCCATGTTTAAAACTGCGGTAATCATCGATATTTCTTAAATTATTAGGAATAATGTTCCATAGTTAGGTAGGTCCCATACTTTGTAGAATACACATTATGTACGTTCACAGTCATGAATATGTTTAATTATGTCTGATGTCGCCTGCAATTGATCTATATGTTTGTCACTACTGAATGTTTTTATGCGTTAGATTTCAAATGAAACTTGTTAATTTTCAAGGTCAGAATATGGAGTAGAACCTTTGTTAATGCGCAAAAGCTTGCAGATGAGATTGGTGCCAAAGCATGTGCTACAGTTGAAGAAGCAGTCTCAGGGGCTGATGTCATAGTCACTGCTACCTTGGCAACAGAACCTGTTCTGTTTGGAAAGTGGGTCAAGCCTGGAGCACTGATAAACTGTGAGTGGTCTAATAAGGATTAATTTTTATCATCATTATCAGGAACTTTGGGAGCAAGCAAGCAGATGACAGCGGTAAATTTTGGGTTTAATGGGCTTAAGTTTGGCCTGGTAAACACACTCACTGTAGGTGCATAGATCTTTACACTTCTAGTCACTTCATGTGTATCAATTTCAGTATCCTAGCAACTGAGCACCAAGGGGAGGGGTAGGTGTGTAGTTGCTTAGATACTGACACTGATTCCTTCATGCCATTCAAACAGAGAAAACACCTGGTCCAGCACTTATAGACAACAATTGGTTTTGATCTAATATTACTGTTTGCCATCGTTGATTAAACTATCTTTTTAGTTCATAGAGGGGAAGGTTCCTCTTTGTAATTGATTTTAAACATTTGCCAATTTAAACTACCAGCTCCTAAATACAATTTTCTAATAACACTCATAATGATCATAAGCTTACCACAGACCTAATATGTATATTGCTTTCAAATCTAAATCTCAACAGAAGTTGTGACTCTTTTTTCGTACAGCTGTTGGTGCACCCCGCCCAACATGGCGAGAAATGGATGATGAAACTATGCACAATAGCTTTATAGTGGCAGACAGTATTGAGGCAGCTTCTAAGGAAGCTGGGGATGTGATCCTCTCCAAGGTCAGTCTGTCAGAATTTCTGTAGAGAAGTTTTACCAAAACTTTGCAAAATATGTCCCTATGTAAGCCTTGTGGCTTTGGTGGCTCATTATTCTTTGAGTTATTGGCATTCCATGGAATTTATTCTTTGTTCTTTTGATAACTAGGCAACAGTGACTGGGGAGATTGGTGATGTTATTTCAGGAAAATTGGCTGTTCCTGAAGGAAAAACACGGATCTTTAAGTCTTTAGGTAAGCTGTTGTGAGCTGTAGAAGAGTTAGAGGTGAAGTATTCACAAATCAACAGGGTGGGAGCAGGTGCCGACCCATACTCACTTACAATTTAAGTTAGAGAAGCTGATAAAGGCTGTGATAGTGTGAAATGATCAGCAAAGAACTGACAACACTACTTAGTTATTGTTAGTTATACCTTGAAACCTTGAAACTGATTCACATGGTAGTTTCAGTGAGTTAAAATTAGTGATACTGATGAAAATGTTGAATTTTTTTCATAAACTACTGGAACATCTGTTTTCTAGGTATGGCACTGGAAGATGTTGTATCTGCTAAGTTGGTGTTGAGTAAACTTGGTGGATTAGGTGGTACACCTCTTGATGTGCTTTAGCCAATGATAATTTTATCATTGTTTTCTGGGAAAGATGCCTGGGAGAGAAAAGACTGATATATTTTAAATGTGCCAAAGGCTAAGTGAATATCGTTGAATACCCCCAATACTAAGTATTATTAAATAAATGTATATCTCTCATACACCACTTTTTAAGATGAAATAAAAGGTGGGCTCTTCAAGGGCTTATATTTAAGCTATAGGAAGTCATTTACCTTTCGTTTTCTTTCCTGTTTTCATTCAATGACTAATGACGAGTGCAACGAGGCCCCTACCCCTGCCGGGCAACCTTCCCCCTTCCTTTCCCTCCCCTACCCCTCCCCACTTCCACCATCTAAGTACCCACAAAATGGTTTTGACATCGAACCAGCTGGGAAGGTACATCAGCCCAAGACTTCTAGTGGCCTTGTATTAGGTTTGTTTTATGCCAGTCCCAAGTGTGGTTAACGCACTCGTTTTCCAACTTGTTTGAAAAAATACTTAGTTTTATTTTACCACACATTCCACATATTTTACAGACTAAGTTAATACAGTACAACAGGAGGAAATTACGCCGTCCAAACTTATGTTACGAAAAACGACTTTTTTTGTCGTGTAGCTTGATAATTTGCTTCTCACTATTATAATACTAAAAACTACTTTCAGTGGTCTGCCAACACAGAAAAAGAGACAAGTTATTGTTGCTAATAATGTCGGTCACGTGGGATTTGCCGTCAGTTCTCGATGACATCTTTTTTCTCAGGTTGAATCATTTGCACTGACTTGCAGTAGTCGATCTTCCATGTCCTGTCCCTGTGACAGAAAAGGAACGTGAAATTCGGTTAGATTGCTACTCTTACGCACCGATAAATTTTCAGTTCCATTTCCGCTGATAAAAATCTAAGATTCTATTGGTTTAGCCCTATTGCTCCGTGTGATTGGTCGAGACAATTTGCAGGACCCTCTCAACCAATCAGATGGAAAACCAATTGTGATTTGCAAGGGCTTCAAATGGTACCTTGAAAAATTGTGGGTCTCACCAACTTTTTATTCGATTTCGAATAGTCGAAATCTCGAAAGCCTTTTCCATGGATCTCAAGTTCTCATATTTCTCCCAGACCTCTGTCAAAGGATGGCTGGATTAGCCCAGAGTTGTCGTCGGGAGCGAAGAAAGTCGTGATAGCGTTACCGTTTGAAAATAATGCATTGTAGAGGCTGATGTATCAACAAAACGAACTTAAATAGGGAATCCAATTAAAAGGAGTCATGAGGCTTAAATGTTTAGTCGCTCTCGTATTTTCGAACTGGGATCTCGGTGTCTCGTGAGTTTCGGGTTTCACCATTGGCCACCTTGCTTCTGTATTCTCGCGCTTCAGGCAGTTCGCTTTTTTTCCCGTCTTCTTTGAGTACGTACTTAAGTTTAGGTGTGATATTTACAATTGAAATGGGGTCCACATGGTGTGAACCAGTTAATAGTTTAGTAAGTGTTCTAACCTCTTGTAATAGTGAAAGCAGCTGGAAATGCCAGTGATATAATCTCGCTTGTCTCTATCGACCTTAAACTCTAAGTTTTCCCCGGCCTTGTTCAGTGTGGGGGACTGGTGACAAGCTTCATGGTCAAATCTTCTGTCATTGCAACATTTAAACTTATAGCGCCGATCTCCCACTGGAAAATATTCGGCTTTCACACCTATGTATGAAAAATAAACCAAAATAATACACAGTTAATAATTATAATAATGATAATTTTTCTTTTAACAAGACGACGTTCATTTGCACCCTTGAAACTTCTCCCCCAGGCAACCCCGTTCCCGCTGAGTTATTGCTTTGTAGTAAGTGTTTCGCTTCACGTTGGGTAACGATATAAGACTCTGTCTAGTTTGTGAGAGCAGTAATTGTCATGTTTCATAAGAAAATTTCGACAACCATTCCAAGAGGTCTACGAAGCGGCCTTACCTGCTACGAAACCATGATTCGGACAGTTAAAAAAGATTCCATCTCTTACGTCATTGGCGAAATTGTGTTCCCAGAAGCAGTGTTCATAAGAGGCCTCGTTATACCCACAACCGAACGCCCAGATACGGTCATGATGGCATTCACTGTAGTCGCTCTTCATGTAGATCAATGTCTGGCCTGAAATATCGAAATGATAGTAATGAGATACTATTTAATCATTAGATATCGTGTATATGATTATGGTCAGAATATAAACTGAGCAAGGGGAAACAAGAATTTCAGCTGGTTCGATGATCTTCAATCAGCGACACCTGGCGATGGTTTTTGCGTATCCTTTGCGAGCCAGAAACTTCCTGGACAGTCGTTAACGCTCCTCGTTGTACTCCGTTGACAACTTTTCTTTCTTCATTCTCTTTTTCTTTACATTTTTATTACTACGTTATCGTTATTGCCACTATTTTTATCGCCTTGCGTTCGCACTCGCCAAATCCCTCGCGGCTGTTATATCTAGATCTCTCGCGCAAAAGATCATGATCTGTAAGAAAATAGGAGTTCTTTAAACATGCTATTTTTCTTGTAATTTTGGAGAAGGGATTACTTAACATTCCAGCTGCAAAAGGACTAGATCTGACCCTGATGCGCATGCGTAAATGCCTTACCTTTTGGACACTCGAAATCAAGAGATTTTGTCCACTCATTTGCCCACTGGACACCGTCCGGCCTTGATGAAGAACAAGGCATAGAAGTAGCTGGTGTTGGTGGCGGCGGTGGATGTGTGTGATGCGGCGGGTAAGGTCGACGCGATGGGTACCGACGTCTACGATATCCTTTTCTGTATCTAAACCTCCATCTCCAGCCGTGTGGATCGTTTTCGGGTCCAGGTTTCTTTTTGTCGTCTCCAGGGGCATTGGCAACCTTAGGATCTATGTCGAGAAGTAAGGAGCCTTCTGGGCTCTTTTTGACGTCAGTCCCTTTGCAACATACGCAGACGAGCCCCAGGACCACGACTAGTGTTAACAAAATAGCTCCGCGCATGATTTTATCCTGAAAATCGTAAATTTGACTGATCAGTGAAGAAAACTGCAGATTTCAATTTTCACTGCTCTCATTCAGTTTTGGCACCAGAGGTTTAGCTGAGCTAAGTGCCCTAAAGGCATGGGAGTGAACGAATTTACATTGAGATCGACGTCGGTCGATGTCGCTCTGCGCCCCTCAGCGCGAGTTCGACGCTACTCTGCGTCGACAAACATTTTCAGATCTTTACTTTGCCCAGATTTCGAGCTGTTTGTGAGTGGATAGGGCTCTGAATGCATGGATATCGATATTTGCATATTTTTCATTAGTCTTACGCGCGCAGATAGTTTTCATTAGTAACCTAAAGAGTGATCTGTCAAGTCAAGATAAACACACCGAACCCATTTAAAGTTCATTTGAATTTAAATAGCAGCAATATTAAACTTCAAATGCCTGACGGGAATTTAAGCGCATTCCTACGAAGGTTAGCTGGATCGTTTCCGCTTCACTGTTCTAATTTCTCTGAGAATTTAATTTTGTTTCCTTTCTCAAATTCACGCTGCATGAATAGAAATCCCTCCGGTGTGAAACTATTTAAAACTGATGCACAGCTTTGCAGAGCTCTTTTTAAATTATTATTTAACCAAGGTATGCTACGATTAAAAAAAACAACATACCGATGTTGAAGAGTTCGACTTCATCACGAACTGAATTCGCGGCCATTTTTGAGCATAAGATATAACGTAGAAAGGGAGTTTTGAACTCTTCGAGACAGAGTGGCTTTCCAGCCTGTCTCTGACAAACTTAAGTTTACTCAAACATTTTATAATGAGTAGAAGTTCAAGAATTAAATACTTGGAAAGACAAAAATTTGAAATGATTTATAGCTTTGTGTTACCTGAATTTTTTGCAATTTACCTTAGTGGAGAAACGAATTACAACACGTCTTAGAATGGAATCTAGATTTAGGACTATACATTCATGAAAATAGTGTTAGATGCTTGTAAGTGTTGAGGAATTTCAATTATTTATTTTCCCTTTAAATCCTAAATTTTGATCCCTCGACAGGAGAAGACGGTGAATTTATCATTTCTGGGGTGCCCTCAATCGCAAAATTTAAGACTCCACGCAAAATGAACGAGATAAAGCCGCCAATAAACCATTCTGGATGCCAAGAACACACCGCGCGCATCAGACAGAACTGTTGCACCCCCAGGGGACAGAGGAATGAATGTAAGAGGGCAGAGTTTAAAATACGATCTCTCTTTTCTTTTAGGATTTTTTACGTCATCTCAAGATTAACTGCTTGAGTGGGTTATTTCCGCTCCACATCCGCTCAAAAAAGATAGAAGTCGAGAGCAACTTAAAACTGAGGTGACACACCTTACTGATGGAAACACAGAAGTGCAGTAAACTCTTCTCGAGTGTTGGCGAAAAACGACGGAGCTGCACCACCAGATAGAAATTGGTAAAGGTGAAAAGTGATCAGAGCCTTTCAGAGGTTTAAACTTACCTTTCTCAACTAGATACCGAAGCAGTGTACGAAACTGCGATGTTCGAGATCCTTTATAAATCTGACTTAGCGACAGATCCAGGCTTCACCAGATCAGAAGATTGCGGCGACCGCCTACGTAATTGTGTAATAGTTTACGTATCTCTATGGTACAAATATTGATTTGAAATGTTTATTAAGCAAACACGCGCTATATACCTTATAATTACTTTTCTCTTTTAAAAGTGCCAGGCCTTGGGGTCACTTGTTTAACCAATGGATTTTCACTCGAAAGTGTTTTCTTTTTATGAAAACTTTTTAAAAAATTTTTTCGAAATTTTTCAGTTACCTTTCAATTGAATTGAAAAAAATAAAGATAAACGTGCCGACAAATATGTGTTAGAAAAAGAGAAATCTGAAAAATCTACTGCAACTTGGTTCTTGCAGTTCTTGATTAATTCGCTTTTTGAATAAGCAAGAGAATTACATTAATTAATTACACTCCCTTGTAAGAGGCCGTTTGCCTTTCATGCTATTCAGGTAGTTTTTTTTGTTTCTACTACTGAACCTTTAATTACACCTTAACATTAATTAACACCTGAATAGCATGAAAGGCAAACGGCCTCTTACAAGGGAGTGTAATTCTCTTGCTTAATCAAAAAGCTTAACATCAGTATGCATATTCTCCATACTGTCCTTCATACATTCCCTAAGGTGTTAGCAAGGAGAATTTGTTTGAAAATCAGGAACTTCCAAGGCTTAATATGTGATTCATGAGTGACATTGTAAGGAGAAACTAGATGCTACGGTTAATGAGCTTTCATTGACATTTCCCACTCCCCTGATTGGTCATTACTGATGATTGCATTGGTATTTAGTTTAATGAAACTATGCTCAGTCCTGATACCAAAAAGAAGTCAAATCGGATGAGTGTGTAGTAGGAAAAATTTTGTCACTGAAAGAAGAGAAAGAGGATTTCCATAGATATTTGTCAACTTATGAGGAGTTGTCCATAAAGCGCAATAAAGAGTTGTTCACCTACCCCTCCCCCAACCCAACATTGACCCTGACTTATTAATAGTTGACTATTGTTGGGTTAGGGGAGGGGTAGGTGCCCAGTTACACAGAGACTGACATTAATCCTTTCAATTTTCATCCTGATAATACACATGAAAGAATAACGCGCTTCTGCTTGGCTGAAACGAGCACATTTTTAAAGTAACACGAGTGCAAAGTTGTAGCGCGAGTCCAAATTACAAATGTCTGTCTTGAATTTGTGATCTTTTTCTATGTAAATTATTAATTAGTAATAACATGAATTGAGTGCAATTTGGTGTAAATAAACAGCCCATGCAGTTTTGTTGTGCTTGAAAAATTTACCGGTGCCTATTTAAACCAAATTGCTTTTGAATTCATATCAGTACCTATACTAACAGCAGAACAAATTAAAATAAAATTACCCAACTAAATGACAAGCGGCTTTTATGTAAATTATATGAGAATGTAATTGGGAAATATGACTCATCTGGCTTATTCTAATTACGACTTTCATGATCGACAGCATCATCCGTGTTTTGACGACTGGTAAAACTTCCTTAGTCTTAAGTTTTAATGTATTTGACCAGTCTGCGTTTGGAAGCAAAAAGAACCTCTTTATTTTTAATATTCGGCTTTAATCTGATCCACAATACACGAGAAATTCCTTCTTTTTGTTTTGTTTTTATGTTTTCACTTTTTTAACAACATCTTTTTGTATGTAAATATATCAATGACCACCTTTTTTCTCCTTTTCGTTTATTTTTACCTTGTTTTATTCTCGCGGCCAATCTATGATGAAAATGAAGACTTGTAACACGGGGGATGATATCACAAAAGGAAAGATTGGAATCACATCGAGTAATATCAAGACATTATTATTCAATAATATAAGCTCTCGGCATTACATAATAATGACAAGCTGCCAGCTTTAGTAAAATAATTGAAAATTAAAATTTGTTTCAAAAGTCAGTTTATATGCCAAATGTCTGGTATATCACATCCCTAACTTAGAAAGTCTCGTGAATTATTACCTGTAATACGTAGAGTGCAAGCACTCACGCAATTAATTTTGTGACGTCTGAAGAAAACAGATGATGTTCACAACTGAATGCCTTACCTCATTGTGTATTAAAAACGGATTAATTAAGAAAGCGTTTCAACCAGCTGCTTATGTGCTAAGATTAGTTTATTTAGTTTGAGATCGGCAGGGAGACCGGCAGTTAACCGCGGAACTTTTCATACAAACGATCACTTGAAGTCCAGAAAATTATCTATAACTCAGTGAAGAATGATAAATATTGAGGTGCCATCCACTTCAGGGCTCATCGCGAACGTCGTCTTGAACGTCTTTTCTGCATTTACAGCTATCGTTTTCAATAGCATAACGATAAAAGCTATAAAGAAAACTTCCTCTTTACCAAATCCTTTGAAAATATTACTGTTGAGTCTTGCCCTTTCTGATCTTGCTGTTGGTTTAGTCGCTCAACCATTATGGATTGTAAACATTTTGAGGAAAAAGGATACCGAAGTGTTATGGATCATCCAATCTGCACTGGCCAACGCTTCGTTCCTCGGTATCATGGCCCTGAGCGTGGACCGATTTCTAGCAGTTCATCTTCATCTCAGATATCGGGAACTTGTGACTTACAAGCGCGTTCTTCGTCTGGCAATCTTAACATGGGTGTTGAGTGCTCTCCTTTCATCCATTTGTTATTTGGTCACTGAAAATTTGAACCCGTTTATGAACATCATAATCATCGTCTGGAGTCTTTGCCTAATTTTCTTGACTGTTATCAGCTGCAGACTTTACTTTGCAGTAAGAGTCCATACAAAGCAGATTCAAGCTTCACTGTTAAATCAAACACTGAGTGATGAACTGGCAAATGCCTCTAGGCTGAGGAAATCCTCAGTAAGCTCATTTTATGTAAATTTTGTGTTTTTAGTTTGTTATTTGCCATTCTTTTGTAGTCTTATTACCGGGATTTTCTTCAAGAAGGCAGCCTTTACGAACAGCCAAATTTGGCAGGAACTGTTTCTTTTGTCTCGAACACTAATGTTTATAAATTCTTGCCTAAATCCTGTTATTTATTGCTGGAGAATGAGAGACATCCGACACGCTATCACGGACATACTGAGAAATACATGTACATACAAAAGATAGAAGACTTAATTACGGATAACCAAGGCAGAACATTGCAATTACTTACCAGTTCATCTAGATCTACATAAGATCTTCTTTAAGTTTTTCTTCTCTCTTTTTTTTCCTAGTGCGAGCTCAAATAACTCTTTTACTTTGAAAAGGTCTCATTTTCATCTAATAACAAATGAAAAGTACAGAGAGAGCGGATTAAAAAGGCTCGAAGCACGACTCTTGATCGAGTGCGTGTGTAACGGAAAACTTTTTGTCATTGAGACAGGATATAATTTATAATTGTTCTGATAAGAACAGTAAATGTGGAAATGATAGATCGAACTGGTGAGAATTTAAGGTCTATAACTTAAGTATGAACTGTAGTGTTTAGCCTCCATTGACGACTTTTTGTTAAGTTCTTTTAGTTACAACCACAAATGGATCTAAAAAAAGCCTCGTTGATTACAAATGATATTTAATAGAAATACTACGCTTGTGTTCTGTAACTCAAGGTCTACAACGGTATTTTCTCTGTGTTTTTCAAAATTACCACTCTATTCTTTAATGTAGTTTTCAAGATGTAATCAACTAAAAGTCAGGTTTTTCTGATCCACCGTGAGTGGATCAGAAAAACGTTACTTTTTGCAAGCTGTTTTGTTCACATGTAAAGTAATGATTCCTGAGCTTTTCATGATTCACTGGTGTGTTTACTGGACCGGCTTTCCATGGCCTACTAGTTCTTCTTAGACTTCTTGTATTTCAGTGTGCAACTTTTCACCTTCCAGCGGCGATAACTGAAGATGCAAAATAGTTTAAAACAGTAACATCAGACAACTAACACACTGGCATCAGACGCTGCGGTTTATAATTACTGGAAAACGGGTCATATTGCATCCCCTCCCCCCCCCCCATGGTCTCTACCCCTCCTTTAAAATGCTCTGTCTTGTTTCAAAGGGGCGTATATTGGAGAGATTTGAGTTTTTCAAGTCAAACGTCCGATGGGAATATTTTTTCCTTAGCATGATCGAAACTAACCCTCATTTGTCTTTCCCTATTTGAGCTTTCACTTAATTCTGTTTCAAATAGCTAAGAGCTTTTCACTTACTTGAAATGGTAATCACTTTTGATTCCTGACAAATAAAATCTTCTTTTGCTCCGAAACACCAAAATTCCGTAAGGGTCGTTCAAATACCCACTCCACTTGCATTTCTTTTTTGTGTAGTTTGGGTTATGAGAGCACTGGAATTTGAAGCGGCGGTCCTTGTAAATGTTATTGTAAATGCTGCTAATACCTTAAAAGTAAATGAGAAACGCATCAAGATTGTAATAACAGGCAAACAAAACGAACAAGAAATTAAATTGAAAGTGACCTTGGCAGCAATAAACAGTAATTAGGCAGCAACGAAAAGAACGCCTGAAAAAAATCAGGCCTGTACGGAATTTAAACCCTTGATCTGTGCGATACTAGTGCAGTGCTCTACCAACTGAGCTAACAGTTATCTAAGTTCTTAATAAACTCATGAAGTGATGAATCAATCATTGTAAATATATTAAAATCATGTATATGAACTGCGGTTTTGAGAAATGAAATTAAAGGCGATCCTGGTCAGACAAACTGGTAGTGCTTTGTTTGGGAACAGATCGTGACTGGGCATCGAAGTGGGATTTACCGGCGAGTAATATTGAAAACGAAAATGAAGGGATTCATCAGTAAAACTGAGACAAAAAGCATTTGTATTTCCCTTTATGGCCATATAATCACCTCAGCATACTTATTTAATGCGACGATCGGAGACAATTTTGTACTCTGATTGGTTGAGAACGTGGCGGGAGTTTTCTGGACCAATCAGAGAGTTTCGTAAGGGCAGAACCATGGCAAACTACTTTCACCACTCTGAAAATTGCGCTTGAACTAAAAATTCTCTCGTACCCGTTATGAAACCATTGTAAGGACACTCATACTCAAAAGATACTTGAAAAGAAGTGACATAACTCGGCCACTCTGTGATCTTGCACGCTCTATTGTCCCTGCACTCAAATGCCCAAAGTCTATCACCACTTGCTGGATTGTACGAGGCTGTGATCACACTGATGGACTTTCCTGGAAAATGTATTTAAATGATCCGAATATTGTGACTGAATGAAGCAGGTATTATTTGTCAGGTGATGGACACCGCCGTGATTTAATCAAACATGACTCCGATTTAACCCTTTAACTCCCATGAATGACCAAGACAGAATTTCTCCTCACAAAGTGCTTCCAATATCAAGTACACAAATGATGAAAATAAAGAAAAATATCTTTTAAGTGATTATTAGTTGATCCAATACAAAATTCTCCGAACTAACATCATAAGAATTGTATGTCAGACAGTAAGGAGAAGTACTGATAAGATCATGGGAGCGAAAAGGCGAAGGGCTCGATTTCAGGGTGAGTGTCAGTAGGAGCTGAAAGTTTGATTCCTCAACTGAAATAAAGTAATCATTTATTGAGTCGGTGTAGGAAATAAGGGAATCTGGTTTGATTTCTCGCAAAAAGAAAAGAAAGAGGTATGTTTAATATTACCTGGCGGGCAAATGAACTGAAGCGGTCCATAACCATTGTTGTTGTTATTATTGTTATTGTTGTTATTGTTATTGTTATTGTTGTTATTGTTATTGTTATTGTTGTTGTTATTGTTGTTACAAACCACACGTTTTACCAATCCCCAATTGTTGTTATTGTTGTTGTTGTTGTTATTGTTGTTGTTGTTGTTATTATTATTGTTGTTATTGTTGTTGTTGTTGCAAACTATCCGCTTGAATTTTGATTTGCCTTCGTCTTTAGCTGATGTCTCTGCAGAAGCCAGCAGGATCGATAGGAATCCAGCCACGACGAGAACTAAGGAAATAGAACAAGCCATGACAGCAACCGTCTAATCTGCATGAAAATCGCGATACGTTTAAGTTAATATACTTGATTCGTTTAAGTAATGTGAACATGAAGTGTTCAAAGAGCCGAGCAGTGCTTGAAATAACGATGCTAATGTAGAAAGACGAAAGGAATAAAAAGGATCGGAAAAGGCGCTGAAGGTGAGAGAACATTTGAAGGACAATGACCCCTTTAGTGTGCCTTCCTACAGGATCTCTTGTATTTCTTTTTCATCCTCGGCCCAAGAGGTCCGCTAATCTTTGTCATATATTGACAATCTGTTTTTGAATTAGGCAAACACCTGTCAGGTGCTTATCACAACTTATTAGCTGTAACAAATTGATTAAAAAAGTGTCTCATTCCACAAATTCTAAGATCACTTAAGGCGCTGCTTCCGATTTTTTTAACTAGCATATTGCGTCATCTTAGCTTTCTAAATACCTTCGTTGTTGCATATATCGCTCTTTAATTGCTTTATAGAACTCAATTTTTTATTCCGTTTCAACACACGTATTTCTTGCTAGTAGAGTTATTTTTCAGCTCTCCTAATTTGTCTCGTCAACTCTACACCCGTACGAATCAGAAAAATTGAATAATGACTAGAAAAGTTTGAAGAGTGATGTGCCTTTTCTCTGACGAGCTTCATTGAAAACCGCGTAAAATGCATACGGTTTTGCACGGGGTTATAACATAACTCGTTTAGTTCGATTCTTGTAAGCGTCCTACGAGCAGTGTGGTCCATTTATGGCCTAATGTTTTCCTGTTTCTGCCGCGTAGAGCAGAAGCGCGGAGTATACCTCGTTCTCCCAGATGCTATACTCAAATGAACCCGTAGCACTTTCTCAATTTCCTTGGCAATTTTTCTGCGTCTATTTACACCCGAGACTGGGGGAAAAGCATCAGCCAATCTTAACTCTAATGGTTTTCAAAGTGTTGCTTAGCCACCAGGGTGCCTGTCTTTCATCATACCCAGTCCAGCGGGAACTGACTTGATTGTTTTGAGTGCAGCATCGGTAGAGGACACGGCGGCTTAAGTCACTTACCACAGTGCAGGGATTCTGGGTCATTTGGGACAAATTTAATTCGTTTGTACCCAATGTTTAGCTCCATGTTCTCAGGAAGATGCCGGAAGGGATTTTAAAAACCCGTTTTTACGTACCTTTGCAAAAGCAGCTGTTAAACTGAAAACCTCTGCAGTCAAAAAAAGAATACTTATGAACTTGACCACGAAATTATCTAATTTAATTTCATTATTTCCAGTTTTGAATTTTATTGTCATATGCAAATGACACGCATTCTCTTAAGGTACACATTATGTTATGGGTAAACAAGGCAAGGGCTTTCAGTTCATTGACACAAGTTTGCGAAAGTTTCTGGAGACCACCTTCCATGGTAAAGTAACCATTTGTTTAAACCATGTCATTGTTTAAACAAATGAAAAAACAGAAATATACGAACGGATGTTCTATTAACAAACAAAGAAAGGAATACTTATTAAGAAATTATTGAAAAGGAAGCCACGCGAGATGTTAGGAGATCACGGGAGATTCATGAGCCGGAGGCAAGAAAAATAACGGGAAAAAAAACGAGAAGAAGAAAAAGGAGAGAGAAATCCGTCTGGCGGCGGTGGGTAATGAAACCTTTCTGTTAAAAAACATACCTTACATAATCTGAAATTAAGTGTGGCCATTCGCTGACTTATTTCAGATCTTGTTTATGAACTAATCTTCTGGGTTAGCTTTGTTGTAATCTTTTGAGTGTAAATTCTCCCTTTTTTCTCATGTTTTGTGTTTACTTCTCTAGGGTATTGATATTTCCTGGTTTTAATCCTCTTTCAAGAGATTTAAGAGGTTTTAAATTTATCAAAATCATTCTGAGGATGATGATAAAATTGATGTAATTTTTATTCGGTTGTCTGTCATGGTTATCTATTAAGAGTGCAAGAAGCAGCATTTTGTCACCAATCTTTTTCATAGAGTTATTTCCGTTTATTATTGTCGAGTACAGAAATTTATTGATATTTAAAATGATAAACAACAAATTTTTAAGCGTCTTCACATTCATCAATTAACTCGGGATCAATTGTCGTCGGAACAACAGCAACAGGAGCACTCGTTGTCGGTGGCTGCGTCGGCGGCTGTGTCGGTGGCTGTGTTGTGGTCGGCGGCTGTGTCGGTGGCTGTGTTGTGATAGGCGCCTTTGTTGTCGGAGCCTGAGTGACCGGAGCTGGAGTTTTAGGATTGGTGGGAATTCTTATTCTAATGGGCGGTATTCTAATTCTTGGTACTCGGATCCTGCCCCATCCATCAGTAGAACTGATCAGCACCCCAAGAACTGCAACAGTCGTGTAGACAATCAAAAACCTGCACATCGTCACCCTAAGAAAAAGATCACATTATTGATTTGTAGCAATATTTTTTTGTACGTAGTGATAACAACTTTGAAAAAGGATTTAAGCAAAATGGAACGCCAAAAGTATGTACGGCTGAGCCCTTCAAAATTCGATTACTACTAATAGTTTATATTAGTCATGTGAACAAAGAAACTTTGAAAGAAATAAAGCGATTAACATTGAAAAAAGAAACTCTCTGAATGCATATTTGTGAGGGTATAGCAGATCAGTGTTAGTAGTTTGGTGAATTTAGCAATTTTACGATGTCATATATTTCTGAGGCCCAGAGAATAAATGTAAAATGCTCACACACGATCTTGTTTATTGAATTTTAGAGAAATTAAATCTGTAAAATAAGAAACCAGTCATTATTCAGTGGTGGGGAAGGGGAAGGGGGGAAGGGGAAGGGGGAAGGGGGGAAGGGGAGGGGGGAAGGGGGGGGGAAGGGGAGGGGGAGGGGGAGGGGGGGGGGGGGGGGGAGGGGAGGGGGGAGGGCGGGAACTATAGAAATTGACGGCCAGTTAACTGCCAGTGAGGGACTATCAAAAGAATATTACAGAGCCTTACTGGGCGGTTGGGGAATCAGTTAAATTTCATTGCGGAACAATCCAATTCCTGCGACCCCCTCCTTCCCCCTTTACCCCCCACCCCCACAGTCAATGAATACTGCTTACCGGTCCTCGATGGTCAAAGAGAGAGAGAGAGAGAGAGAGAGAGAGAGAGCCAACTTCAAACTGGAACAACTCCGATACACACAAATGTAGGGAAATACGCAAAATGTCCGCTTTTGGATAAAAAAATAACGTAACAGCCCCAACGTTGTCACCTGATGCAACGATGAATAGTAGTTTTTTTGAAGTCTTGTTTCGAGATGGAGGTGAAAATGTGATATACATCCACAACAGATATTTAACATGCATGTGTCCAGTACCATCAGTAAACGAGATTATCCCGTATTAAATGATCTACTTCAGTTGCTAAATACATGATATCAACACTATTGGCAAACGGCTTACTGAGTACATCTTTATGACATAATCTGACTTGAATTGCTTCTAGAAATTTTACTTTCTGGGGCGTAAACTTACGTTCTTATTTCAACAAACATGCCGCTTCAGCATGTATTTCAATTGACATATTAAAGAAATTAGAAGCCCAGTTTCATTAAAATTTGCAGCAAATCGAGAAATAGAAAAAGTATTAATTAGCATCATATTGAAATCAATTTCCGCAATCACACAGCTGGTGTCGTTACAGGGATTTATGATCCATTGCCATGGGCATTATTGATCTTTTTCTTAACTATAGTTACTGACAACATTTAAGACGCTGCACACTTTTTTCTTCAACACTCGTTTTCATCAGACCTTTGGCAAATTCAAAGAAATTTTCTAGAGAAGATTTTTGCAAGAATTATTCCATTTGAATTAAAGCTGCATCGAAAGAAAATCATTTGTTATAATCGCTAGTAACGTAGATAAATGCGAGGAAGCCTTTTCTTAAATTCTCATAATTAGCCCAAATTGCTGTTACTGAAATGTTACTGTGAACCGTTGCATTGATACCAGCCCTGAAATTTCACAAAATTCAGAATCACAGGAAAATGTGAACGCAACAAGTAGTTAAGAATGACGGTACACTTTTATTTTAAGAGGTCATTGAGCAAAACGTGTCCATGAATTGAATGGAAAATAACGCAGGATACACGTTAAAAAAATAACATATGACTTGTCAACTAAGTTTGCGAACGGCCTTTCTTTTTCGGTTGTGGATTTAAACTAAACATAATAGTTAAAAATTATAAGTTAACTGAATAAAGTTTTATTTGTGTCCAATAGATTTTAAACTTACCCCAGTTATGATCTAAAGAAATCTCCAAATATCTTGACGGATTCTTTACAGCGAGGCAGAGACAAGCTATCCGACTAAACTGACTTGATAGACAAAGTAAAAACAGAGTTTCTCAATTGAGATCATAGATCGTAAATATTACTCAAACGTAAATTTTAAACACAGCTGCGAATACTTAAATCACAATTTCAACACCATTTTAACGAAAACACACGATTAACAAAGATAGAAATATTATGAATATTTATTCAATTACGATATTGAAGAGATCTTAACTTCTCCCCTAATAAGCGGACAAACACAGCTTGAATAGTTTATTCAGTTATGTAAACAAAAATATCAATTAGTAATATTTGAATCACGTAACATCAGAATTATTGGAAAAAATTAACGGATTGGAAGGACTTACTTTGCCTTTCGTAGACCTTGAAAAGTAATGTTATATTTTTTCTTAGAGGCTTACGTGGATTGTAACCATGTAGGTATCTTTTTGTGTCATCTAGGCAGTCATTTGCCGTTAACATTAATTCTGTTTACAGAGAAATCACTTAACATATCAGTGATATTTCAATTATATTACATAGAATGAGTTTAAACGTTTTCTCAAACTACAGAGGACACACGTTTTATTTTTTTGAACTAATTATAACCTTTCAATCCTCCTTCTATCAAGTTTCGTTATCGTCTGGAAATATAACAATAATATTTGCAATTTTGGAAATCTTTCATGTGTTTTGTAAGCGGCACTGCTTTTGATTCTCGTTCTTTCGATTTCTTTTGTTTCATTTTTAATGCGCACGCGCGAAAGAATCAACAGTTATTACTGATCTATTGAGGTGTCGTGACGTAGTTCTTGGTGTTGTCTTCAAAATTCAAATTGGTCTTTTTAATTTTTTTGGGTTACTGAATTATTTGCATTACTGAGTTGATTTGTGAAACTTTTAAAATTTTTATCAACTCAAAAAAACTGACATCTTCCAACTTTACGTAAATTCTGTTGAAAAGGTTCCGAAGCAAATCGAAGCAAGCTTGTAGCAAAAGTTGGTTCACGAAAAATCAATGAAATCATTGAGTAGAGAAGATGAAATATGCGTGAAATGATAAAGAATAATTTAATGATTAGTGAAAGCGATGGACATGTTAAAATTAATTATCTCGATAGTCATGATATTCAGTTCACTGAAGTGAACAAAGAAATGATTGACACGTAATCATTAAACATTTGGTCTCATGGAAAACTAGAACTGCTGAATGGAAACATTTTGTCCCTTGAGTCTTTCATTCACAAAAAAGAAATTGTCCTTTTCTTGTAAAAAGAAGAAAAAGCTCTTGACCAGTAAAAGATGAGGTATTTCGAAACTTAGCATCTACCGGCAAGGGACCAATTTTCCACAAGTATTTTGAGATTTCTGTTAAATAAATGTTGCTCAGAAACGATCGCGAGTGGTTGGCGATCCTTCGGGAAAGAGGACTAGACTGCTAATCGTCCTTAATAATTTGTGACCGAGATTTTGAGCATAGAACTCAACGAGTCCGCTTGCAAGTTATCAAAGGTATCCGATGAGTTTCCGGCCAAGGTGAAAACCTGCATAATAGCAACCATTAACTATTTTCGTATTTTAAGTGTAAAATGACGGCATAAAGTCTTGATACTAAAAAACTGAAAGCTGCTTTGGGTCTAGTGCTCTCAATTAAAAGGCTTAAACTTCACATTGTCTTGTTAACGAAAAAATACCTAGATAGTTCAGTACCACCTTATCTAAATAATTATTTTTATTTTAATGCCTCTGTAAACACAGTTTCGACTAGACGCTGTAACGACATTCGTATCCTAAAAGTAAACCAAGAAGCTGCCAAGAGATCTTATTTTGGTTTTTTACCATAAAATATACCTAATGACCCCATAAAGCTCTGTAATATTATTATAATTTCTCTCCTCCCTCTTTTTGTTGGCAATTACAAAAAAGTATTCATCGCTTGAAAAAGGAAAAACTTCTTGCAGCCTACACGGGATTTCAGGGAATAAGGCGAACGCACGCACTCGGCACGTTATAACACACTCGCACGTTAAGGGCATGACACGCTTACCGTGTAGATATGCGCATAAAAACAATTAATTTTGGAAAACGTGTTTATAGCCATTCTTCATATCTGGCTAACACGATAGAGCTTTGTTTCTAGAACACGCTAGATTTTTTGTTTTGCTTTCACACGCTCAGTTCCTTTGTTTCCCTAGCACGCTAGCTTATCTTGGACAACCCAGCTTACTTTGTTACTTGTGTTTATCAGCTGCTTAATTGTGAGAATGGTACGGTTTTTGTGAGGTATACTACTTACAGAATGTAAGTGAAAACGAAGAAGATCTTCTGTCCTTTTCGAGAGTTGTAATAAAAAAGGAAACATTTACGGTAAATAACGGCTCTTTCCCTCAGGATTTTCACAAGGAATTCAATGAGAACGACTGGTTCACAAGGTCCAGAGGAGCTCAGTTTGAACACATGCATTACTTTTTTAAAACTTAATTTTTACCTTGTAAAATATACACCCTTATCGCTTCACGCAGTTAATATGCCCAGTACCGAATCTTTGTGACTCCTTTAGCAACTGTTACAGTTTTGGCTCCATGTCTCCTGATCGACGCGGTCGCTGTTCTTCACTCGGTGCAAATCGGCATTTTTAAAATAAATAACCGTCAGTTAGCCGCGCAAAACGAAGTTTTCCGAGCAGAAGCCGCGTATTATTTACTGTACACCGATCTTAGCGTCTTATGAGCTCTTAGTCTTTAGCAGTGCGGTATATACCTTGCGTAACGCAACTGTAACGTCGACATGTTCTCTTATGTTTGGCGATTTAGCGACCAAAGTTGCACTAGATATTGAGTATCGTATTGGCCGAGCATGTAGCTGTCCTAAGAAGCCTTACAGCTTAGGACGTACTTCTTGTACAAATCAAAAGCAACTTTAACTTTAAGAGGCGTGTTATAAAATTGGCACGGTCACCATATTATATCGTGCAAAGTTGCAAGCAAGATCTTAACACGTCTCTTTGTCTCTACCGTGCGAAGCAAGACAATGCCTGCGAAGTTAATGAGGCAAGTAACTAACACGCAGCTAACGCGTTAAAATTTAGTTCTTTTGTTTTAACGTGCGAGCGTGCCGTGTGAGTGCGTCCACGTCATTCTTTGAAAACCCGTGGAGGGTCACAAATGGTGGCAATTTTTCCCATTTTATTTCAATTTTTGTTTCATTTCCATCCAGACATAGACATTGTTCACGATGTCCAATAATTTTTAGACGAAGTTTTCCTCTAAAGGTTGCTCTCTCCGAAACTCTCAATTTTGTGAGAAGGCTCGTGAATCACATTCATAGTCAGTTCAGAGTAATTCAGTCTCATAGCTTTACATCTATCGATGAATGGCTGGGTTGATTTCCGACGTCCTCTACAACTGGAGGAAAATCCTTCCTTCCTGAAAGCAGCTTTACAATTTTTTCCAACATTTCCGTTTGGTTTTCTACGTTGGCGTAAAGCCTCTCCACTCTAAAGGAAAATGAACAAAAATAAGAAAACCTTACCCAAGATAATTAGGAAAAAAAGCTTGTAAATAAAAGAAATGGATGATAATTAAACAAAATTGCTTTGTCCCCCGAAATATTTCTCGGAAACCAACAATTTATTTGCGATTAAAGGTAACAATATCATGCAAACTATTTAGAGTATCTTTCTTTTTTGTCGATAGAAACCTAGCACCGCATTACCTCTGCTTTACTTTGTCATGTGATTCAATAAAAATTTTGAAATACTTTACAGATAAGTCATAATCAGATCATACAAAAGTATGACGTAACTAATCAGAGGTGACTCTTCATCTCGCATTTAGGGTGCGCACATAAGTTTCAGAACATTTTAAATGGTTTGATTTCTTATGTGTGGTTGTAATGTTTATTTACATTCTTATTGGTCGTTTTGACATTCAATGGAAACTAGTCACAAACTGCTGTCACTGTTAAAAATCACTGTTCCTCAACCGAAAGGCGCGAATAAACCATGTTAAAGTTTCAAATGAGGAACTCCCGAGGGGTCTAGTAATAGTGACTAGTTCCCTCGTGTGTGCTAACCAATTAGAAGATGCATAACTTGCAGCTGTTTTCGATTATTCGGTAACTATCGTATTGTATTGTTTATCAAAAGAAGATAGCGGTAAACTTATACTTTTGCTCCAAAGCACCGATTCTCTGGAAGAATGCGGAAGTCTTTTCTTCACAGTTGTCGGGGTCATGTTCATCCAAGGAGGAGTTATCCTTCATCCCACTTATCAACCGACGAATGTTCTAATAATGAGTACAGATGAGTAACTTGAAATTAGTTAATAAGAAATGACTGAATTGACGAAATAAAAAACAAAGACTGGAAGAAAAAAGTAAGGAAACGAGTGCAGTGATTTGAGTTAATTCTAGTTAAGTATAAAAAAAAATTATCTGTTAGTCGATTATTTTCAGCATAAAGCAGTTTCCACTTGATTGTCTAAAATAATCTACAACCTTTTTGGTTTTTTCTTTAACCTCGCTCTGTGCTTGGTTTTCAAAACTCGTAACGCCATCCTTTCAACTAATCAGATGATGCATTTTGCCGTGCTTCTGGTAATTTGCTTGTTTTTAATTTAACCCCCAGATGGCTCCGTGTAACAATTTACTTTGTTGTAATTGGCTGTTGCGATTACTTTGGCCGGTTAAAGTTTTGCAACAAACAATGGGAAAGCGCCCTCAAGTTTCATTTATGTTACTGGGGACAGTATGTAGCTAGTCTACGAGCAGGCGCTCGTTATTAGGGCTCGGGCACGAGTGTTTCCTCGCCCGCAGGAGAGTATGGGGCCAGCTGGCTAGTAGTTTACCATTAGACTTGTACTCCAGAAATGTCTCTTTTTGTTTGGATATTTTGTGATGCTCGACTTGTGAAAGCGGCGAAGAAGACATTTTGGAAGGCGTCGTTCAAATGTAAAAACGTCCTCAATCTAAGAAAAAAATAAAGTAGAAATTTAATACAATTAATGATATCTCTCTTTTATGTAATAATATAAAGATTTAGCCCAGCCTAAAAGCGGAGCTCGCATTTTTTTTCCCGCACGTCTCAAGGGCACAACGTCTTGCCCCGGCCAGGACTAGAACCCGGGTCGTCCGACTCGGAGCCCAGTGCACAGACTACTGGACTACTGAACAAAGTCATGGCATTGGCGTGCCCGCGGTACAGTTGACCACGCATGTTAAAAGTAGCACCTTGTAGGGTCGTACGGTCGTACGGTCGTACATCCAAATGTTTTCGGCTTGATGATGATGGGCTATTACTTTGTATAATTATGGGGATACGCTGTGCGCACTGCGAGCTCCGCGTATGAATGAACGTATGGTAAATAATTAAGATGGAGGCTTGTGCTACAAAAACATTTGCAAAATTTTAATGCTACATAGTTAATCTACAAAGAGACATCAGATCAATATCAGTATCTGGGCAACTACCCACCTACCCCTCCCCTAACTCAACATTAACCCTTACTTGTTATCAATTGACTGTTGCTGGGTTAGGGGAGGGGTAGGTGGGCAGTTGCCCAGATACTGATATTTATCCGAGACACCTGTACACATTTGCCTTTCTGTAATACAATCCCAAAACATTTCATAAGTACGGCAGGTTACAGATTTCTAATTTCAAGATTATGTGAATCATACCCAATGCAGTGAAAACCCTCGGAAGTGTCACTGTGTACAGTTGATAAAGTGTAGTTAATAAAAGGCTGTGAAACTCGACATATTTCTTTGAAACAGTTCTTTTTTTCAGTTTTTTTTAGCTCGCTGTGCAAAATTAGCAGTGGCATTCCAATAGTGTTGGACTAAAGGCCCAAAGGATCGTTCCATACATTGGTTTTTTCGCTTATTATGAGTGAAAAAAAAGTGAATTAAAGATTTGCCCGGTCAGGGAATTAAAACTTTAGCTCCAGCAACAACCCCTGTTTTAATCTTTGCGGGTTGTTGTCAGCTTTCTTATTAATATATATAATTAGTTACGATAAAGTTCGGGTATAACGCGCGCTGTCATTGGTTGAAAGAGCGTGCTCTATCAGAGAACAAAACACCGAACTGAGCAGAAGCTTTCGTGCCGTCTGCAAATTTGTGCTATGTCCAACCATTTCCCGACTTTTCTCTAGCTTTTTACCTTTTATTGAAAGTGAAATTTCGGAACAAGCGAGCCGGCAAGTAGCAACAGAAACATGATAGATGTCAGTATAACGTGAGCAGAGACGAAAATCCTCAAAGAGAAAACGAAATGGACAGTCCGAATTTTGAAGGTTTCCACAGAGCGCAGTCAAGGCTTCTCTGTTTGTTAATCAACCCCTCATCTCTTCCACCAAAGCGTGTTACGATATGCCAAATATGGATATACATCTGTGAACTCCCCAATACCCAACCATGTGATACTTTCAAGTGCTAGCGAGGCACCTTGTGCACGTTATCTTACCTGAATGGCCAAAAGTTTCAATTCAGCATTTTTCTGTATGGATTCAATGTCACCGACAGCCAAGCCAATCTGATAAGCAAGGGGATATTTTTCGAAAGTCAAATGACTATACTTTTGTGCTTGCATCGTAAATCTGATTTTAGCAAAAATATCATTAAATTTTACCCTTAGTAGAAATTGTGGGAGAGACTTTAATTTTATAGAAGTTCGAAGAGCCTTAGAGCAAAATATAATTAGAAGTTCAGTCGCTTTCAGGGCACAAGTATTGAATTCAGAAAAGTTTATATTGTTTTATTTTATTTCGCCGGATGTAACGCCCCTTGACTGAAAGCTAGGAAGGAAATAAATCGTCATCGTTGATCGAGAACAGTTAGCGTACGGATTTGTGACTGGAAAAATTTTAAAATGTCAAACTGTCAAAGAACTGACTCGCCTATACATTTTTTGACCATGGTTGGAAGTTTAAGAGAATTCCCTATTTGCTGCATTTACGCGCAACCAAATTTTTCAGTATACTAACAAAAAATTGATGATCGATCAAATTCTTGACATAATGCTCAATAATAGTTTGAGACTTACCAACAGGTTCATGAAAACTATCGGCACCAAACAACAAAATGCGGCAAAAATAAATCTCGTCAGATCGGGAAGATACAGCGTATTGTCAACAAAAAAGTTACTGTATTCCAGCTCCCCAACCATCATATCCAACACCTTCAACATCGCCAGATCTAAACGACCAAAGGGGTCCTAAAGAAGATAAAATAACTTATCACTCCTTTACAGGTGACTACGATTGCTATTTAATAAGGATAGTGAGTGTGTTCAAATGAATTACTTTAAGCTGAGCTGTCTCAGTCTTATTCTTGTCGAAACCGCAACTAAACTGCACTAACAGTCCTCTCCACCAAAGCAATTTTCTTTGATCGGCTCTTCGTGTTTCGTGAAACCCGAGCTCGAAGCTCTGTTATTCAACGCGAAGTGAAATTCTAGAATGTATAAAGTTGTAAAACGGACATTTTATGCCGTATAATATTTATGCCGTAATAATATTTTGATGATATTAATAATAATAATAATAATAATGATAAATCACTGCAGTTTTTTTATCCTTATTGTGAGTATTACGATAACTGTAAAAGTAGTTATTATCATGTTGCTCTTTTTCAATGTATTCATTAACGCACACTACGGTAATGCAGAGAAAATCAGGCCCAAAAGTTAGGAAGCAAATATGATGTCTCTTTATAATACTGTTGATTGATGCTGAAAACTAAGAATCTTATCTCATCTCTTAAACCACGATCCTATCACAAACCCACTGCACCAAAAAGTTTTTTCAGCTCTCCCTTTCTGTTATTGACACAACGTTTTTTTTGTAGTTTTTTGGCCCCAGATTATGTTTAGTTCAATTAACTTGGCTTGGCAGAACTATACTGAAAACCACCAGACTCAGACCAAGGAAGAAATAGTGTGCATTGAAGGAATTCTTAGGCACAATCTTTAGCACGTTGTGTGTCACTTCTGGACGAGAAGGTGAAAATAATAGGAGTTTTGTAAAATCAGAGATAGCTTGCAGAACAGGATTCATGATGTGAGATCTACATCACTATCAGTGGAAAGCGCACTACATAACTTGAAGCGAACATTTTGTAGATATATGTGATTTCTTACCTCGCCATTCGAGGAAAGGTTAATACCATTTCTTGAGGCCTGAGAGCAGAGAAAAGTCTCAGAAAAATTGTGTTAAATATAGCAATGTTAAGTTCTGTTGATGAACAGCGCAATCATTTTCTGTTGGTAATGCTCTCGCTTCTTACTAAGAACGCATTCGCAATAGGTGGTGAGTCAATGTGAGGTTAATGACAGACTCCGTGTAACAGCGCGATTCACCATCATAGAGCATGATTGACATATGCTATGTTCCAGGTAATGATGAAATTAACAGCCTATATGAAGTCCTACGTAACAACGATAGGGTTAAAACGAACGCAGGAAATATGAATAAGTCTTACTTTTCCGTAAGGAAATTAAACTAAGTTTTGATTATCAAGAAGTCAGCTTACGTTTGCTTCCTTTGATAGCAGCACATGGAAGACCAAGGCAAATCCAAAGAGGAGAATAGAGAACACAGCACAGACCTGTGTGAATATTATGCAGTAAATAAACTAAAGGAACCTCGATAAAATATTTGTGACCGTGATGAGGATTCGAAGCTTATGTTTCACGAGAATATTTCGCGACGATATTCCACCACTAGTGGGATACGTTCGCACCCGCATTAGGTTCAATTTGAATGTGATACTAAATTGCACAATTACCAAAACTTTTCTCGATTTTCTTTATCTCCCGTCTTCGCAGTATCAACGGCCTTCAATTTAACTTTATCTTCTTAGCTCTGAATGACACCCCAGTTCATCGCAAGTTCCTTTAAACCTTCCTTTTGCGATTGGTTTTGGTTTTGCGTTTGGTTGGAGGAGAGAGTGGGCAATTATAGGGCAAAACTATCAATATCGGACTACTTTCGACCCTCAATTGAAAATTGCTCCATTTCAATATCAAATTCCTTATCAAGGGAACAGTCTACTCCCAAACACAGGTACTACTGTTGAAGAAGGAGGAAAGTTAAGAGCCATTTCTGTTGGTCTTGTTTCCTTTATTGCTATGAAAATTTATACGTTACGTTTCGAGTTACAGAGAAGTACTAATTTACCACCAGAAGAGTCCTTAGCACTTCGAACATCATCGTGACGTAGATACCAGCTTTAAACGAACTGCAGATAGAGATAAAAGTGAAACGGGTAAAGACGAGATGGGGAGGAATTTCAGTAATTCACATTCGAACCTGTTGTAATGTTTGTAACGTGCGAAGAAGATTAAAAAGTCTTAGTGAAAGAGCTTGTATTTTAGAAATAGCGACAGAAACAATCAACCAAGTGATTAACAAAAGTCAAAGTTAAGAAAATCTTGGATTATTTTAGACCAAGAGACAAAAAGTAAATGAGAAAATATCTTTAAAGAAAACTACGTTCATAGATAAAGCTAACCTGCACCAACTCTCAGTCAAAAGGGAAGAATGAAAGAGCGGGCGGGAGATTGCGCCTGTTACGGAACAGCTTCTTCTTCTTTTTGGTCGCTTGATCCCCGTCATATCCTTACGACCGCTTTTTCACTCCCCTTCACTAACTAAGAACCTGATTCAGGCTAAAGTTGACTGAGTAATCTGAAGTCATTCTTTGCCTTACCTTTGTAAATATGACATCATTGTGATATATGCCAGAAGAACAGCAAGGATTCCAAACGAAAATTCAAACCGTTCATTGTGCCAAATTTTTCTACTGCCAACCGTGATAATGGCGGCAGAAAAGCTTAGTAACTCTAATATATTAGAAATATCCATCCAATAACTCCATTTCTGAAATACACAAGTGTAAAGAAGTTTTAAATCTATCGTGCGAGCTACTTGGGACGAAATAAAAAGACAGCTTCGATGAGGGGGAATAAGTCGTCGCTAACAGAGTATAAAGGGAGGACTATGGACCATTGACTGCCAAATAACTGCCAGCAACGGGGGAATCATATGAATGTCACAAAGCCGAGAGATCAGGTAGATTTTATCGTGAGGGAGGACCAGTCCTTAATTACAAACGGAAAAAATAACGTTGACCATACTAACAAACAATACCTCGACATATATTCTGTAAATATGACTCAGCAACGAGACGCCTGAAATTACTGACGTCACCATTCTCGAGACTGTAAAACCATAACTGGGACAGAATTCCTGACAGAAATAGTGAGTGTAACGTCACAGTCAGCAAGATAAATAAGTCCAAGCGAAGAGGATGTGATTAAAATAATGGGAACACCATTACAGTACACCATGAACTACATGTCGGTAGTGTATATCTTTAAAATTGTTTTTAGGTTAGATTGTGAATAGGAATTTAAATTAATTGGTAAGGTTCAACTGAGGGAAGAGAAGTTGAAAACAAATACAGGTTAATTATTTATGTAAGTTAAAAATCATTATAGGGCTCTTCATTTCTGTCCAGATGTTATATTTTGCGCAATTGCTATTGGTATGAATATCGTAACTCACTGCTGAAACACTCATCATGTTTATTGTCCAATAAGGTGTCAATCGATCATTCATTCATTCGTTCACTCGACAATGTATTCAGACGGTCAATCAGTCAATCAGTCAGTCATTCGCTCACTTAGTCTCTCAGTCATTCTCATTGTCGTGAAAAATACACCAAAACAATATCGTATCAAGACTAAGAGACAACGTACCCTAGAGAATTCAGAAGTGGAGTTGTGTTGCCTGTCAATGGACTGTGAATTGAGACACAGCAGAAGGAACGTCAGGATCAAAGTGAATGATGTGTATATGAAGGCTGCCAAGTAAAAGTACTTCAATCTCCAAGACAACCTATAAAATACGAAACAAACTGGTCATCAAATGACATCAGTTAATTTCATCAGATATCGATTCATGCTTACACACGATTGGCTTAAACTCTTCACGTAACCGAATACGCTATGACTGGGTAATATCCAGAGATATTCCGCGAATGGTTTCCCCCATTTTGCCCACAAAACGATGAAAAGGTTTCGTTTAAAGTTCTTTCAAACGAGGGAAGTGTTTTGAGGTTAAGACAAAAAAAAAAAAAAGACCACCATTTTTGATCATAAAGCCTCCCAGAAAGTGGAGGTATAAGCCAACATCAGTGTGTATATTCTCCATACTCTTCTCCCTACATTTTCTAAGGTGCTGTTAAGGAGAATTTGTTTGACAATCAAGAGCTTCTCTAGTTGGTGAAGATTTTGTTTATTTATAACATTAATGTATGATTTAGGGGTGATATTGTAAGGAGAAATTTGTTGCTAGTCACTTCTGGGGATCAAAGGGATGAGTTAAGATGCCTCGTACCAAAGGTTTTTCATCAGTAAGGCAACATTTTCATAGACAGGGTAATTTGGTTTAATCAACTTAGTTGATAATGTAAATTGGACACCGTAGATGACGTTTTGAGCGTTAGCCCTTGTCAGAGCGAAAGAAGGGCTAGCGCTCGAAACGTCAGCTTTGAAACTCTTTACAGTGGCCAATTTACGTTATCAGATCAGTTGATAATACTAAACTACCCAGTTATGCTCTCCCAGCGACGCAGCACCACGGTCTCTTTAGAAACTTTTCTCTTTTTAGAAACCCCCTTTTCATAGAAGCACCGTCGTATACCGCTCGTTTTAACTTTGAGAATTTCTCGAGGTCGTGCATTTGTTATGTACTGTTAAGCAGTGCAAGAGAGGCTACCATTGCTCATACCTTTTCGCTTTCATGAGTTCTCGAGTCAAAGGATGAAGAATGAGATCACGGTGACCATGTTTTAACATGAGCTGCAACAAACAAACATTGTAAATTAAAAACAAGTGATCCCTTTATTCAGTTGGTACGAACCTGTTATTCTTCGCAAAGCTGATTTGTTATTTAAGATAAGTAGTCAAGTGTCAATGCCCAGAGTATTTGATACACGATATACACACCTTGGGACCAAAGTACCACTCTCCTTCTGTATTAGTTTGTTCTCCAGGAATAGGATCAAGAAAAACAAAATTGAATGATTTCTAAAAGAAGAGAAAAAAGAAGCAAGGGTTAATATCAAGATGGGAATTTGCGAAATGATCACATAGATACTCTAAACTTTTTCATTAACATTCACATTAGTTCTGTAAATTATCAGGAATAATCCCATGTACTATTTACGACAAAACAAGGAGCACTGTGAGGCTTTTGAGGGACAGTGAAGGAGATTGTGGGCGGACAAATGGGTTATACAGAACTTACAGAGACTTTCAGTTTGTCTGACAAGTCACATCAAAGCTAGAGTAGACATAACTGACACATGTAAAACCACGTTCCTTGCAAAGAAAATGGGCAAAATCAGTGATCACACTTAAAACAATTAAATCGACTCTACAGGAAAGAAAAAAATACTTGCCATTTACAATATATGCACATCTTTTAAAATTATTTCATAAGACCCGTTCATCTCGTTATAGATCACCCAATAATACCCCGGGGTTTTATCTCGATTAGAATTGACGAGAAGATATTACCGCGGCATTTCATGAACAATTTGGCTGTTTACTGGTTGATCTTTTGGAGGAAAATTTTATAATCATAGCCAATTTCAATACAAAAGTAGACAAAGGGTGGTTCCTGAGACCAACAAAAAAAAATAAACCTTAAAGATCACTAAGAAACTTCTTGAATTGACACAAAGCTTACCGAATATTCCACATCTGTTTTCATGTGATCAGAAGTCTCGATGCATTTGTCCATTACCAGCTGAGGGATGCAAGAAAAAAATGTACATTCATTTCTCTGCGAGAATCTTGTTAAATAAAATCATTTGGGAATAATTTGATCACATCCCAAAAAAATAGCGTAAGTTTCAGAATTCAAAAGCCGTTTACACAGAGAAGCTAGTTTCAAGAGGGATGAATGTATCTTTTTTTCGTAAACGGCAGAGATGTATCTTGCTAATGATTTATTACTTATGGTGTATGGCTTTAGCAGTACCTCAGAGATCATATAGAACTTATTTGATATGGATTATGTCCCTTTGCGAAAATGTTTGTTTATTTGCGATCTTTCTTTCCAAAAATGCATTTTAGAACTGCAAATCCGTGATGACTAGCACTTTGTCCTCGGTCTTAATCATCTTTAAAGTTCAAAACTGACAGTCCACGGAAAAGTTAACGCTTAAAGATTTATTTAGTATTAACACGTAAATCATGCAGTTCGGTACCTTGGCTACTTCGGGAAATTTTTCGATAAGATGTTTCATCATACAAAATCCTTCGTCGTCCTTGACTTCAAGACATTCTTTCCAGCTGATTAAACAGAATAAATTGAAAATATCAGCAACTCGAGTGGCGTACTATCTTACTATACTGGTGCACTTTGATAAGTGTTCTTTGATCTGAACTGAAGAAAATCAGTACTGAAAATCGACGAGGATGGCTGGTCTCACGTTCTGTCCTTTCTCTTCCTTCAATAGGAGAGTTCCGAAAGATACTCCAAGAGCTTGTGATCTCTCTTTGAATTTTTTACAAAATTAAGCCATTAGGAAAGATACTCAATATTGCTGGTGAAAAGGAGAACAAGGAAGCAGAGGTAACAGCATATGGACATACTTTATTTTGAGCTAAGCTCAACAGAAATATAGAACTGTTTTAGGTGTCTCTCGGTTTGCATGCATGCGAGCCAGGCCAGAGGAAAACAGTTTTTTGGTTGCTATATCTCTTTGTGGATACATGATGTCCGATGAGCTTTGACCATCAGGAAGGCGCCAATTGTAAAAGGCGTGCACGTTAATCACAAATAAATCTTCAGGATTGCGTTTTGACTCAGGAATTCAAGGATGGAAGATACAGTGCTACAGATGATACAACTGCAGTCTTTCCTCACCGTTTGTGTTTGGCTATTTCCATGCAGGTTTCTGGCCGGTTTCCTTTAATAGCAGAGTCCAAACATCCTTTGCCAAACGAGGACTTATTCTTTACGTCAGCTCCACGGTTTAGCAACAATCGAACTATGCGGGCATTGCCAAAATATGCTGCCAGGTCAATGGGTGTTGTCTAATTGAAAAAGATCCATAAAAATCGGGAACTATAATGGAACATATTTGCCTGATTGTATTGTGAAATAGAACAATCATTTCAATCATTTGACAATTTAACAAATAGATGCTATGTTGCTGTGCGTCTGTCCAGTAAAAAATGTCTATAGTCAAAATGTGGTAGGAACAAAAAAGTAGCACACAAGCCGCAGCCAAGTGTGTCACTGATGTTCTTACCACGTTTTGACTTCTTCTGTGATCTTTTGCTGTACAGACCCACGGCAACATGGATTCCATTTTTTTTTTTCATATGATAAAAAAAGCAAAATTTTGTTAATGGTGGCGTCATCTGTGCGTCTGTCTTCCTGTCGATCATAAGTCAGAGTCAATCAAAATGCATGAAGGATTGAGCTTATCATATGACCGCAATTGCATAACGTTTTTAAAAAGGAAAGGTTGGCGCATCAATTTAATTAAATTTCCTGTTTTATCAGAGCTTGTGTGTGTGCACAGGATTTATTTTTTAGTATTCATAATCAAGAATTGGTAAAAAAGTTATCTTACCCGATTTTTGGAATGTGCACTAAGTTTTGCGCCGTAATCCAAGAGGAGAACTACTATATTGTAATGATTTAATCTTGTCGCTATCAAGAGCGGAGTCAGATGATTTTCGTCCCTGAAATGAAAATGTTATTTTTTTTATAAAAGTTAAATACTTTCCTTAACAAAGGTTACTCGAATGAAAAGCTTAGGACTGACAAGATTGAGACGGATTGAAAATGATTTACATGAAAAATATAGGCTAAGCATCTCAAGACGCGCCAACGGTTTGTACTGAATCTAACCCGTCTTACCTCTGATCCGGGTTAGCTCCCTTATCGAGCAAGAACTTTGCCAGTTCAAAGTGACCCTCGTACGCTGCAAAATGTAATGGAGCTCTGAGGCGGTATTCCGTGCTACTAAGAGTCTTTGGATCGGCTTGTAATAACACTTTCACGCAAGCCAGGCTGCCGCTCCTAAAATAAAACGCCGATACCGATTATCTCACCAGTTGTTTATCTACTTTGGGCCTTGAGGCATATAGAACCTTCACAGAGCGCCTTTACAGATCTCGGTCATGACCTTCTTCTCTTCCCTCCCTTTCTGAAAGCAAGACCATTTTAAACCAATATTGCGACTGACAATCAATGCATGCAGTACTCTTTTCAGGGACTGCACTAAAAATTTCTTAGCCACAGCCTGCTCAGCCGCTTATTTACTTGAAAACAAATAACAAACGTAACAAAACAACCAACGAAAAACCAAGAACATTTAAGCAAGTACGAAAGATCTCACGTTAGCTCAGTTCCAAGTTCTCTTAATAATAACATTTGCTACTTACTCGGTAGCCATGTGTAATGGAATCTTTTCTTCGTCATCTTTTATATCTATCTTTGCCCCTGCACTAAGTAACTTCTGAAGAATCTGAAAAAAAAGATTGCTCTGATAGGAAAAAACAAACAAAAATCCTGCTGAAGACACTAGGAAAAATTTTCTATAGAATATCACTACAAAAGAACGAGAAAAGAGACAAGGAGATATTGTACTTATACTCTGTAATTGAACCGTTCTCTTGCGATCTCCTGAAATCTCAAGTCCACGAGGTCACTGACAACAGCCCAGATAATGGGCAAGGTCACTTAGAAGAGAGACTTGCTGGTTCCGTGGGGTCTCAGCCCATGGGTTACAAACAAGTATTTGCATTTTTTGGAAAACGACCAACATAAGGAGGTGACCGTGAAGGAAGGTCCTACTGCATGTAACTTTATTAAACTAATATCTTTCTCCCCACCTCAAGGCTTCCTTTAGCAGCAGCGTAGTGTAATGGTGTCCTATTGTCTCTGTCCAAGCTGTCTATCAAACACATACCGCCGTTCTGCAAAACCGAGGAATTATGGTCTAGTTGATACTTTTCATGGGTAAAATTTCTTAGAAATCTGCCCCGAAATCTACCTTCTGATTTCAGGAATATAACTATGCTACTGAAGTATAAGTTTTCCTTTTCTTCACCGGTTTTATCTGTTTTAGAAACGGGAGTCATTGGAATCAAGAAGTTTATTCGAAAGATCGAAAAATGATATTCTTCATGTTCTATACTCCTTCGAGACATTCTGAACTCTCCGATCCGTCCTACAAATATAATAGATTTCAGACTGTCACTAGTGACTTGGAATTTTAGTTTTACCTAGAAGCTACCTTACGATATATCTTGTTGTGAGGTTCATCAGTTTTTATCATCGTAAATTTGTTAGTAATGCAACCAACTTAGAGATAATTCTCTTGCCTCCCCCAAAGGGGTACATTTTAGAAGACGGATGATTCATCAAGCCAGTACAAGAAGGAATGTTCCAGGTCAAGTGATCTAATTTTTATGCTGTTCGTGGCACTCTGCGTTTTCCTGCTTTTATTATGGCTTGCCCGTAGCTACATTCATATTTTGTTTGCTTTCTCATTACGCTTTGGTCTAATGAAGTATCGATTCATTGGCGAATCTGTTTTAAGCTTTGGTTAATTAGCTGTTTCTAATTTGTGGTGCTATTATTATGGAAGTTAAATTATTCTGTGAAACACAAGGAACCTGAACTCTTTCTCCATAGGTAAGTATATTCTACGCACGACTGAGATAAGAAGGTCTACGCATGCGCACTTGCAGCCATAACACACCTCAAGGATGATGTCAACAGTTTCTGTATTGGCACTGTAAGCAGCGACATGAAGGCAGGTTCTTTGGTGGGCGTCTCTCAGATCTATCGGTGAGCCGCGTTTGATCAGGAACACGGCGGCTTTGTGATGTCCTCTTTTGACGGCACACATCAACGGCGATGGTGCCATGGAGTCTGGTAACGGGCAGATGGCTGCTCCCTAATAAAGTAGAGAAGGAAAGCCAGGTTACATGAAATGGCTCAGATGTTGAAGGAATAACAACGGTTTGGTGGTTCGGGAGGGAGGAGAGTATCTTCTTTTATTGACTATACAGAAAACCATTCCCCCCTGGCCCTTTCATTTGCGAGAGAGCTTCTTTTATGAGGCATAGCAGGACAATGAAGAATGCACAAATATCGTGTATCTAAAAGATGCACTCAAGAAATCTGATAGATGATTGTTCATGAAGATAAAGTGGTTGATTTAGAAGGCTAGTCTACTAAAAGTTAAATAAAACTGGCCTTTCATATTTTTTCCACGTCACCTTACTGATGAGATGTTCAATTATTTCTACGTGGCCGGACAAAGAGGCCCTGAAATCAAAAGCGAGAAACAACTTTAAACCCAAATCGCTTTTTTTACTGAGTCAAATAATCTCCAACGTTTATTCGCTACAAAAACAAGACCCAGCTCTATTTTCTTGATTACTACGTGTCTTAACTTAAGTCAATCACTCACAGTAACAACATCTTCTTAAATGAATTAAACTAAATATATAATAACGTATTTGCTTTTAAATAATCCCTTGATGAAAAAGATGCAAGCCAATGTAATCGGTGATTATGTATTTATTATTAACTGAAAGTAGACGTTCCATACAAGTGCATGTCACCTGTTATCAGCTGATGATCATGGCATGGCATGCAGTTAACCTACTGTGCAGCAAAATAAGTACAGAAATGCAATAGCCTAAAATCAGAAAATGCGACCTGACCACAAGGCGGAACTAAACGCACCGTTCATTTCCAGAACAGTTGCATTTTAAATTTACACACATTTAACGACGAAAATACTACCTTAGTTAACGATATAACTAAATAACTGACTTCAGTATTAAGAATTTTATTAAACGAACAGGAGTTTGTTATGATGGTTTTGATGAATTTATATAACTGATAAGAGATTTGTAGCAAGATCTACAAAGCATGTCTTAAAGATCTCTTTATCATGTTTAATCCGTTTAATTTTCTGCGGACTGGAGAGGAATTGTTAACACACAGTTTAGTTATATCGGCAGAAGGTTGTCGTATGAAAACTTTTATTTAAGAGTATTGCTCTGGCGTTTCCTGACAAGATCCGCGGCTTTTTAGGAAACAATACAGGACATTTCCCTTTACAGACTTATGGCCTTGCGCAGTGCGTGGACAGAGGTCAGAGATATGTTATTCAATTATCATCTTGTCAAGCACATCCCGCTTCATTATCCATGCAGCTTCATTAGTATGAGGACAACAAAGACTATAAATCCTCCCGCCAACGCTTTACAATAATGTTGTAGCTTCTACAAAGAGTAATTCTTCTGTAATTGCCATGGAGAAGTAAACAGATGGCAGCTGAATTGGGTGCATGAGATATGGAGAGTTAAATCTATATCTAATTCCCAGGCCTTGAGAAGTTCGTAGATGTAAACAGTTTGGGCAGCTGAGTTTGCCCAAAACGAGGTACGAAGGCGCTTTTCACCAACGTTACCGCCTGGCTATCGAAATTTAATCGTTTGACTTGATGTTTCAGTCGTATATTCATGTCCCTCGTGAGTACAAATCCCACACAAACATCACCGTAAACGTTGCACATCTGTACCGCTTGAATAAGCGTTTCCACTTTGAACGAGCACATTCGTCGTTTCTCCGAACTGGAGCAGGAAAAATCTCCATATGCGTCAATTGTGGTTTTTCGTAGAACCACATAATTGTAGAGATTGGCTTTGTTTTGAAACCTTGTAATATTTCCATCAAACCAGTCCTCAGGACGACTTATTTCTGAATCATATTTTTCAGCAGAACTTTTACACATGGTGTAGCTTAGTCTGATGGTGTACCACCCTCCAAGAACGCAAAGCAATATAATGAACTTAAAGATGGTTTTCCTCCTGAGAATAAATCTTTTATCCTGCCCGCGGCTCTGATAAAATACCATTCTAAAACTTTTTGGTGTTTTGGATAAGTTTGAAAGGATTCTTTACAGAACAAGATCAACAACGCCGATAACCGTCTTCGTCGATGTAATAATAATAGCAAGAAAGAGCTAGAAGCGCTCCGCATTCAAACGCAATGCTAATTATTCATAAGTTAGTTGTGAAGATTGTGTGCACCTGAATAGAGATGTTAATAAATTATTACTTACAAAATAGAAAACAAAACATAACTCTTTAAAATTTCCTCATTATTTTCAGACTGCGAGTATGTAAGGAATTGGATTACGCCGCGGGAGTCTGCATTAAGAACCATCAAGAAGCATCATGCAGGATATAATAATATAATTAAAGATGAAGGAGGAAAATTGGTTAGTTTTTAAAAGATCTTGGAACGCCATGGCTGATTAGGATCAGTTCACAAGAAACAGCTATTTATTGATTATATCACTTAACAGATCAAGGATCAGTATTGGGCAAAACGTGCATCTGTAAAGGAGTATCGTAACAGCATCATGCAAAGCCGGGAGTAACGTAACAACATGGTGTCGGTTTTCGATACTGGCACCTTCAAATCAAATCAGCTCATTTTTATACGCGCACAGCTCAACGACCGAACACATCGGCCTTAAGATTAGGCACGATTCAGTGTCACAACTACTCACCACACAGAACACTAGTAGAACATGTAGTTTTCTCTCTCTAGTCTTATTTAGTACAGAAAGGTCTCTCTTTAAGCCGGTACCTGAGTATTGGTGTCATTCCTTCACAGTCCTCCTCGTCAACGTGAATTGAATCTTGCGATAGTAAAAATTTTACCATAGGTAAATTACCAGTAGAGCTCGCCACATGGAGTGGAAGGTTTCTTTTGGCCTAAGAAAATCAAATTCAACAATGCAATCTTAGTCGACACCCGATAAAACGAATTCGCACTCTTTGTTTTGGTTGTTTGCCTGTAATGGTTTTTAATTTTTTGTTTTTTTTCCCACATATTTCGATTGCTGATTTACCAGTGATACTAAAAAGATACGAGTTATTCCCATAGTTCTCTATAGCATCAGCTATATTTCTGTTTTTCTCTTTTAGAACTTATCGCAGAAATCACGTGGAACAATGGATTATGCCATTCACTCAGCATATGAGTTAAAGAACTCACTTGATCGTTACTGGAGAGGTTCGTTGGTTCATTCAGTTTGTCTTTTTTGTTTGATTGTTACTAAAAAAAAAAAAGCTTTAACAGTACCATATCTTTAATAAGTGTGCTGATAGGTTTTAAGTGCTGCAATCAGGGCCATTTTCCTCCAAGCGAGGGGCATGATTTGTGTTTGTCGCCGTGGTGCACCACCAGAGGTCGACATTTCTGGCAAATTCTTGAGTTTCTCAGTTACTTGTACACAGGCTACACTATGAATAATTTTCTCCTGTTGAAAATGTTTCCTTTGAAATGATTTTCAATGTATGATATTTGATTGAACCGGATTTCATGTCTTTTTGTGTAAATATTGCTGGTTGGTTTGTAAACTGAAGTAAAACTGATTTATTTGCTTACCACAGGATGGGGATCTGCGCCATATTCGATGCAAACGATGGCTGCCTAAACGGTGTGCAATCGCACAAGAAATACATCTGTTATATTAAATCTGTTTTATATACGATTATTTACGATGTATTCTACTTCAACCGCCAAGATTCATTATATAGTGGCTTCCACCACCGAGAGGTCACTATAAAAAATTAGAGAGTTATTTCACTTCAAGCTTGCCATCAATCTTAAGAGTCAGCAATGACGACGACAATAACAATAAGGACAACGATAAACGAGCAAAAGTGTTGTAACAGACAACAAGAACATTACATATATTACAACTAGGATAAAAGTAAGATCAGGAAAAACAGGAATACCAAGCGCATGAAAATAGCCCAGCATTAACGGAAAAGACGACTATGGCAACAAAACCAACAACATCAAAGACATCAATAACATTTCCTATTTACCTTCACATGTCCACCATCCACTGCCAAATGTAAACAGCTCTTTGACTCACAATTCTCACTGTTTAAGAGATCCTTGCACGATATACCGTCCAATGACGCTGAAAAGAAAGTAAAGTTGTTTAGCAACTTAAAAATCAGCTGTATCTCCGGTTTGTTCGGGAACTGTGACAAGTGAATTACGAGTCGATTTAAGTTTCTGGCCTGAAAACAACAGGATCTATGAATGTGTTCGAATTATTCTTCAAGAAAACCTGACAACAGACCATGGTAAGCCCTTAGACATCATCTAGAACGACTTGGGACCACGAAGTCTTTCCCAAAAAGAAAAACCTTTTCGTCTTGCCACGAACGTGGTGTAGATAAAAAATACTGAGTCCCCATAAAGAATCCATACCCAGACCCTTGGACTCTGCGCTCCCACACTCTATAGAACTACGTCTGAATTACAGACAACCCTATCAAAATGATGACTAGGAATATTTCTTGGATCATATGTGATATACTTGCTGCATATTGGTGGGATCAACGCTTCGTGTGATTACAAACGGAAACTTTCATCATCCCATTTCCCTATTTTTTTAATTCTGAACGGTCGCTCTCCTACTTTTTGTCTTAAAGTTCTCTCAGGGTTTTCATACAACGGAGCAAGTGTTGTCATCGGAATGCGGAAGAAGGAAATTAAAAGTTTCGTAGCACCTCTTTGTAGAAGATGCTTCAAGGCCTCATCTCGTCCCTCTCTCGCTGCAATGTGTACCGCCGTATCACCTTCGTCATTCTGGCCTCGAAGATTAGCTCCGTGTGTTAGCTACCAAAAGGAAAAATTATCACATAAATAACAGAGGGAAAAGAAAAAGAGTCAATTTACCAAAAAAATGTCATCTTGTAAAGACAGGATCATACTAGATAAATGCAGGCTAGTCCGTGAAGAGAACCGCATCTGAAAGCGCTCTCTGACTTACGAGAATTTTGATGATGTCCAGTCGTCCTCTTTGCGCAGCCAGATGCAGTGCTGTAAAATGTTGGTTATCATGTGAGTTTGGATTTGCTTTTCCTTTGGTTAACAATGTCTGGGAAAAAAAAAACGGTTCAGAGACTACTACTACAACTTACTCATGTTGTTCAAAAAGACTGACAATAAAAAAGGATGCGGCGAAAATGCGGAAATAAAAATTCAGAAAATAAACATTACACACGTCCGAAAACCGCTTAAGTGTTAGTAATCTTACGATGCCATCCTGAAAATGGACTCAAGTGTCTGCAATCGGATGGTGCTGTCTGGAAACGGACGCTTATGTCTTAAATCAGATGCTACCTACCGAAAACAGAGGCAACTGTATTGGATCCGACGGTACTTTCCTTAAACGGACCCACGTGTCCAAACTTGTATGATACCACCCGATAAAGGACGCTAACGTCCGAAATCGGACGGTTGTGTCCAAAATCAAATGTTGGTCCCCGAAAACGGACGGTATCGACTGAAAGCGGAAGCGGTGGTGTCTTGAAACGGAGTCGAGTGTCCGAAATGGAAGGTACCGTCTGAAAACTAATGCAGGTGTCCAAAATCAGAGAACACATGTCTGATTTTTGACACTCGAGTCCTACACATAAAAAATCCTCTAGGAAATGCTTAAAATTATAAGTTTATTAAGGAACAGTGCTGACCTTAACAAGTTCTAGACTAGCACGTGTGACAGCAAAGTGAAGAGGCTTTTGTCCAAATACAGCACTGCACTCCACATTAGATTTGTTATCAATGAGAGTATTTACTGCTTCATCTGTGTCATACCAGCTCGCAAAGTGCAATGGTGAGAGCAATTTGTTTTCAGTGGTGGCTGTCACATTAGGGTCTGTTTGAGAAAGAAGGAAGTATAGGATTAGGTAGACTCTCTCTGTGTTCTGTCTCCTGTACAGACAACTTCTCTCCTTTTCTGCACGAGTCCGAAAAAAAAAAAAAAAAAATCAGCGAAAAATAATTTTGATGTTAGCGTGCAGTGGAGGACTTTGAGTGTGAATGATGTGCATCACTCCCAGAGCTCCACGCGGTGCGCTAACATCAAGTTTTGTTTTCGCCGTTTTGTTTTTTTGGATTCGCGCGGCGGACTTTGCTTAAAAGAAGGGACTGCTCGTAGTCTATCTGCTTAACGATAACTAGGAGACGTCTTGAGACGAAGAAATGAGGTAACGAACGACCCGGTCATCAATATTTTTTCGATTATTTGAATAAGATATTTTTCTAAGTAAGACCAGCTCTTATCGCCAGGTTATATTTGCCACAAGGAGTTTGTTTTGGAAAGTGTAATATTCAGATGTCATATAGCACTCACAATAGTCGACTAATAACACGAATCTGGACCGAAGGCAAAGATGTTTAATTTGCATTTGAAACTTTTTTTAAAATCCTGTAAACTGTCCGAATAACTGGGTTCACAAGTTAAATACCGAGCCTAGATCTGAGTAGTATTTCTCTTCCAGTTTCTATGGATTTCCGGCTATGTGATTGGCACTAGAAGAATTTTGCTTTTAATCAAAGTACCCGGTTGATAAGTTTGTCGATTCTCATTACATGTGTTCTGCCTAATGCATTGACATTATGGGAAGAGGTTACACTTTGAAGTCTTTTAGCACTGAGTTGGGTAACTGTATTGAACTGAACGCTGATCTACTGACCTGCACCATGGTCGATAAGCAGCTGTATAACTTCTCCGTGATTGTTACGTGCAGCGTAATGAAGTGGTGCCAGCCCGCAATCGCTCAGTTTGTCCACATCTGTCGCGTTGTTCTCTAATAAAAAGTTCAGACTAGCGACATCTCCCTCACGACAGGCCTAAGGAGACAAAAAACATTTATTTAGAACTTTTTTTTTCGGAAATTTGGCCTGATTGAAAATGTATTTCCCATTACGCCCTGTTTGTCCCCCTCTGAAGATTCTTAATCCCCCGTCCTCAGCCCACTCGCGAGAGTAGGAGGAAAACGAGTGGGGGGAGAGAATTGCCTCCCTTGAGGACCACTTTTGTACTGCTGTTGGCGAGAAAGGTTGTCAAAAAAAAGGAAAATGTGCACGCGACAAAGGTCATTTGGGTACCAGGTCATCAATACATTTTAGTGCGTCAAAGAAGTAGATAAATAAATACGTCCAATCCGCGATGCCCAGTCGATCGTCCTTACAATAACTTTTTTTTAAATTTCCCTGAAATCTTGAGGTCAATGGAAAACTACTCATAATTCCTTTTAAGGTTGTCTCATGCACTTTTACGCTTTTTTTCCGACAACCTTTCTAGAAATAGTAGGGTTCTGGTCGTGATTTGCATATTAACATGCATATGAAGATTTTTTTTTAAACTAGATGTTTATTAGCATCAAACTGCTGAACTAGCTTGTGCTGTTGCCATGCACAGAGGCATAATTTAGACGGACCTTTTTGAAAGATGAATGTCAAAGTGGCCAAATTAAAGCTTTCTTGAGAAATCGAACGGCGAAAAGGCAATCGTAGTTTATTTATAATCTGATAACAAATTAAAACCATATCACTCAATCCTTCATGTGCATGGTACGTGATTAAATGATATACTTCGAGGGAAAATTTGTCTTTTCTAATGTTAATTATATCAAGCCTGGTGTAAATAAAAACATACCCAAAGAATGAGATGAACGATCAATACTAAAATATCTTCAGGCGAAAAAGCGTTTTTTATCTTTATAAATTTAGGAAATAAAATCAAAATTATCATTCCAGTCAAAAAAAGGAAACTGATCCGAACTTTCATTTAAAGTAAATAATTTAAATAAAAGGTTGATTTAATTTCCTTGGAGGTCAGCTGGACGCTAGATTGTTTTGTTCTTTAGTGTTGGATGTTGACATTTTATTTCGGCATATTTTAAGTATTTAGCTCAGTTACAAATGAAATCAGTGACCTTATCACTCTTTCCGCTTTTGGATTTCGCTTTGAGGAAGTTCCTTTGTATTAGTCAAGCATGAAATTTTTTACAAAAAGTTTTTCACAGAGCTGTATGAAACTATATATAGACACCGGCGGAGAGTTCTGTAATTCGCCAAGTTTAATTAAATCCCTTTTAGATCACATCTTTATTTGCTTTCATAGGTGACCGTTTAAGAGTGAAAATCACTTTCTCTCGAGTAAGGTAAACATGGTTACATCCTCCTTCTAAGTTTATCACCGTGGATCAAATCAACATGCTAATTTTATACTCATCTACAATGGTTAAATTATGAAGAATAAAACCGAGTACACTGGCCGAGATAACACAATACCGTGTTTTACTTGGATATCGACGCTTTGGCTAATTTTGACCTAAATATTGTATAAATTGAACCAGACGAAATTCAAAATTGTTTATACCTTCATAATGTTTATACCTTATACAGAAGATTACCCTAACGTAGAGCACTACTGCTAAACGAAAGCTGCGCGAGAAATCTTGATCCATCTGAACTGAAAAGCCCTTCATACCGTTTACCGAGGCCCAGATGTGCAAAGTATTGTGTGCTGCCTTTCGTTTTCTTAAGTGGCCTACAAATTGTATTTTTAGCTGCTACGATTTAAAAGTTAGGTGTTAGGTCACTTATGCTACAGTCTAAGACCAGTCAAGTCTAACAACTGAGTTTTGGAGCTAAGATAGGAATACTAGAAGTATTATCAAATCATTAAGTGAGACTACTTGTATGTTAGAAGGGCAACCTTTGTGCGAGCTCAAATTAGATTTGAAGGGGTTTCATGTACCGGCTGTTATATTGTATTTACAGTAAATGATAAAAACAACGATTAAAAAGTAATCAAGTCTGTAACTAAACAATAGAGAGCTCTCTTCGCCGTCGCAAGGAAAACACAATTTGAAAACGGCAAGGTTCTTAAGAGTTAAGCGTCGCCGAATTGTCTATTTTCACAGGTTTATGTCGAGAAAGTAAATAAACAGGATTAGGACAGTGCATATAATTTTACATGAGATGATTTTATATGAGATGTATCAAGAGTTCGTTTTTATTGCGTCTTCACACGATTCGTTACCGATATTTTGTTTAATCGTTGCTGTACGCCTCACGAATTAAAAAAGAAATTATATATTTATTATGGCTCTGAAACCGTAAAAACTTTTTACTCTGTACCCTGAGGCCTTCCATAGCCCAAATGAAAAAACACACCACGGCAAATTTAGAACAGTCCTTACCTCAAATATGTCCATGGCAGATGTGTTCATATTTCTTTCCACAGCATTAGAAATACTTCGTTTTATTCCAGCGGATACCGAGGCTCTTCCAAAATGTGCTACACTTCTGTTACTCTTTGAATCCAAAACTCTCATACCAAAATCCGTTGCCTCGTATTCCCCGAGGTTAATATGATCTAAATCGTCTATTAAATTCAAAGAACTCCCGTCCATTATTCTGAAAAAGAAGGAGAAAGGTAGAAGTCTTTCTTATTCGTAAAAATATTCGGAAAATCCTGGTTGACGAATTGGCAGCGCACTCTACAAAGTAATTATGACATGTAATATTCTCTGTACCGCATTAACTGACATAAAATAACCACTAACCGTCGTCGAGAGCGCTTCATGTCTGTAAAATAAAAGCACTCTTCAAAATTTAATGACATCATTGTGTTGCAAGTCCAGCGGAGATGATTGCAAATGTCATTTCCTCTATTTTCCTTTTTCCATTTACAATACTTCAAAATAAGATGGAATCTATTTACATATGAAAACACTGACGAACCAAATTGCTAAAAATGGTGTGGTGTCAACTCAGGTAAGGTCATAAAAAAAAAAAAAAAATAGCGCATTCATTACAACGCTTTTACATTTTGCATAAAATGTACCTACATTAAACAAAGACCATGACCCTGTAATCAACACCAGCGGGTTAGTTATTGCAAATTTATGTTCTCACGAATCTCAGGAGCCTCAAAACGGCATGAAAATCAAAATTGATATCGTTCACTTAAGCCACGCTTTCAGTCAAAAGTGACATAATACGTTAGACGATTAAACTCTGCATGCGTTTTATTTATCTTTTATTTTGTGATATTCGTCAACATTTAGTATAGATTAACGGCTTTAATGTCATCAGGAAAAGCGGAAAGTCCACGGTAGTCTTCCTGTGGAGAAGTTATTCCATATATTGAAATAACAATAGGAAATAAAAAGGCAAACAGAACTGAAAGAGTTTAACGAATGATTACAGTACATCTTTAAGCGCAAATCAAGTGACAGAATTTAAGTATTTTTTATCATCTCGAACATGCTTGCTTCTTAGACAGAGAGGGATATAAGGAAAAAAACTAAATCATCTTGAAATCCTCAATATTACTTTTTGTTCAACAGTGTAAAACCACCTAGACTTTCGGTGATATTTGGAATAATGAATAATCTCTAAGAGGTGTCAGAGCAATTTAAATTTAGGTGCCACCAGACGATTAGTAGAAGCTTAGAGGTATGTTTTGAAACAAACCACGCGTTCGGTAACAGCGATTCAAAGGCGATACAGCTGTTTCGAAAAAATCCCGTTGGACTTACATGTAAAAATATATAAGAAAACCGTGAACAACTTGACAATTAATTATTATCAGCAATATTATTTTGCAGTGATGCATAAATTTGGATTGTGTACCATTGCCAAAATGTACGTTGCATGCCACTTGCAGCAGGTGGATCCAAGATACTGTCAATTTTATCCAGCTCAATTAACCCTTAATTGATTACCTTTTTACCACAGAGCTACTGAACCTTTGTACTTAATTCTCCCAAAGCAATGTCATTTTTCGTGACGTTTGCTTCAGATGACTTGCACACAAAGCATTCTGCCAAAAGCTAATACTGTACGTTTGTAATGTCATAAGTACGTATCACGAAATATTGGCCCTTTCTTAAGTGCGTCTGGATCTCAGCGTCATATGTCTTGAAAATAGATTTTTCTGACATTTAGTTAAAACTGAAATAATCCAAACCGATCGAGGCCATCTTGTAGCCTTGATTATATCACATAAATTTTCAATTTTGTCATATTGAGATGTTTCGGTTAAGTGCCCCTGAGGGACTCTCCTAGGACTTGATTGTCAATTGACTAATCAAAAATACACTAAAAACAATTTTTCGTCTTGTATGTAAGGACAAAAGGCTATGTTTTTGTTAAAAGCAAGCTTTCCCGTAGTAACTGAAATACTCTAAAGTGAAAAAACAATTCTTGCGTGAAGCAAGCACATTCAAGTTTTTTAACCATAGGCGAACACAGACGCAATCATTGCGTCAGAACTATGCGCAATCATTGAGTCAGAACTATGATTTGGTGCATAGTGTCTGTTCTAGAGACAAAATCGCGAGAGAGCCCCACAATAACATACAGTTTAAATTTATATCTAGAACTTTCTTGAATTACTGCTTGACTCCTCAAAGCTAAACGGTGAGACGACTGGAACACACTCTACAGCCGGTAAATTACAGCTCGTCTACGACTAAGTTATTATAAGCAGTTTATTTGATTTCAAGTTCAACCTGGACAAGACATATCGCAAATACCGCCGTTATGGCCTTCTACAGGATACTTTCACGCTTTAGCTAATGTCAATGCAATGCTCAGCCGCATTGCACAAAATCTGAGTTGAAAGCGGTATAAATACGCCACAAAGATCGAGAGATCTGTTGCATCAGCATTTTAAACAAAATATAAAGTTTAAAGCGCTACCGAATAAGTTAAAGTAAAATTGGCTCCAGGATTCGAAAAAGAAAGATATCTGTCATCTTACAATAACTCATAAACCTTACAAACTTTAAAAATTAACTCTATCAGAATTGAATAAGCTCCTATGTCATTGTCAACAGCTGGCTGCGGGGCTGAGTAAGCTTGCCAATTCATTATCCGTAACTTTGATTATTTGAATGAATGCAAAGGCCATAAAACCAGCAATGACAAACGATACACCGCAGCCGTACTTAAAGGAAATAATCTTTACTTCAAGACTTTTCATTTTCGCTCATCAGTCTCGGTCAATGTCGTTCGTAATGATCATCTTTACAATTCAGCTGTTCCACTGGTGTAAATGACATATTAACAAGTCGGCCATCTGAGTACATAATCATTACAACAAATTTACCAGCTAAGTGACGAAAGCATCCTTTACCTTGATCTGTCGTTGGTACGTCCAGTCTACAAATTGTTTCTTCTAATAGCAGTACACAAGGATTAATTCCAACAACCTTCAGCCTTCTTAATTCCGCAAATTTTCGGTATCGGCGATAGAGAAGTGAAAATGAATGCCTAATCACTGGGCTAATATCCGTGACCTTGCATACGTAAATTGTTTATTCAAGCTTGATGTTCAACTTAGAGAACGCTGCGGTAGGTCATTTCAAGATGATTTTGCAGACTCGTCCTTCCATTTCTCAAAACTTTCCAAACAGTTCTTCCTTAAAAAAAAAAAATTCGTGTTCATGACAATGAAAATCTTGGATGAAAACCTCCGCATGGAGGTTGTAAGCAAATAGATGCGATAGTCACCGAAGATCTCTCAACGACAGCCGGAAGTTTGCTCTTTTGTGGACGGAGACAGAGAAAAGGAGACATAAAGAGGGAGAAAAAAGAGAAGGAAGAAGAAAAATAGAAGAAAAACGAAAGACAACAATATCCAATCATCCTCATCGAAAAAAAAAAACTTTATCACTGTCAAGGATTAATTCATTGCTTGGCAAAACATAATTCCACAAATTGAATAGTCCATGTACTTTCGCGAGAATAAGAGTGTCTTTCTTCTGTTTTGTTTTGTTTGTTCTTTTTGTTTTGTTTTGTTCAGTTGGTTATGTGTGTTCTCTATGTACGATTCCATTTCTGTTACACTACAGGAAAAAAAAACTTTTCTTGTAACAGAGCAAGTCGCTTTACCGTTTACTCAAGTCCAACGTTTCTTGCTCAAAGACACTCTAAAACTACTTTCAGTAAACTTCCTCCTTCAATCCGTTTAAATGCACACAACTTCAATAAATGAAAAAAAAACAAAACAAAACAAAGCAAAAAAAAAAACAGAAAAAAAAGCAGGTTTCAAGTGATAACGTACACACGTGTATCACGTGCATCTACAGTAGAGAACCTACATGTAAGTACATACATATATGCGGTCCAAAGTTTTAAAGTCAGTGTAAGTTTGATTTTATTTGTGTCTTATTCGACAAAGGAGAACAAACTAAGAAAAAATTGGTTTGAAAAAATTGCAAAACGGGAAGAATTTATAAACAACATGTGCAGCGAGTCCTTTTCAGAGACTTGGTTTTATTTAGGTCTATCGGATGACCCAGCATGTCTTGTAGACTGGCCCTACTTTCTTTGTCTCTGCAGAGTGTCTGACACAACAAATTCAACATATACATGTAGAGTTCTTCTTCTTCAGAGAACCACAGAGAGTCACTACTTGATATTGTTTCAGGCTTGTAAAACTGGCCCTGCTCTTTTTGCCTCCAATTGTGTGCCTGCACCAGCAAACCCTGTTCCTCCACGCTGCAGTGGAATGATGTCACTTTCTTTCAATTTCGAGCCAGTAAATGGGCACAGCATGTCTTTCTTAATTAGCTTCTCAATGCAGTCCATAGTCACCACATTTCCTGTGTTCTTTAAAACTGCACAGGGAACAGAATTACCAAGTGCATCGTGAGTAACAGCACACTTGTACCTTTCAGACTTTGCCACCATTGGTCGGTCATCACCATCATCTATCGGTGTTAGTTTGACTGCAATCAGATCCTTGATTCTCAGAGGTTTACGACTCATGGGACAGTAGGTTTTTGTATCTGGTTTCTTCAAAAGAGTGGGTTTTGCTTCAGGCGTCAAGGATGGGACCCAAAAACTTTGAAGATTTTTATCATTGCCACCTGAGCCACCTTCAAAAGAATAAAGCCAAAATATTGTTTCAAGTTAAAGCCTAAACTAAAAAAAAAATTAGGAAATGTTGTTCTTTTCTGCAAGACACAATGGTACAGTAAGTGACTTAGACCATATCCCATATCTAATGATGTGCAAATTCAGTCCTGGTAGAGGTTCCCGAAGAAATTATTTACTAATCAGATTATTTTCTCTGTTTGATGCAAAGTACAGTAAACAGAAGCTAATTGACCCACTGTGCCAGGTCTCTTCCAGGTCTCTGTATTATGAAGCATCTAAAAGTATTGCAACCCTCTTAATTATTTCAGATGTCAGCCTACCGATGGCAACCCCTAGCACTGTGTCAGCTTTTTCTGATCATTCACTGGTAAACATTAACAACCACTGGGTAGATGTTGATTACAGGAGAAAGTTTTTGAAATATGTATTGTCAATTTAAAATTTGGGGTTTAAAAAAATTTAAATTTGGCAAAATGAAGATAAAAGTTGGTAATTACTTGAACCCTATGTAAAATTTAGTCTTTCAGTTTTCTGTTGCTGGTTTTTATTCAGTTTAAAATTATTAAACTAAATATATTTTGCTGGTGGTAAAGAGGCATTAGATAGAGAGGTGTCCATAACTTGTTTATTTTAAGGTTTACCACTTAACCCTTTACATTCTAACATCTGTATACATATTCTCCCTACTGATCTCAATATATTTCCTAAGGTGTTAATAAGAAGAATTTGTCTGACGATCAGGAGCTTCTTGAGTTGGTGATCATTTCCTTTTGGGGAATGCTATTCACGCTTAGGGATCTTAGGGCTACAGAGATGTGCACAAAGATTCGATTGCCATGAATATGTAAAAAAGATACTTTGAAGATTTTTATCATTGCCACCAGAGCCACCTGGGGCCACCTTCAAAAGAAAATGTAAAAAAAAAAAACTTCTCCCAATGACTCTATTTTCTTACCTCTAGAGGTAGATGGTTGCTGTTCATCAGCGACAGCAGATGATCCATTGACACTTCTATCTTTTGATGCAGTGAATGCACTCGTTGGTTTTGTGGTAAGTCGCTTCTCCATATTGACAAACGATTCAACTTTGGATTTCTCTTTTTCCTCTACCTTTCCAGCTTCTTCAGCGTCTTGCTTCTTCTTCTGCTTTTCAAAAGCTTTCATTTTCCTGGCAGCTTCGGTTTTCTGATGTAACAAACACTCTAAAATTGCCTCTCTGTCGTACAAGAACCCGTCTGGTGTCACAACTGGTTCACGACAAGGTTGTAGTGTTAAACAGCAGCAATCGAAGTTTTTTACAGAATCTCTGCCAAGGCGCACAGATTTACTGCCATATCCAGACTTTTTGGTGTCCTTCTTTCGCTCGTGATAAGTGTAAACCGTTCCTGCCGTGCAGTTTTTAGCGTGTCTAGTCATTGTACTCACTAAACAAGGATGGCGAGTTTAGCTTGGTGATGACTAAGCAACCAAGCTATTTCGTAAATTCTCGGCCAGGCTGCGAAGCCTAAATAATTTCACTAGGGAGGGGTGAGGAAAATAGTGAGAACGACTTTGGACGTTGGTTTTCATCAACGTTCACGTATAAAAATCATATAGCCTGCTGATGAGAAATATTTTTCCTAAAAATGTCTACATACATTTATTAAAAAAAAAAAATTGTTCTGAATTCAATAACACAAGTTTTAGAGTAACTGCCATACCCCCACTCTACCCCGCTTGTTCTCACTCATCTCGACCAAGATGGCTTCCAGAAGGTTGTTCCATATCGCACGAGGATTGTATGGCCTGCGATCAGTGCAGCCATCCCGTCCGGCCGAACTTGCTAGAGCGTACTGCTCAGGTAAGTTTTGAGTTTCTTCCTCCAAGGATCTCGCTTTTGTCAGATGTACTTTACTTACTCGCCCAAAAAAAAATTTTAAAAATACAGAAACCCCATCCGCGCGGAATTCCGTGGGACTAATGGATTCAGCAGATTTGGTTTTAATCAGCTTTACCCTTTAGCCCCTGAGAATGACTATCATGTAATTTCTTACAAAGGTATTGGAGCTGAATCAAACATTAGGCTCATGAGAATTAAGGAAATGATCGCAAACATGAAAAGCTGTTGATTTTGAACCAAACTCTCCTCGGTAATGCCATAGTAAATGTATAAAGAACAGTATGGAGAATATAAATGCTGATGTTTGGTTGTGGAGGTTCAGTGACTTTCTCTTTAAGATTCAAGTTGTTTGGTGAATTGTCCATCTAATCTGAACATAAGTTCATTCATATAGCAATGGTATTAATAGTTTCCAGTTATTGCAGTAGCTATAAAAGTTTTGTGGGGTTGTGAATTGGGGAAGGGGGATTAAATAAATGTCTGAATAAATGACTGTACATATATGAACCAACGGGAAGCAGGTCACTATGTTGGATTCAAATAAACCCTCCAAGTGGTGAATACACGACTGTAAATATATGAAAATCATATATTACATATTAACTTCATTTAGTTGGTAGAGTGCAGCACTGGTATAGCAGAGGCCATGGGTTCAAATCCTGTACAGGCCTGAATTTTTTTCAGGCCTTAATTTAACTACTAGTTAATTAGTGTTTATAACTGCAAGGATCGCTTCTTTACTCGTAAATGTCTTAATGTCTTTGTTTGTGTCTGTTCATTTGTTGTTTTGTTTGTTTGTCTTTTTTTTTATTTCTGGAGTCTCAGTTTCTGGACTGTAAATTAAACTAAGAATATACAAGCATTACTCCTACCCTATAACTCCCAGAGGTGATAAACATCCAACTTCTCTCTATGGTATCCATGCATTTTACACCAAACAGGTAAGGAGAATACTCAAACTTATCAAGTAGAAGTTCCTTCCTTGATCCAATACCAAATTCTTGTAACTAATGTACAGGGAAATCTGTAGCAGTCAGAAGAGAGAATTAACAGTCAGATTTTGGGAGTTCAAGGGTTAAGAGGTGTATGTACACATGTACCAAACAATAACATTTGAAGTGAATTATTTCTCAAGAATAAACTTCATACTTTTCTCAATTTATTGTTAGCATCAAAAACATTTGAAATGATCAAGGCAGAGAAAAGGGGTGAAAAACAAAACGTTGGCTTTATCCAGCTCAACCGACCCAAGGCGTTAAATGCACTCTGTGATCAGCTGATGTCAGAGTTGCAGGATGCCCTTGATGACTTTGAAACTGACAAGAATGTTGGTGCCATTGTTATCACAGGAAGTGAGAAAGCTTTTGCTGGTAAGTGAAAAGAAAAACAAGAGAAAAGTCTTAGAGGTGTATTGTACCTTCAAGGGTGTAGTAAAGGGGGTCCTGGGTGCCAATAACCCCTTCTCCATTTTGTAAGCCTTTTTTTTAAGCAAAACACAGCATGGGGGTTGATGTGACATTTTGATGAGTACTCTGTTTGACACAATGTGACCCCCTTTGAAAAATCCTGGCCATGCCCCTGATCTTATAACATTAGTTACATGGTCAAATACTAAACAGGGCTTTTTTAATCGTCATATTCTTTGATTTTTGCAGGATGTATGACCATATCATTTTAATCCTTTCAATTTAAAAAAAATTTTATCTTGTGTAGGACTTAAATATTATTGGTTACCTTCGGTTTACTGCTGTGGTATTAGCTATCAACTAGGAATATGTTGAGTTTTGGTTGACTGAAATGTTCAAACTTTTCTTAATCCAAATTTAATTCAAATACAAAAACCTTCTGATGTTCCTTGCCCACATGGATTTGATCTGGTGTATGAAGTTTTGTTATCAAGAGAAAACTTTTTAAAGTTTATTGTCATATCTTTTTACAATTCAAGTTGATTTTTTATTGATGAATAAAGAGGAATTTCTAAAGGAACTGTGGTGCTGCTTTGGTGGTAGAGTATAACAGGGTAATTTAGTAGTATCAACTGAGTTGAATCTGAGCAAATTGCTCTGAAGAAGGGCAATGCTCAAAACATCACCTTTGATACTCTTTAGGGTGGCCAATTTATGCTATCAACTAAGTTGATAATACTAAATTACCCTGATTTTTGATTTGCTTTGCAGTGAATTTTATACTCTTAAAGTGAGCAAAGTATAGTCAAGAATTTTCTTTATTCCCACTATAGCTGGGGCAGATATTAAGGAAATGCAGAATTTAACATATCAGAAGTGCTTGTTGGGGGATTTCCTCGCTCACTGGACTCGAGTGGCTCGTTGTAAGAAGCCTGTCATTGCTGCAGTCAATGGATTTGCGGTAAGACTAAAGGAGATTGAGTTTTCTCCAGGGCTGCTATATAATTATGAATGGGATGCCAGTAGTCTCAGTTATTGGTGCAAATCACCAGCTCAGTGCTCAGATTGTCCAATAATCAAGAGATTATTTTGTAGCTGTCACTGTGTCATTAAGGGTGACAAACAAAGTTTGTCTTTTTTTTGTTGCATAATTGAAGTCTATTGTACAATACTCTCTTCACAGCTTGGAGGAGGATGTGAACTAGCCATGATGTGTGATATCATTTATGCTGGAAACAAAGCTAAGTTTGGTCAACCAGAGATTTTGCTTGGAACTATTCCAGGTGTGGCACACATAAATCACCCATAGAAACAAATTTATCAGTTTGCACTTGTAAGAAGAAAATATATTCCACTGACCTTGATTAAATATTAGAGAGCAGAAATAAGCTACAGGATAGCAGATGAAGAAAATGAAAAGGATGTCTTCTCCTTTCCAAGATTTTATTTCATACTCTTTAAGAGTATTAGTCATTAGCCCCTTTACACCCGAACATCAGTCTGCAAGTTCTCCATACTGTTCACCATACATTTCCTAATGTGCTGACAAGGAGAATTTGTTTAACAATCAAGAGCTTCTTTAGTTGGGGATCATTTCCTTTATTCTTGTGATCTTAATGTTTGATTCAAGGGTGATGTTGTGAGGAGAAACTAGATGCTAATCACTCTTTGGGGTGAAAGAGTTAAAATTTGCTTTAACTTACAAAAAAGTGCTATGATTTAGGGGAGTAAAGACTTGTAATCAGGAAAGATCATAGGAGTAAGATGGCTTTCAGTTTTATGAAATGGATATTTTTTTATTCTAGACTCTCTTATATTGCTGCTTTTATGTTCTTTAACCCTTTAACTCCCATGAGTGACCAAGACAGAATTTCTCTTTACACTATCAATACAATATTAACCAGATAAGTGGTGAGAATAAAGAAAAATTTCAATTTGGGGATAATTAGTTGATCCAATATTAAATTCTTTAAACTAAAATTATAAGAATTGTATGGTTGACAATAAGTAAAATTACAACTGTGTCAAGTTTAAATTTAAGTTTGTGCTTAAAGTTGCAACTAACTCAAAGATTGCTTTCATTTTTTTAGGTGCCGGTGGTACACAGCGACTTCCAAGAGCTGTTGGGAAGTCCCTGGCTATGGAAATGATACTCACAGGAGATCCTATTTCAGCAGAAGATGCACAGAAATCAGGTCCATGTTCCTTTCAACTTAGCTCCTATTTTTGACCGGTTGTTCATCATTACCTCTTTACCTTACAAAATCGATCAACATGCAACTTCTCCCTGTAATAAACATACATCATCCAGCAAACGGGTAATGAGAATATTTAACTTATCAGTTCAAAGTTGTTATTGATCTAACATCAAACTCTCGTAACTAATTAAAAAGGAAATGTGTTGCTGCTAGAGGGGAGAATTAACAATCAGATCTTGGGTTTAAGGGTCAAGGAGGGAGGTACTTAGCATCGCAAGCCTTCCCGGTGGCACAAGGAAATTCTCACACAAATTATTGAGAAATGTATACAATACTTCCACATCATCAAGGACTGCAACGGAGACACACTGTTTTGTGCTAAACACTTGTGTAAGCCTGCAAAATTTGAGTTAAAGGCGTAGATTTTTCCCTTCTGTTTGTTAGCATTTCCGCGAAGGAACCGTTCACTTCCGAAGATATCCGCACACTTCCGAAGACGTTTTTTAGAGTTTACGTAAACTTGTATGTCTTCAGTACTCTCCTCTCTTATTAAAAGCTCTCGGCAAAAGTTATTTGCGCCAACCTTTCTCTTCGTTTTGATTCAAGTACATTTGCTCTATATACTTTTTTCAAAAAGTCGCAGGTAAGGCCGCGTTATCTCAAGTTGTTCAGTTAGGTTTAAGGGTTAATAAAAGTATGAACTTGGGGCATGCACTACTGTGATAAAACTGCATAAACTTCTGAGAATTATTGGCGTCGGCTTTGTCAGGTGGGGCATTGCGCACTCATTCTCGAGATTTTTCTTCACTTAGATCTAAATTCAAATTGCAGACTTAAAAACTTTCATTTTTTCTTAGGCCTGGTTAGTAAAGTCTTCCCCGCAGAAGAGCTCGTAGATGAAGCTATCAAGACAGCTGCAAAAATATCATCCTTGTCGAAGATTGCCGTACAGATCGCCAAAGAAGCTGTCAACACAGGTATTGCCCTGACAGTTGTAACCGTCCGATTGACTGTTTCCTGTCATGAGTTATACCTCGATTATTCGAAAGATTTTATGTCAACTGAAGTCGGTGTTGATCTTGTCCATCGCTAGACGTTTCTTGTTGGTTTACCAGTCAACTTCAAAACAGTTACCTATCCTATTTGACTGTTCTACTGCGAAAGTGTCTTTTTTCTAGTTACCGAAATAGCCCAAAACATCATGACGTACTTCCATTCACAAGAGTAAAATTGATTGTTTCTAAGCCATCATCTTAATTGAAGCAAACTGAGAAAATGAGGTAGATTTTTGCGCAAGTTAAGCAGAGAAGAACTTGATCTCGGGTAGGGTTTTGTTGCCTCGGGATATAAATCATCATGACTGACCTGCTTGAGTCCAAAAGTTTAACAGTTTACAAGAAATGCATGCAAGAACAATTTATGGTCGTTGCATTCCCTTGGAAAGTTCCGTAGATGGTTGAATTTCCCAAATGTGTTTTTGTTTAGGCTACGAGATGTCACTGGCAGAAGGACTGCATTTTGAGAAAAGAATGTTTCACTCAACATTTTCAACAGTAAGTTAATATTGATCGGCTTTTACACTTGAAAGAAGACGCCAATTGCAATACAAAGTGGTAAAGCCACTTAACCATTTCCCGAAAACATATCACCTACTCTCTCTGATTTAGAGCAATCCACTGAATACTTCACGTCTTCTGTGCAACCGAAGAAAGTTTGGATTAAAATATTAAAATGTTCTTATGTTCCCGCTAAAAGCGTAGCTCCATCTTTCTGCATGTAAACTAGACACAACCCACAATTCCTCTATTCGCTCTGACGAAAGGCTAACGCTAGGAACGTCAGCTTTAGAAACTCTCTATGGTGGCCATTTTTGAGTTATCAACGCTTTTGATGTAAATAATATTTGTGATACCCCACCCGCCGCAACACTACAGTTTCTCTAGAAACTTACCCCGTTAACAGTGTAATGAATTTGTAAGGACTTGCGATGAAACTTTCCCGAAGGAAAAATTTCTCCTTTTCTTTAATTTCGCAGGACGATCGAAAGGAAGGGATGACAGCTTTTGTCGAAAAACGGAAAGCCGAATTTATGGACAATTAGTATCAGTTATTTTTCGGAAAGTCGTAGCTTGCGAGAACTTTGGATTGTTTTGTGGGAGTGTTAGGGCAGGTGAAAGAACGATGAAAGCTTATATAAAATTGTGTGAAGGGAAATGAAAACACTCAGCATGAATTTTCACCAAAAAAAAACTTAACTGACGAAATTGATAGAAAAAATAAAATAAATAAAGTAAAGTCATAGTCATTTTTCGTTCGTGCGCTCATCTGTTGAACGGATACCCTGGGGTATACATTGGGACGGGGGCGAGTATAGATTTAAGTTCTGCACAGTTCGATATGTTAATTAAGACTCGAGTCACGAAAACTAAATGACGCCCAAGATGACGGCTCTTCAGTAAACTTTCTGGAAAATTAATCCAAGACAAACCAAGCTTTCGACTTGTTTCCTCTCTGTTCACTTTCCTTTTGTTTTGAATCGAATTCTTGGAAGAAATGGATTTTATTTGCTGTAATGCACCTTGTTTAAATTGCCTTAAGGGTCAATGTCTATATGATAATTTTTTTTTCTTTTTCGGTCCCGGAGGTTTCCCAGCTAGCCTCGACCTTTTGTGCAGGGCATGATTTTCATGGTTTTCGTGAATTTTTTTGCGAAGTGCAAACTAAGCGTACTATTCCACTTTCCCTGGAATGTTTGTATTCACGCTTGACGCACGTGATTCGACCAACTAGCCAATCATGTTTAGATCCTTGAACTTAACGTTGAGGTTGACGTGGTCAATTTCCTTAGCACTGATTCAACCTTTAATTAAGATAGCAGTTGTAAAAATTTAATCGTTATGTACCTCTCAACTCAAAGGGGTTTCTGATTGGAGGAGAACAAGTCGCTGTGAATCAAAATACACCAACTTTCTAGGGTGAACAAAAAGCCCCTTGGTAAACAACAACTTGAACTTTCGACTCTCACGGGATAAGGTCGTGCACCGTGAAACTGCAGCAAATGTGAGTGCCAGCCTGTGTAAAAAAATAATATTTTAGCAGTCATTTTCGAGTTGGGAAGTATGACAAAACACTTTTAAAAATTAAAATCAAAGTGACTGGCCCCACGGGAAACAGTGAGAATTGCTTTCCTTTGACCCGCAATGAAAACAAAACTCATTGTTTCCCCTAAGGTCAGTTAGTCGCTTAATTTATCAACATTGCCAGGTGTCTGTATTAGAATTGTCTGGAAGCGAGAGTAAACAATATTAGCAGGGTATTAGCTAGAGTGCAAAATATGAGAAAATAATTGGAGCATCGAAAGAAATATGTTTCTTAGCATATTGGCTTCGGTTATCAGATTTAACTAACACGGGTGCAAAACAGGAACACACAAAAACATGTATGGTACAACAGATATACCAACACATTATGAGTCGTAAATGTACGAGTTAGAACGTGAGAAGGAATCCTGTCACTTTCATCACTGAAGAAAACTTTTAACCTTGAAATTACAGCCTGTGGTTCTTTCAGTTTTCATTAGGCGAATTTAGCTTTGTTTGATGGGAAAAAGTTGCTCTGTATCCTGAATGCGACTAATTGAGAAAAGAAATCCGGAAAATAAAAACAATCCGAGTAATCTAGGTTTGTTTCTAATTAAATGCCCGCACGCTTTACTCAAATGTAAAGAAACGCTAACCCCAAGTCGTGATCAGTACTTCGTGCAAAGTTGACTGATGCATAATTTATGTATGGGTTCTTAAGCTGTTTCTATTTTTTTCTTTTAATCATTGTCTCAAGTTTCATTAAAATTGTATAAAAAGTTGATAAAAGAGTTTTTCAATATAAAAATACGAGAGGAGTGGAAGGAAACTGAAGGTAACAATATACTGGTTTCAAGAAGATTGCTCTCTAAGTTTGATAACAACAAAAATCTTGAATAGTCAGCCACTTCGATAAATATGTTTGAGTGAGAAGTATATATACAAAAGACCTTTACTACCGCATAAACGTGAGAAGAAAAGTCGAGGAAAAGTAAGAAACGGAAGGTGAGTGTGAGTGAGAAACTCGATGTATTTACTTACTATCGGGTGAGTAACTTGTGCAAGGAGTAACCAAGTCATTCAATTTGGAGAAAATTGGTTAATTTAAACTTCAGAAGAAGATTGCTCTCTAACTTTGATAACAACATAAATCTTGAATAGTCAGCCGCTTCGACAAATACGTTTGAGTGAGAAGTATATATACAAAAGACCTTTACTACCGCATAAACGTGAGAAGAAAAGTCGAGGAAAAGTAAGAAAAGGAAGGTGAGTGTGAGTGAGAAACTCGATGTATTTACTTACTATCGGGTGAGTAACTTGTGCAAGCCAGCGGACAAGAATTAATCCTCAGCAGGGAAGATTCCTTTATCTGACTTGGTAGTTTAAAACAGCGCTCGTATTCTTTCGCCGAGTCAGACAAAGTGTAATTAACAAAACCCTAAATTCACAATCAAAACTATTTGTTGTATCTAAGAAGGGAGAAGGGCAACATTTGTCATCTGTTTTTCTTTCTTTCTCAAATTACAGGATGACAGGACATCTAGTTGGTTTCCATTTCTGTCCCGTTCTGTTGAGTGGTGTTGCTTTGTTTCTTGTGGCTTTCAGTTCGTCTTTACACACTGGCTTGAGCAGGGACGCTGTTTTCGAGAGAGTTGAAGGTAACATGTGAATGTGTTATACCTCCCAACACAGTGATATTTTTTTTCCGACGGGATGTGAATGTTTCAACGGCCATGAGCGAAAACTCGGATCGGATGACACAGATTTTGGCTGTGTCAATATAAACTTTACATGATCCCTCCCACCCCTAAATAAGGCTCTGTGACATTCTTACAATCCTGTAGTAAATTTCCATTCTTCCCCCTTTATACTCTGTTGGCCACAGCAGTTCACCCTAGAAAAAAAATATAAGATCGCCCCAAAATCGGGTGAAAACAACGGGAACTTTCAACGCGCAACTCTCATATCTCTCAGGGCTTCTTCAATTTTACCTTTGTACGATATCAAGAATCAAGATGACTTCTTAAGACAGGGTAATTAACTACACACAAACTGTATTATTAAAGTATCCAAAATAAACTAAGTGATGAGAACATGAAACACCATTGTGTTGTTTTTCAAGGATTTGAGCTAATTGGTCACATCACCAAGACATTATATGCTGACGAAATAAGCTGTGGATTGAGATGCCTTCAAGATGAAAAATGCCAATCTTACAACAGCAAATCCCACGTTAATGATGCAAAGAAGGAATGTCAACTGAGTAATCAAACCAAAAAATCAAGTCCGGAAAACCTGAGGCGTAACCCCCGTTCTACTTATTATCATAGAAGAGGTACTGTTGAGTAAGGTGCTTAATATTATGGAAAAGTTAGTGGGAGGTGGGAGGGGGGAGGGGGGGGGGTATGAAGGGTCGGAGTAGTTTGGTTGTCACAATAAAGTTTTCCTGATCCTTCCATAACGTTCCGAACTATTCTATCGATCTTCCTCATTGGCAGTCAATTTTCTTTAGTCCCACCTTTAAACTCTGTTAGCGACGACTGATCCCTTCTCCATTCCCTTTGAAAACAATGATATTTCCTCCTAAGACCCTGCCACCCCTCCAACCCCCTCTTTCCAAGTCAAAAATGGTGACCTATTTCTTACTTCTGATTAGCGCTTTTCAGAGCTCTGTCATGTCACGTGTACATCCATGTATAACCTTTCCCGAGAGAATATGAAGTTAAAAATCTCTTGCTTTTCCTTATAATGATAGGTTATCCATTTTCTTAATTTAAATTTCCAAAATCAAGAGCTATCTAATAATTACGCGAAAGGAACTACTTATGGAATAAGACCTCTGTGGCGCGTTTTGTTTCTTAGTTTGATCCTCTCCTCGTTTCAAATGATTATTCTTCCCTTTTCCTATGCAGGTAAACGAGGTTGGGATTCTGCTCATCCGGCCCTCTCCTGTAAGGAAATTCTGGACTCTGGACACTCCAAAGGAGACGGGGAGTATTGGATCGACCCAGAGAAGAGTGGAAACCCTTTGAAGGTCTATTGCGACATGTCAAGATCTGGTGGTAAGAGAATGAATTGTTTTTTTGAGACATGAGGACCTCAACAGGAGTATATCTGACTTGGTAGAGTTGTTATTGGAACGTTCTGCTCTTGGCTATTCTTGCTTTCTCAACAAAGATCCTTCTTATGTTTTGAATCAAAAGTATAGCAGAATTCTCAAAAATGATTGGTTATCATCAGCCGGCCGCTTTGTGCACTAATAGGACAGTGTACGTGTCATATTTGTAATTGAACAGTGTAGTAGGACCGTTAAAGGGATAGTTATCGCGTCATGCCTGTGTGAGTGGACAGAACGCGTCATGTGCGAGCTGTTGTCTCGCATTTCGCCGAGTAAACTGTTGTTTTTCGTTTTTATGAAAACGTATAACCGATGTCCAGTATCTTTCTCAATTTTTGTCATAGTTTTGAATAATTGGTAACAGGCCTTCTTGTCGTCTAATTCTGTCTGTAATGATACGAGTGATTAACAAATCGGACTCCCGCTTTGCGGTCGTACGATTCTGTAAAGCACTCGTATGATTACAGACCGAATTGGACTCCACTCGGTCCTGTTACCATTTAATATGTCCAAAATTCTAGTTTCATGGATGTCACCAGATGATTTAGGTTTGTTTTATTTTAGGAGGTTGGCTTCTGGTGTCAAATGTTGAGTTCGGAAGTCCCTCTCCTAAGGTGTCAGTTGAGACATCATACCGTGGAATAGGTAAGTCACACATGGTTCTGCAGAAAAGTGCCATGAAAGAGCTCAGAAGACACTTGTCCTTCACTCAGCTGAGATTCCACTGCCGCAAGAAACAGGGACGCACATTCCACGTGGTCACAGCTTCCAACAGCTCAGGTGAAGCTGTGGTCCAGTACTTCAGCGGTCAGACAGATGAGCAACCGGACGCCTGTGGTTCGTTTGTGAGATTGGCGCGGGATGACAATTCCAAGTTAGCTGGCATTTGCAAAGATTGGGGTCAACCAGTAAGTGGAAAGTGGGGAATTGGTAAGGATGAAGAAAGGCTATACTGGTTTCCCGTCGTAAGAAATTCAAAGTATCACCTTAGGGTCCAACTGCATAACGTTGACGACCTCAAAAAAATGGAATGTGATGATCGCTCCGGTCACCATGTTGACACAAACGGCGATTTCTGGAGAGTCTTTGTTCGTTAGTTGCGTCTATATGTACACCAAGCAACCCTTGACTGTGCCAATAACAGCAACAAACGAATAAAGCAAAATAAAGACAAATGCATCGTTACACTCATCAGTTTATAAGTATTTTTTTCTTTCCATTTCGGGGCAAGGGAAAGCAATCCTCATTGTTTCCCGTGGGGCCAGTCATTTTAATTTTAATTTTTGAAAATATTTTCTGATACATCCCAAACCGAATATGACTGCCGTAAATCACTTTTTGTTCGTAGGCTGGCACACACATTTGCCGTGGTTTCACGGTGAACAACCTTATCGCGCGAGAGTCGAAAGTTAAAGTTATTGTCTCCTCGGGGGCTTAGAGAATTTTGTTCACCCTAGAAAGTAAGAGTATTTTTATTCACGGCGCGTGAAATATTTAACCATCCAATCAAAAAACCTATTTGAGTTGAGAGGTACATAACGATTAAATTTTCACAACTGCTTCCTTCTAAATAAAAGGTTGAACTAGTGACCACGTCAACCTCAATGTTAAGTTGAAAGACTCTAAACATGATTGGCTAGTTGATCGGATCGCGAGCGTCGCGCGTGAATACTAAAAATTCCAGAGCAAGAGGAAAGAACACTTTACAGTTCGAAAAAAGTTCACTACTGACACAAGAAAATTTCAACGACCTGTTTGATATGCTGGGAAGCCATTGAGAAAAACCATGCTTAGCACAAGAGGACGAGGCTAGCTGGGAAATCTCCCGGACAATAAAAAAGTAATCATACAGATTTTGACCTTCAACCCCTCGGGGATTGGGGAGGGTTTTGTTTTCCACTTTTAGACATGACACGAGTTTTTATACTGTAACCAGTCACAATCGAAGAAATTTAAATTTTCAATGATTGAGAGGTTTATATCAAACATAATAACCGGGCATTATATATGTACATTTTTTTATGTACATTTTTTTCAGAGCTTCATATATATATATATATCACAAGAAAACTATGACGACATTTGGGAAAAAAACTAGACTTCTTAAGAGTATTAGTCATTAGCCCTTTACACCCAAACATCAGTCTGCAAGTTCTCCATACTTTTCTCCATACGTTTCCTAATGTGCTGACAAGGAGAATTTATTTAACAATCAAGAGCTTGTTTGATTGATGATCATTTCCTTTATTCTCATGACTTTAATGTGTGATTCAGGGGTGATATTGTAAGGAGAAACTAGATGCTAATCACTCTTTGGGGTCAGAGTTAAAATTTGCTTTAACTTAAAAAAAAGTGATGTGATTTGGGGAATAAAGACTCGTAATCAGGAAAGATCATAGGAGTAAGATGGCTTTCAGTTTTATGAAATGGATATTTTTTTATTCTAGACTCTCTTATATTGCTGCTTTTATGTTCTTTAACCCTTTAACTCCCATGAGTGACCAAGACAGAATTTCTCTTTACACTATCAATACAATATTAACCAGATAAGTGGTGAGAATAAAGAAAAATTTCAATTTGGGGATAATTAGTTGATCCAATATTAAATTCTTTAAACTAAAATTATACGAATTGTATGGTTGACAATAAGTACAATTACAACTCTGTCAAGTTTAAGTTTAAGTTTGTGCTTAAAGTTGCAACTAACTCGAAGATTTCTTTCATTTTTTAGGTGCCGGTGGTACACAGCGACTTCAAAGAGCTGTTGGGAAGTCTCTGGCTATGGAAATGATACTAACAGGTGATCCTATTTCAGCAGAAGATGCACAGAAATCAGGTCCATGTTCCTTTCAACTTAGCTCCTATTTTTGACCAGTTGTTCATCATAACCTCTTTACCTTACAAAATCGATCAACATGCAACTTCTCCCTGTAATAAACATACATCATCCAGCAAACGGGTAATGAGAATATTTTAACTTATCAGTTCAAAGTTGTTATTGATCTAACGTCAAATTCTCGTAACTAATTAAAAAGGAAATGTGTAGCAGCTAGAGGAGAGAATTAACAATCAGATCTTAGGGGGTTAAAAGATCAAGGAGGGAGGTACTTAGCATCGTGAGCCTTCCCGGTGGCACAAGGAAATTCTCACACAAATTATTGAGAAATGTGTACAGTACTTCCACATCATCAAGGACTGCAACGGAGACACACTGTTTTGTGCTAAACACTTGTGTAAGCCTGCAAAATTTGAGTTAAAAGCGTAGATTTTTCCCTTCTGTTTGTTAGCATTTCCGCGAAGGAACCGTTCACTTCCGAAGATGTCTGCACACTTCCGAAGACGTTTTTTAGAGTTTACGTAAACTTGTATGTCTTCAGTACTCTTCTCTCTTATTAAAAGCTCTCGGCAAAAGTTATTTGCGCCAACCTTTCTCTTCGTTTTGATTCAAGTACATTTGCTCTATATACTTTTTTCAAAAAGTCGCAGTTAAGGCCGCGTTACCTCAAGTTGTTCAGTTAGGTTTAAGGGTTAATAAAAGTATGAACTTGGGGCATGCACTCCTGTGATAAAACTGCATAAACTTCTGAGAATTATTGGCGTCGGCTTTGTCAGGTGGGGCATTGCGCACTCATTCTCGAGATTTTTCTTCACTTAGATCTAAATTCAAATTGCAGACTTAAAAACTTTCATTTTTTCATAGGCCTGGTTAGTAAAGTCTTCCCCGCAGAAGAGCTCGTAGATGAAGCTATCAAGACAGCTGCAAAAATATCATCCTTGTCGAAGATTGCCGTACAGATCGCCAAAGAAGCTGTCAACACAGGTATTGCCCTGGCAGTTGTAACCGTCCGATTGACTGTTTCCTGTCATGAGTTATACCTCGATTATTCGAAAGATTTTATGTCAACTGAAGTCGGTGTTGATCTTGTCCATCGCTTGACGTTTCTTGTTGGCTTACCAGTCAACTTCAAAACAGTTACCTATCCTATTTGACTGTTCTACTGCGAAACTAACTTTTTTCTAGTTACCGAAATAGCCCAAAACATTATGACATACTTCCATTCACAAGAGTAAAATTGATTGTTTCTAAGCCATCATCTTAATTTAAGCAAACTGAGAAAATAAGGTAGATTTTTGCACAAGCAGAGAAGAACTTGATCTCGGGTAGGGTTTTGTTGCCTCGGGATATAAATCATCATGACTGACCTGCTTGAGTCCAAAAGTTTAACAGTTTACAAGAAATGCATGCAAGAACAATTTATGGTCGTTGCATTCCCTTGGAAAGTTCCGTAGATGGTTGAATTTCCCAAATGTGTTTTTGTTTAGGCTACGAGATGTCACTGGCAGAAGGACTGCATTTTGAGAAAAGAATGTTTCACTCAACATTTTCAACAGTAAGTTAATATTGATCGGCTTTTACACTTGAAAGAAGACGCCAATTGCAATACAAAGTGGTAAAGCCACTTAACCATTTCCCGAAAACATATCACCTACTCTCTCTGATCTAGAGCAACCCACTGAATAATTCACGTCTTCTGCGCAACCGAAGAAAGTTTGGATTAAAATATTAAAATGTTCTTATGTTCCCGCTAAAAGCGTAGCTCCATCTTTCTGCATGTAAACTAGACACAACCCACAATTCCTCTATTCGCTCTGACGAAAGGCTAACCCTAGGAACGTCAGCTTTAGAAACTCTCTATGGTGGCCATTTTTGCATTATCAACGCTTTTGATGTAAATAATATTTGTGATACCCCACCCGCCGCAACACTACAGTTTCTCTAGAAACTTACCCCGTTCGATTGTTACCATGGTGATGAATAACAGTGTAATGAATTTGTAAGGACTTGCGATGAAACTTTCCCGAAGGAAAAATTTCTCCTTTTCTTTAATTTCGCAGGACGATCGAAAGGAAGGGATGACAGCTTTTGTCGAAAAACGAAAAGCCGAATTTATGGACAATTAGTATCTGTTATTTTTCGAAAAGTCGTAGCTTGCGAGAACTTTGGATTGTTTTGTGGGAGTGTTAGGGCAGGTGAAAGAATGATGAAAGCTTATATAAAATTGTGTGAAGGGCAATGAAAACACTCAGCATGAATTTTCACCAAAAAAAAACTTAACTGGCGAAATTGATAAAAAAATAAAATAAATAAAGTAAAGTCATAGTCATTTTTCGTTCGTGCGCTCATCTGTTGAACAGATACCCTGGGGTATACATTTGGACGGGGGCGAGTATAGATTTAAGTTCTGCACAGTTCGATATGTTAATTAAGACTCGAGTCACGAAAACTAAATGACGCCCAAGATGACGGCTCTTCAGTAAACTTTCTGGAAAATTAATCCAAGACAAACCAAGTTTTCGACTTATTTCCTCTCTGTTCACTTTCCTTTCGTTTTGAATCAAATTCCTGGAAGAAATGGATTTTATTTGCTGTAAGGCACCTTGTTTAAATTGCCTTAAGGGTCAATGTCTATATGATAATTTTTTTTTTTTTTTCGGTCCCGGAGGTTTCCCAGCTAGCCTCGACCTTTTGTGCAAGGCATGATTTTCATGGTTTTCGTGAATTTTTTTGCGAAGTGCAAACTAAGCGTACTATTCCACTTTCCCTGGAATGTTTGTATTCACGCTTGACGCACGTGATTCGACCAACTAGCCAATCATGTTTAGATCCTTGAACTTAACGTTGAGGTTGACGTGGTCAATTTCCTTAGCACCGATTCAACCTTTAATTAAGATAGCAGTTGTAAAAATTTAATCGTTAACTCAAAGGGGTTTCTGATTGGAGGAGAACAAGTCGCTGTGAATCAAAATACACCAACTTTCTAGGGTGAACAAAAAGCCCCTTGGTAAACAACAACTTGAACTTTCGACTCTCACGGGATAAGGTAGTGCACCGTGAAACTGCAGCAAATGTGAGTGCCAGCCTGTGTAAAAAAATAATATTTTAGCAGTCATTTTCGAGTTGGGAGGTATGACAAAACACTTTTAAAAATTAAAATCAAAGTGACTGGCCCCACGGGAAACAGTGAGAATTGCTTTCCTTTGACCCGCAATGAAAACAAAACTCATTGTTTCCCCTACAGTCAGTTAGTCGCTTAATTTATCAACATTGCCAGGTGTCTGTATTAGAATTGTCTGGAAGCGAGAGTAAACAATATTAGCAGGGTATTAGCTAGAGTGCAAAATATGAGAAAATAATTGGAGCATCGAAAGAAATATGTTTCTTAGCATATTGGCTTCGGTTATCAGATTTAACTAACACGGGTGCAAAACAGGAACACACAAAAACATGTATGGTACAACAGATATACCAACACATTATGAGTCATAAATGTACGAGTTAGAACGTGAGAAGGAATCCTGTCACTTTCATCACTGAAGAAAACTTTTAACCTTGAAATTACATCCTGTGGTTCTTTCAGTTTTCATTAGGCGAATTTAGCTTTGTTTGATGGGAAAAAGTTGCTCTGTATCCTGAATGCGACTAATTGAGAAAAGAAATCCGGATAATAAAAACAATCCGAGTAATCTAGGTTTGTTTCTAATTAAATGCCCCCACGCTTTACTCAAAAGTAAAGAAACGCTAACCCCAAGTCGTGATCAGTACTTTGTGCAAAGTTGACTGATGCATAATTTATGTATGGGTTCTTAAGCTGTTTCTATTTTTTTCTTTTAATCATTGTCTCAAGTTTCATTAAAATTGTATAAAAAGTTGATAAAAGAGTTTTTCGATACAAAAATACGAGAGGAGTGGAAGGAAACTGAAGGTAAGAATATACTGGTTTCAAGAAGATTGCTCTCTAACTTTAATAACAACATAAATCTTGAATAGTCAGCCACTTGGATAAATACGTTTGAGTGAGAAGTATATATACAAAAGACCCTTACTACCGCATAAACGTAAGAAGAAAAGTAAGAAACGGAAGGTGAGTGTGAGTGAGAAACTCGACGTATTTACTTACTATCGGGTGAGTAACTTGTGCAAGGAGTAACCAAGTCATTCAATTTGGAGAAAATTGGTTAATTTAAACTTCAGAAGAAGACTGCTCTCTAACTTTGATAACAACATAAATCTTGAATAGTCAGCCACTTCGACAAATACGTTTGAGTGAGAAGTATATATACAAAAGACCTTTACTACTGCATAAACGTGAGAAGAAAAGTCGAGGAAAAGTAAGAAAAGGAAGGTGAGTGTGAGTGAGAAACTCGATGTATTTACTTACTATCGGGTGAGTAACTTGTGCAAGCCAGGGGACAAGAATTAATCCTTAACAGGAAAGATTCTTTTGTATGACTTGGAAGTTTAAAATAGCGCTCGTATTCTTTCGCTGACTCAGGCAAAGTGTAATTAGCAAAACCCTAAATTCACAATCAAAACTATTTGTTGTATCTAAGAAGGGAGAAGGGCATCATTTGTCATCTGTTTTTCTTTCTTTCTCAAATTACAGGATGACTGGACATCTAGTTGGTTTCCATTTCTGTCCCGTTCTGTTGAGTGGTGTTGCTTTGTTTCTTGTGGCTTTCAGTTCGTCTTTACACACTGGTTTGAGCAGGGACGCGGTTTTCGAGAGAGTTGAAGGTAACACGTGAATGTGTTATACCTCCCAACACAGTGATATTTTTTTTCCGACGGGATGTGAATGTTTCAACTGCCATGAGCGAAAACTCGGATCGGATGACACAGATTTTGGCTGTGTCAATATAAACTTTACATGATCCCTCCCCCCCCCCCCCTAAATAAGGCTCTGGGACATTCTTACAATCCTGTAGTAAATTTCCATTCTTCCCCCTTTATACTTTGTTGGTCACAGCAGTTCGCCCTAAAAAAAATATAAGATCGCCCCAAAATCGGGTAAAAACAACGGGAACTTTCTACGCGCAACTCTCATATCTCTCAGGGCTTCTTCAATTTTACCTTTGTACGATATCAAGAATCAAGATGACTTCTTAAGACAGGGTAATTAACCACACATAAACTGCATTATTAAAGTATCCAAAATAAACTAAGTGATGAGAACATGAAACACGATTGTGTTGTTTTTCAAGGATTTGAGCTAATTGGTCACATCACCACGACATTATATGCTGACGAAATAAGCTGTGGATTGAGATGCCTTCAAGATAAAAAATGCCAATCTTACAACAGCAAATCCGATGTTAATGATGGAAAGAAGGAATGTCAACTGAGTAATCAAACCAAAAAATCAAGTCCGGAAAACCTGAGGCGTAACGCACGTTCTACTTATTATCATAGAAGAGGTACTGTTGAGTAAAGTGCTTAGCATTATGGAAAAGTTAGTGGAGGTGGGGGGGTATGGAAGGTCGGAGTATTTTGGTTGTCACAATAAAGTTTCCTGATCCTTCCATAACATACCGAATTATTCTATCGATTTTCCTCATTGGCAGTCAATTTTCTTTAGTCCCACCTTTAAGCTCTGTTAGCAACGACTGATCCCCTCTCCATTCCCTTTGAAAACAATGATATTTACCCCTAAGACTCTGCCACCCCTCCCACCCCCTCTTTCCAAGTCAAAAATGATGACCTATTTCTTACTTCTGATAAGCGCTTTTCAGAGCTCTGTCATGTCACGTGTACATCCATGTATAACCTTTCCCGAGAGAATATGAAGTTAAAAATCTCTAGCTTTTCCTTATAATGATAGGTTGTCCATTTTCTTAATTTAAATTTCCAAAATCAAGAGCTATCTAATAATTACGCGAAAGGAACTACTTATGGAATAAGACCTCTGTGGCGTGTTTTGTTTCTTAGTTTGATCCTCTTCTCGTTTCAAAAATGATCATTCTTCCCTTTTGCCATGCAGATAAACGAGGTTGGGATTCTGCTCATCCGGCCCTCTCCTGTAAGGAAATTCTGGACTCTGGACACTCCAAAGGAGACGGGGAGTATTGGATCGACCCAGAGAAGAGTGGAAACCCTTTGAAGGTCTATTGTGACATGTCAAGATCTGGTGGTAAGAGAATGATTTTTCTTTTTTGAGATACGAGGACTTCAACAGGAGTATATTTGACTTGGAGCATTTTCTATTGGAACGTTCTGGTCTTGGCTATTCTTGCTTTCTCAACAAAGATCCTTCTTATGTTTTGAATCAAAAGTATAGCAGAATTCTCAAAAATGATTGGTTATCATCAGCCGGCCGCTTTGAGCACTAATAGGACAGTGTACGCGTCATATTTGTAATTGGACAGTGTAATAGGACCGTTTAAGGGTTAAAGGATATGTTGTTTTTCGTTTTTATGAAAACGTATAACCGATGTCCAGTTTCTCTCTCAAATTTTGTCATAGTTTTGACTAATTGGTAACAGGCCTTCTTGTCGTCTAATTCTGTCTGTAATGATACGAGTGATTAACAAATCGGACTCCCGCTTTGCGGTCGTACGATTCTGTAAAGCACTCCTATGATTACAGACCCAACTGGACTCCACTCGGTCCTGTTACTATTTAATATGTCCAAAATTCTAGTTTCATGGATGTCACAAGATCATTTAGGTTTGTTTTATTTTAGGAGGTTGGCTTCTGGTGTCAAATGTTGAGTTCGGAAGTCCCTCTCCTAAGGTGTCAGTTGAGATATCATACCGTGGAATAGGTAAGTCACACATGGTTCTGCAGAAGAGTGCCATGAAAGAGCTCAGAAGACACTTGTCCTTCACTCAGCTGAGATTCCACTGCCGCAAGAAACAGGGACGCACATTCCACGTGGTCACAGCTTCCAACAGCTCAGGCGAAGCTGTGGTCCAGTACTTCAGCGGTCAGACAGATGAGCAACCGGACGCCTGTGGTTCGTTTGTGAGATTGACGCGGGATGACAATTCCGAGTTAGCTGGCATTTGCAAAGATTGGGGTCAACTAGTAAGTGGAAAGTGGGGACATGGTGAGGATCAAAACAGGCTATTCTCGTATCCCGTCTTAAGAAAGTCAAAGTATCACCTTAGGGTCCAACTGCATAACGTTGACGACCTCAGAAAAATGGAATGTGATGATAGCTCCGCTCCCAATGTTGGCACAAACGGCGATTTCTGGAGAGTCTTTGTTCGTTAGTTGCGTCTATATGTACACCAAGCAACCCTTGACTGTACCAATAACAGTAACAAACGAATAAAGCATAATAAAGACAAATGCACCGTTATAAGAATGTTTTTTTTTTCCATTTCGGGGCAAGGGAAAGCAATCCTCCTTGTTTCCCGTGGGGCCAGTCATTTTAATTTTTATTTTTGAAAATATTTTCTCATACATCCCAAACCGAATATAACTGCTAAAAACCCCTTTTTGTACGTAGGCTGGCACACACATTTGCCGCGGTTTCACGGTGAACAACCTTACGCGCGAGAGTCGAAAGTTAAAGTTGTTGTCTCCTCGGGGAATTTTGTTCATCCTAGAAAGTTAGTGTATTTTGATTCACGGCGCGTGACATATTCAACCATCCAATCAAAAAACCTATTTGAGTTGAGAGGTACATAACGATTAAATTTTCTCATCTGCTTCCTTCTAAATAAAAGGTTGAACTAGTGACCACGTGAACCTCAATGTTAAGTTGAAGGACTCTAAACATGATTGGCTAGTTGATCGGATCGTGAGCGTCTCGCGTGAATACTAAAAATTCCAGAGGAAGAGGAAAGAACACTTTGCAGTTCGGAAAAAATTCACTACTGATACAAGAAAGTTTCAACGACCTGTTTGATATGGCGGGAAGCCATTGAGAAAAACCATGCTTAGCACGAGAGGTCGAGCCTAGCTGGGAAATCTCCCGGACAATAAAAAATAATCATACAGATTTTGACCTACTTTCAACCCCTCGGGGATTGGGGGAGGGTTTTTTTTTCACTCTTTAGACATGACACGTTTTTTTATACTGTAACTAATCACAATCGAAGCAATTTCAATTTTCAATGATTGAGAGGTTTATATCACACATTTTAAACGGGCATTATATATATATATATATATATATATATATATATATATATAATGCCCGGTTAAAATGTTCAGAGCTTCACATAAGTCAAGAACTATATTATGCTCTTAGCACCCATAAGCTCCTTTTCCTTCGGGTTTTCAGTCGACTCAAATCTCTATATCAGCAACGTCATGTGCCCCTTGGAAGAAAACTTTGCCGTTGTGGCGGACCAGGGCAGGTTATGTAAGGGCTCTTTTCATACCGCATGCAGTTTACAATTAGGAGGCTAAAATAATCGTTATTCCATACAGAGGGGGTTGTCCTACCATATCGAAGGTCTCTGTGTCAGGAAGTCCACTGAACTCACACGAGCAACAATCTCGCTAAGAGGTTGAGACTGGACATTGCATGTTAAAAACCATTGGTATCTATGTTCTCTCAGTGATACAATGCCGATGCCTCGCGTGCAGATTTGCTCGATTGTTTATGACAAAATACTATAAACGAATAATAGCTATGACTCATGTTTGCTATATTTAGCTAATTGTCGAAAGAGCAGTGTCCGTTCATTTTTCTATTTTTTAATTTAATCCTTACCGCCTAACCATGATAAAAAATCTCCATTTTACTACCTCAAGATAAAATAAGAATCTGAAATAAAAGAAATGACAAAAATACATAGAAAATGTATCATTTTACGCGACAGCACACTTACAGTCTAGACATTCAGCACTATTACTAGGAAACGTGATAAAGTGATTCATTGCTTTAAGACGACGAAACAGCAACTAAAGCGTGCCTAAAAACTTAAAAAAAAATTTATAGTTAAAAACTACATAGTTGCGAATAGTTTACAGTGAAAACTGCTGTCCTTTAAACGGAGAATTCTTACTATGGTTTCGTGTGACCATAGTAAGAATTCTCCATTTTACTACCTCAAGATAAAATGAGAATCTGAAACAAAAGGAATGACAAAAACACGGATAAAATGCATCATTTTGCGCAACAGCACATTTGAAGTCGAGGCAGTCAGAATCATAGCTAGGAAACGTAATAAAGCGATTCATTGTTTTAAGACGACGAAACTACAACTAAATGGCGCCTAAAAACTATAAAAACTATAGGATTGTGACGTAAGACCCCACATAGACTGTTCCATTTCAAGCTTGACTTGTCCATTCCACTTTTGTATTTCTGGCGGTTACGGCGTAAATCAACTGCTGTAACACAAAACCATTTCGGTTTATACTAAACCTTTTGTCGTCACGCTAAACCATTTCACTTAACGGTGACTGAGTAGATTGATGCGATACTAAGCCATTGCGGTCTACTATCAACCATTTGCAGATAACTTTAGCCATTTCACACTACTCTCATTTGTGTCAAGTCACTGAACCAAAGTACAGTTAGCTGAACCGTTTGTCATTTCGACACTGAGTTGAGTAGCTTGTGCAAGTCAGCGGACAAGTTTTAATCCTTAGCTGAGAAGGTTCCTTTATATGATCTGGTAGTTTAAAAACACTGGTAGTCTTTCGCCGAGTCAGACAAAGTGTAATTAACAAAACCCTAAATTCAAAAATTCAAATCTACTTGTTGCATCAGAAAGGGAAAACCTGACATTCTCTCTCTCAAATTACAGAATGAGAGGGCTTCTAGTTGGTTTCCATTTCTGTCCCGTTCTGTTGAGTGGTGTTGCTTTGTTTGCTTGTGGCTTTCAGTTCGTCTTTGCACACTGACTTAAGCAGGGACGAGGTTTTCGAGAGAGTTGAAGGTAACACGTAAATGTGTTATACCTCTGTTATAACACCATGATATTTTTTTCTGACGTTTTATACACTTCTGATCCCCCTTTATACTCTGTTGGCCACAACAAATCCCTCTTTCCAACGGAATGTGAATGTGTCAGGTGCCTTGGGCGAAAAGTCGGATCGGATGACAGATTTTGGCTGTCACGATAAACTTTATATACATATACGCCTTCAACACAGTGATATTTAATTTCCAACGGGATGTGAAGGGAGAGAAAGGTCACAGCATTTTGGTTGTCACAATAAGTCGAGTCAGTCAATTTTCTTTGGTCACGCCTTTAAACTCTGTCAGCGACGACTGATCCTACCTCCGTTCCCTTTGAAAACCAGGAGACCCCCCCCCCCACCCGCAAGACCCGCTTACCCTCCCACCCCTCTTTCCACGCGAGAAATGGTAACCTATTCCTTATTTCTGATCAGCGCTTTTCAGAGAATGTAAAGTTTATGATCTCTTGCCTTTCCTTATAACTTTTCCATTTTCTTAATTTGAGATTGAAGGATGCTATGGATATTACAAATATTTCCAAAATCAAAAGCTATCTAATGATCACGCGAAAGGAACTACTTTTCGAATAAGACCTATGTGGCGTGTTTTGTTTCTAAGTTTGATCCTCTCCTCGTTCCAAATGATTATTCTTCCCTCTTCCGATGTCGATAAACGAGGCTGGAATTCTGCTCATCCGGCCCTCTCCTGTAAAGAAATTCTGGACTCTTGACACTCAAAAGGAGACGGGGAGTATTGGATCGACCCCGAGAAAAGTGGAAACCCTTTGAGGGTCTGTTTTGACATGTCAAGATATGGTGGTGAGACACAAGGACTTTAACTGGAGTATATTTGACTTGGAGCAGTTTCTATTAGAACATTCTGATCTTGGCTATTCGTGCTTTCTCTGTTTTCAGTGTTTTTAATCGAAACCGTAAAATATTCTCGAAAGTGTTTGGTTATCGCCAGCCTGCCGATTTGAGCACAACAGTCACACATGTCACACATGGTTCTGCAGAAACGTGCCATGAAAGAGCTCTGGGACACTTGTTCTTCACTCAGCTGAGACTGACTTCCACTGCCAGAAGAAACAGGGACGCACATTCCACACGGTTACAGCTTCCAACAGCTCTGGTGAAGCTGTGGTCCAATACTTCAGCGGTCAGACAGATGAGCAACCGGATGCCTGTGGTTCGTTTGTGAGATTGAAGTAGGATGACAATTCCAAGTTAGCTGGCATTTGCAAAGATTGGGGACTAGTAAGTGGAAAGTACTTTGTTGAAAAGTGGGGACATGGAGAAGATGAAGACAGGTTATACCAGTTTCCCGCCTTCGGACAATTAAGTATCATCTTAAGGTCCACTTGAATAACGTTGGTGACCTCAACGACATGGAATGCGATGATATCGCCTCTCAGAGTATTCACTCAATCGGCGATTTCTGGAGAGTCTTTGTTAGTTACGTTAGTTGCCAGTTCGGGCCATAACCATTTCTGGATATCGGTTTCGAGCTTTGTGATTGGGTGAGATCAAAACCAAAACAAAGCAAATTTGGCCGAGAGATGCTGGAAACAAGAAGAAGCTGATTTTTTTTTTTTTTTGTGGCGGCCATGTTGTAATGCGGTAGTAAGCTGAAACAAAATTCGCTAATAGGGACTGGACGTACGATACCATTAAAAATATTCGTTTATTTCAAACATTCAACATGCATGTCCTCGACATTCTCGCATTCTGGAAGAGTAAAGCGGATTCTTTCTAGCACAAATTCTTTGTAACGCTGTGGTCTTTCCACCAAGAGCGTCACAGGTATAAAAGCTCCTCCGCCAGCCTGTTTGTATCTGGAGAACTTCTGGGTAGAGCTTGGCCTCGATGTTAGTGTCCGTTCTCCGTTGATTTCCCTATTTTGGGTTACAAGAAAACCAATTAAATAAGGTTGAACCAATTAACGCGCACTGATAACAATTGGGACGAGTGAGGTGTGAGATCGCGGAATCGGGACAATTTCATTTCTCTCCAGTATAGGTCGAGGAAAAACAATATCTTGCTTCTCTCCGATTTTTAAATAGACATTATCAATTTCAGTCCATAAAGCCTTTACGAAAAAGTAACAGTAAAGCAAGAAAACAGTAACTTACCCTTCAATTCCTGGTTATTTTGCCACATCGAAGCAAAGCATGCAGCTGTATGTTTAGAAAGTGCTGAACCGTGCCGATCTGCTGCCCTTTGACATCTCCTAAAGTGTATGTCTTTCTCTGCGATTTGCTGAAAATCTGGACTTCTCGTAGAGCCTCTGGAATGCGTTCCACTTCTTGTGGAAGAAGACAAGCCAGTGCATGCGAGTCATATGTGTTGTCGTCTTCACTTTGAATAACAAGCGGTGTTCCACGTGGAGCTTTGATCTTGAA